TTAATAACCTTAGTCCTCCCATTCTCCATAGTTGTCCAATCCAATGCATACGAACGATTGTCCTGCTCTAGCCCATTGTCTCCATCCTTCAACTTTCTCGATTCGATGGGATTTGGGTGAGCAATGCACACACAAAGAAACATCATCCAACACAAAGAAGTCTACTTAATTTCCAGCTCTTCCGCTCCACGCTTCTTGTCTCTTCCTCCCATTCTCAACTGTTCGTTCATTCAAGTGCTGCCACCATCTCTAAACGATTGTCCTGCTTCAGCTCATCATGTCGATCCTGCGATTGTCTTGATCCCAACGACTTCGACTGAATGGCACGTTGATGGCGTGTGCACCCCGCTTACAACACCCGCGTTCCTTGACACTTCACCTTCTCTTGTGCGATCCTCGACGACAATCAAACGTAACAGCGTTCATCCAGCAGTTTCAAACAGCAAGATCGTTACTTCATTGTCTCAAACAGTTCACAACCTTGTCACTTTGGTACAACATACGTTCTTGCACACTCCTTTTCCCGATCAAACGTAACTGCAGTCGTTGTCAACAAGGTCTTGTCTTTGTCTCAGACGACGTTCTCTACTTGCAATCCTTTTTACGTGAACAGCAGACAGCCGTTATTGAGAAGCAGCTTTATTTACGTGTATCAACTTGCTTTGGTACATATGGATTCCAATGGATGATGCCATATCAGCCATCGACTATACTGCACCATACGAGCATTCTTCTCTTGATTGAGCTGCGATAGACAATGACTAAGGAAGTGGTTGACCCAACAGCCGGATGGAAAAGGAAGCATGCCAGCAAACGATTCTTTCTATCAACATGTTGGACTTGCAATGATTATGAATGGATGGATGGATGCAGCCAAGCACGGTGATAGGTGACCCTCAAATGTCGCTAGCAGGAAGGATGGATCATGTTACATGTATACGGGTGAGGATGATGATGGATTGAATGGCATGGATCAGAGAGCTTCGATCTTTGACGAAAGGCGGATATCCCAATATGGATGATATTGGGATATCGGAATCAAGGCACGCACAACAATTAGTTTGCAATGATGGATGAAGATGCTTGTGACGGCGGCAATCAAGGATACAATGATACAACAACGACAGCCGCTGATTCTGTGTGATCGACTTGGTTGGTTTGTGGAATGAAATGGAGGAAGGATTTCGAAGATAGAGAGCGAGATTGGATCATCTACATCATAGTATCGTGATACCCTGTTCCTTTGTCACATTGCATTCGTTGAAGCTTCTTTGTTCGTACGCTGATAGACGATAGGCAGTGGCATTTCTCAGCGGGCTGTATAGGTTTAAATAGACGCGCTTGTTTTCAAATACAATAAACCCATAGTAATGGTACCCAACAATAGCCCCTCGCGCTTGATTGTAAAACTGTGAGATATTGACGTCTTTATTTCTACTATGCTTCAATCGTGATGCTAAATGGAAGATGTCTTTGTTTATTGTGAAGTAGCTAAAGATGCAGGACGACTTGTTTGTGCAGCTTAAGCCAAGAGTGTCGAATCTCTTGTGTCGATGCCATCTTGATAAGCATGTCCATATACATGAGTTCTTTGTATCAGCATTTGAGTATTGAAGGTGTGGTACATCCTTTTGATCCAACATAGCTTGGTAAACAGTAATGGATCAACATGCACGTATATAGAAGGTGCAGTGGTACATGGCGTCGCTGTTGTTAGCTGCACGTCCCTCCGCATCGGCGTCGGCACTTTAGTTTCGTGCCACAATAGGAAGCGTCAGTTGCATGATTGCCATGACAACACAATTTTACTTCCCCTTCTACTTGCCCACATGTACAAGAAAAAACGGCATCTTTAGGCAGAGATTAGCCTGTAAAACGCGCGACGCGAAACGCGCTGAGTATAAAAGGAAATTGGACGAAAAAGCGCGAAAAAAAGCACGTAAAAAAAACCACGCTGGGATTCAAAAATTTGCGCGTTTGAAAGAGCGCTCTTTTTCTTTTAAAACAAAGCCGTTTTCCTCTGAGGCGCAGTATCCTCCTTTCTCTTGCCCGGTAAGTTTTCTATTGTTCATTCATATCTTGGCACTGTGTACTCATGTAAGTTCGTTTTAGAACGAGTTGATTGGAGTGGCCTGCACAGGGGGTGTTTTTCCTTAGCCTTTGCCGCGTAACAAAGCGAGGTTTTTTCCCCCTTCTTCGTTACCCCTCCGCCTGAATGTATTCATGTTGCGCTGGTCGTGTTCATGGATGCTCTTGGGTCGTAGCATGACTTGATGTTATCCGCTAAGCGTGTTCTGGTCATTGTTGCAGGAGTGGAGTATGTATATGCCTTGCTCCTTGTGAGGTTGGCATGAGAGTTCCTTTACCTCGCAGTTGACAGGGTGTAAGGTTACGCTAGCGCTACAGACGTGAAGCGGTTCCCCTTCTGCAATGAGGAAAGATGAGGCGTCGTCTGTTGGAGTGTTGCGTTATACCAGCAGTTCTGACCGCCGACCAAAATATGAAAATGATAATAGTAGTATTAGAAGGTGGTAGTAGTATTAGAAGGAGTCTCCCTTTCCCATATACGTAGTAATAGATCACCCACTTGCCCTTGTTTACTATAATGAAGATAGCATCCTCTTGTATGCCAATAAATCAATCCTGCACTTGTTCTTATTACAATGTATACGTTTATTGTTATCATTGCATGCATGTATCACGACGATCTATGTCTATCTTGGTGACCTATGGAAAGGCATTGTGTATGGTATCATGGCAACCAATAAAGAAGTTGAAGGGAACGGGTGTTAACGATCCTGTTGACACGATGAGCAAACGAGCATTCAACCTCACCACACCTCTCGAACAAGATTGCTAACGTGCTTCTCAAGGACACAAGAACAAGAAAAGTGAGGAATGGGAGTACACAATCAAGGTTGCAAGGATCTTCTTGACTTGGTGGTAGCACCGATCAGCAGCACGTTTGACCGTTGAAGCTCGTGAATGCTGTCAAAAAACATAGTGGCACAGGATAGCTGGTTGTTTGTATGGCAGCAAGTGTGAAGATGATGGTTGCAACGTAGCTAGAAGGACACGTTATTTCTTATCCCTTGGACCTTGCTAGTTTATTCCCTTCTTGCTTACTGGTTGATCAATGTACTACAAACGAAATAGAAGTGGGTTCATAATTGGTCTTGTAAGACGAAGCATATGCCTTTTCTGATACAATAAAGAGTTGGTCGACCTCAACAGAAAGTGATCCTCCATTGAGTTTCAGGATGAGTGAGAGGCCAAATCAACAATATAGGTCTGTGTGCCTTGAATTGATTGGGTTTACGCAAATTGGTTTAAGCAGCTCGACCCTTACGTCCCAATGTGATATGGAACCATTGCTTGTCATATACATGATACCTTAATACATTTTGTTTATTGGATGTTGTTTACATACTTTCCTACAGTGTGCAGGGGTAAAAGTGGGCGATAACAACTTCTCGTGTGCTGCAGGCGTGAGTATTGCTGTTATCACCAAAGGAAGGAAGGGCAATAAATGTTTGCTACATGATGAGCTGATTGATGTTGGGGTATAGTACCTTCACAAGTGACATGTGTCAGAAGAGCCTTGGTGTGATTAAACACCCATACACCATCATAAATCAGGATCAGAGATAAACAATGTGGCAAGGCCCATCATCATCAAACAGCATCGGCTATACCGAATCACTTGCTGTGCTCAAATCCCATAAAGACGTTGCTTGTGTGAGTGTAATTTTTAGCAATACTACATCAACCAATTCCCTCAACGTCTTTATCACCTACTTTTACTCTCACCAGTAACGCGTGCATAAACGCCCATATGCTGCTGTTGTCGCTGTACATCGTAAGCGTGATCCATGACGCATGCCATTTGAATAGCATAGGTTATTTCAATAAACATAAGGTTCAAAAGCTGCTAGTCATAATGAACGAGGAGTCAAAACGAGAGTTAAAGTCGTATATAGTCAAAAAGTAAAGGAGCAAATGTAAATCCACTTTACACGTGTAACATGGTCGTGTGTAACATCGAGCTTCTTATTCAACAACACCCGACATTCATTGGCTACAAAGTATTTTGGCACTTGTGTTGTTGTCATTGTTGGCGGTAAATCTCTGAGAGCGAGGAGGATGGCTTTGGGATAGACACAAGCACTACTACGGTGAACGATACTCAGTGGCATTCCCGCCCATTCTTGTTTTTATGCATCATCATTTGCTTCGTTCCTCTTCTCTTCTCCTTAAAACTTGTGTACCTTTGTGGCAAATAAATCAGCACCATTCAACAAACAAAGATGCGTTCTTTGTATATGTGAACGATGAATATGGATAGATCATTCTAGACATAATCAAAGAGGAGGCGTATCCGTAACAAAAGTAGTAGTACACGGCTATCAACAATGTCATGGTTTCCCTCTATAGCGTGTTCATGCCGGTTGAAAGATAATGCTGGTATTCAATCCGCTGAATTGGTACCGCTCTATTATTATGTAATCGGGAGGAGTATAGTGGATGAATATCCTTCCTTCGGTTATTGACTAGTAGTAAAGGTAAATGAAGAAGGATCACCTGTATCATGATTTGATACACAAAGAGGTATTGGTGGATGTGATGTTATACTATACTTTTGCTGATAGGGAAAAGATACCACCCAGTGTTGTCGGAATCAGTCTAAATGAGCTAGTCGAATGAATGGCGATCCTTGATTCCTATTTTGTAACTGTTTTTGATCTCATTCTCTTTTTCTTTTTTCCTTCTTGTCACCCAACTACTTTATCTTTTACATACACTCTTTTCCTCCACAACAACCCCCTTTACCCCTTTTGTGAAAAGCTCCCCTTGGAAAGGCAGCAGCAACAAAAACAGCAGCAGCAACAACAGCAGCAGCATTTTCACCCCCCTTCTCTTTATTTTACTTGTATCAAACTAATAATCGCCCTTGTTTACTCCACACACATATATACACTCTCTTTCCCGCCTTCAACAACATGTTGTTCAGCACACGAGTCCAGGTCATTTCGGTTATCCTAGCAAGCTGTGTCCTCTTTTACTTTTTGGCCTTGTCATCGAGCCGGACATGCACTGAAGAAAGCAGCAGCAGCAGTAGTTTAAGTCTTATGAATGGTCATTTCCACAGCAGTGGACCTCATCGATTTCAGTATTACGACATGGACAAGTTGAATGCGACCAACCATGAACAGCACAATGAACACGTGTTGATTCTGACACCGCTTAAAGACTCTGCACACCTTATCGAACGCTACTTTGACAGCGTGAACCGACTGACGTATCCACATCACCTCATATCACTTGGATTTCTTGTGAGCGATTCTTCAGATGGGACGATTGAAAAGTTACAGGATCACGCTCGATGGATATCATCGCAACAGTCGTCATGGCAACAATTTCATCGAATCAGTATTTATCAAAAGGATTTCGACTTTGATCTCCCCAATACGGAAGAACGACATGCATTTGGTGTACAAGTCGAACGCCGAAAGATCATGGCCAAAAGTCGCAACACATTGTTATCAGCTGCATTGTCAGAGGAAACATCATGGGTATTATGGCTCGATGGCGATGTGCTTGAATATCCATCTACCATGTTACAAGAGTTGATTGCATTGGATAAGGATGTCTTGGTTCCCAATTGTTGGTGGCATTCTTACAATGAAGAAGGTGGATATGACAAGAACAATTGGCAGGAAACACCTGAAAGTCTCGAGTTTCAAAAGACGTTGGAGGAAGAGGATGTATTGGTGGAAGGTAATAAGAATGAATGATATAACCAAGTGTTGAGTATACTCAATGGTATTATAGGATACCCGGAATTGGAGACACATCGAAAGTTGTTGATTGATATGCGATTTGAAAATGAGCAAACGGAGCTCTTTCATACCGTGCCACTGGATGCAGTAGGTGGTACATGCACTTTGGTCAAGGCGGCAGTTCATCGAGAAGGAGCCATATTTCCTACATTTCCATTCCAGCATCAAGTGGAGACAGAGGGATTTGCCAAGATGGCCAAGGCATTGGGTTACCAAATCTGGGGACTCCCCAACTATCTGGTGTATCATATTATCTAATAACAAAGCATCATCATCATCATCATCAACATCATTGCTCTGTGTTTGAATATTGCGTGTGGGTGTGTGCGTGCGTGTGTGTGCGTTCTTTCTCATGCTGGGTGCACAAAGCGCCACCTTACAAGTCTGCTGGTGTGTGTGCATGTGTTGATGATTGCATCTCTTTCCTGTTTACTTTACTTTTCCCACATGCCATCCTAAATGACCAAGAATCGTCCTCCATCTCGACTCTTTTCGTGGTTATCACAATGGACTCGTCGATATAGCAGTAGTGATGATTCACCTTCTTGCGACGATACATCATCACCCTCTTCTTATTCACAACCACCACAACCACAACCACAAGTAACAAGCACTGAACCTATTAATGTACCACGTCCTTCGATTACGTTATCAGTGGCTGGTACCATCGATACTTGTTTTTATTCGACTTCCTCCTTCCATTCTTCTACCAACAATCCTTCATGTTCCAGTAGTCCACGACGTGCATCGGCCATGAATGAAATATGGAAAGGCAACGAAGACCCGCTGATCACTACAACAGCGACGAATGGCCATCATGCAGCAGCAGCAACAACTGTTTCATTGGGAGCCAGCTATCCTGAGAAGCGATTATCGTTTCATCATCATCATCATCATCATCCTCATCATACCAGCATGTCTGTATCACCTTGTTCACCACCAGCATCTGTACATCGACCTTCATCCGTATTTTCATTACCTCCACCCAATACTACTACGACTCGTACCAATCGAGATGACGTTAGACCTCCTCGTTTGTCATATGACATGGATGTTGTGCTTTCACCCACATTACTATCCAACAACAACAACAACAACAACCATCATTATCAACATCATCATAGCATGACTCCATCCACTACTACTCACCATAAACAAGAGGATGTGGTCGAGGAAAAACCCAAGAAGATCAAGATCAAGGATTCATCATGGCCACGCGCTGATCGCATGATTATCCGCCAAGAATTAGTGCGTCTTGCTTTAGATGGGTAAGGGGAGGAGACGATGTAAACATTGCATTACTATGACCATACACTCACCACAGCCACAACAGGTTGTTTTATAGTCCTGTGAATCTCTCGGACCCCTCCAAAGAAAGAAAGATCTTGCATATTGGGTAAGCCACCACCATAACAACAAAAAGCAGAAACTTTAAAATGCAATGCACTCACATGTGATGATGACTATCAAAAGCTGCGGTGATGGATCATGGTGTATGGACATGGCAAAGAAATACAAGCATTGTTGGGTATTAGGCATGGATGAACGTGATGTATTGGATCGACACAAGACGATGCCCAGCAACTTTCGCTTCATACGTGTACAACATGACATGTTGACTGACCTCAAACGCTTGTCCGAGGATCAATTTGACTTCATCTATGGGCGATTTCTCATCTTTTCATTACCACCCGATCTCTATCGTGATATTGTGCAAGAGTGTTGGCGGCTCTGTCGTCCTTCAGGTTACGTAGAAATGATGGAATTGGATATGCGTATCTATGGGAACCCACATATTGGTCCAATGACCCAAGAATTGAATGCACAAGGTATGTATGACATGCTAGCGTTTTTTTTATTATGTGACACCAATGATTTTATTGTATACGTATGTAGTCATTCATTTGATGGAACGGAGATCCCTTGATCCACATTTCGCACAACATTTACAAGATGTCTTTTTCTTCCATGAGCTTGTGGAACAGATGCATCAACAGCATGGTTACGCCTATCATGCCAAGCATACATCACTTCCTCTTGGGGTATGGGGTGGTCGCATTGGCGTCATGTTCAGAGACGATTTACATGATATGATTGAAATGATCCATATACGCGAACAACAACGAAAACGTCGACCATCACCACGACCACGACAGCGGTCCTCATCCTCGTCTTATTTTACCTATATCGATCATTCGGCTTATACTCAAGATGATGATGATGATGATGACTATGATGATGATGATACAAGCGACTTTGTGGATGACTATGATCCTTGGACCGATCAACGATTACGAGCAACATTGGAACAAATGGATGAAGAGCTTGAGATGCATTGGGCGTTTATGAATTTGCATCATGCTTATGCACAAAAGTTGTGAAGGGGGGTTTGGGCTGGTTGTTCTACCTTTGTATATATATATATATTGCTCTCTTTTGTACATGATAATTGCAATCCGAACCATTTTACTCATCACCTGATTTCATCCCGGACAATCGGAGTATGCACATGTTGTTATCTCTCTCTCTTTTTACATGACACGACGACACGACATGTTGAATTAGCCATTCTTTCTCTTTCCCTTTTTCAATACGATGCTCTTGACTCGTCCATGTTTACTACAACGCGCTCGATTACTATTACGTCTACGTGCACGTCAATCCTGTGTACGACTTTATGGAAGCTCTCGAAAACGCAGTTGGTTTGACCGGTTTCTTACACCCAAAGAAGAACAAGAGCTTTATTTCAACATCACTTCGACATTTCGCGACTATTTACAAAAGCAATCGACCAAGAGTGCCAAATCGTATTCCAACATTATCGAACAAGTCATTTTGACAGGGCATACAGCACCAGCCACCACGATCCCTTTCCATCGACTCAATGCCATCAAGCAACAACTCGATGACCCCTCCACGACGGTGAGCGAGCTGGAGTCATTGTGGCGTGAGATGAATAAAGGCCAAGTCAGCAGTGTGGCCATGTACAATCGATTGATACGAGCCTTTATACGATGCGATGCATTATCCACAGCTGAAAAGGTGTTTCAACAACTCAAACTCATGCCAACAACACGCACGTTCACGTACCTTATTGATGCGCATGTCAAGGCAGGCAACGTGGATAAAGCACGCATGTACGTCGAGCGTATGCAATATCTAGACCAGGTGCGTCCTCGTCATCCTTTCGATTACAGTGTCATGCTACGCTATTATATCCAGGCGGAGGAACCTCATGCAGTCGATCTCTTATGGAACGATCTTCAACACCATGTGGATACCATTAAACCGGGATGGAGTCTTTATGCGTACTACATGGATTGGTTGGTGACACGTGGTCAATTCAAAGCACTCGAACGTCTCATTTCTTCATCATCACAATTGCCATCGACCCCTCCTCCACGTCAAATGCTTCCAGTCCTTGATCGTATCATCAACACACTCCTCACTTCATCCTCGGCGAACGAACAGACATTGGGACAAGCATTAAGAAGAAGGATTAATGATAGTATTGATACCACGTCAAGTAAATCATAACGCATTTGATTTGTACATATGTATAAACGATGATAACTATGACTACTACAATTTGGATTCTTGGGAGGTATGGGATACACTGGCATTGGTAAAATGATCATCCAGCAAAGCATTGTAACGTTCGGGTTGTTCTTCGGGGATGGCATGACCACTACCTTTGAATAATTCAAAGCGAGGATTCAACACCTTTTTCAAATGATACGAGTATTGGGGACGGACAAGGTTATCCCAAGTGCCTGTAATCACCATGACAGGAAGTCCACTTGATTTGATCTTTAAAAGTCGATCATCCGAGAAGGAGTGGCCTAAACATGCTGCTGTTTGCGCAATGTTGCCCCTGAGAGGTTGTAATCGAGAACGAGCGACATGGCTGATGAAGTTTGCTGTGGCCATTTCTCGGTTGGTATCATATTTCTCGGCATGATCGGGATGTTCAGGCTTTTGGCTCAACCACGTTTCAGGATAAACGAGTTCCATGGCTGCCTTCAACTTGTCACGTGGATTACGGTAGAATAGCACAATCTTGGAGAGTGAAGAGATGGCGGTCCACTGATGTATGATAAGTTAGGATGAATACGTCGGCGATAATAAACATGACGAAGGGACGACGCTTACAGTGGGAATGTTGCGTTTAGCGGTGGTACTTGTCAAGGTCAAGGATTGGAATCGGGCTGGGGCAGCATCTACCATTTCGAGTGATATCATACCACCCATTGAGATACCCACCAAATGCACTCGTCTTGTCCATCCCAAGTGATCCAATAAGATTAATGCGTCCTTGGCCATTTGTGATGTCCTGTTTCGGAATAACATGTGAAAAAAGGGCCTCTTTGTATTCCCCAAAATAGGTGATTTTGCGCTGACACAAACTTACGAGTAGATGCCAAGTGGGGAATCTACATACACAATGACATATATAATTCAGCATGTTTTGGTCTAGGTTGAGTAGAGAAGAACAATAAAGAACCGTACCTGAATGGCCCATGCCGCGATTATCGAAAATGACCACCGAGTACTTGCCAGAACGTGCAAGATAATCCACCTACAACAATAACGGCAACGTCAATCTTTTGAATCCATAAAGGGGGGGAGTGCAGGTATGAAAACTTGCCTGGAAGTCCCATGCACTGCATGGTGTACTCAATCCTACACGTTTTCGCAAAGGTCAATGGTCGTCATGGCAATGGCACGCAATCGTGTTTCTTTTTACCCATGACAAGCAACACAAGTTCTGGCCCATCGCCATGGAGTTCGTAGTATATGTTTACAGGTCCACGTTCACGGTGAGGAGAGACGTCAACATGACCTTTTTCGCGTAGTGTAGTAGAATGCATCAGAATAAACTAAAGGAAAGGAAAAAAAGACTCGCATGAACAATGGTACCTGATATAAAAAAGCGCGCGTTACACAGGTGACGTTCCCTTTATTTTGCTTTGTGGGGTTGTGTATGTGTGTGCGATCACTTACCAGTGGTGAGAGTATCCATGGATGTGCGGATTCATCATCGTCATATGACGTTTGCAATTGAATGGGGGCATGATTCACATAAAAAAAGCCCACCCATAGGCAAATCATTCGAGAGGAGATGGTGGTGCTGTCAAATTGTAATTGTAGTAATAGCATCTTGTAACACATTACAAAGACGATATCCATCTCGTACTCCTCTATCGCTGTTATATAACACAAGACATGAGACACCGCTTGTACATTGCAACATGGCGTGTTCCCCTTTATCCACGTGGCAAAGTATGCCTCGGTATGTACGCATCATACATGTTCTTTATATACAACAATGAATTAAGGGTGTCGAGTTGTCTTACAAAGAATGAGGACTTTTAAAGCATGACCGAGCTTGGATCAAAGGGCCTGCATAGAGAGAGAGAAAGAGCAAGGGACAAATGGTGCAGCAGCAGGTGTGACGCGTGTCTCCCTTTCTTTTATTTTCATCATGATGATGCATTGGGGCAGGCCGGCATAAAAGAACAAGAATGTGTGTGTGTATGGCTGTTGTTATTACTCATTGCTTCTTGGATGCTTGTTGTTGTGTTGGATGATTGACCGATGATGACGAAGATGAAGATGCATTATTGATAGGAGCTTGGTGAAGTGGATGGTAATTTGATAATTCCTTCTTTTCTTGATCCTTGTTGCCATCGTTAATGGAACGTGGTAAAGAGCAACTTGAACCTTCAGGAGCACTATGCAATGATGCTGCCATACGGCCTGTGAGATGTTGCGTTTGATCTGTGGATAAATGATGGCCGAATCGTTTCATAATGCTATTCATGTAAAAAGGTGATGCATCATTCTGGAGAACCGGGGGCATGGTGATGGTTGTTCAAGAACAAGCAAAAGGGAAAGAAAGCAAAACAGTAGGGTCGGGAGTGAAAGAAAGCTATATAAAACAAGATATGCATGATAATCCACCTAACAGACTAGTCTACATTGGGTGGTTATCGATAGCAACGGCATTGTCATTATCATTTTTTATCACCCATTGCTTGTTCCATTCTATACATACATGACACGCTTTTGATGGCATGAGCCACAACCCTCTTTGATCCTCCAAACAGCATCATTTTCTGCTACATCCACACACACACAACCACACACCTCCTCCTCCTTTTTTTCTTATTTGCATTTGGATCATCATCATCATCATCGTGCTATTGACCGACACCTGCCGATTCATTCCATTTCATGATTAATTGTTTAGCAGTTGGCTCATTACGCAATTTAAATGTACCATGCATCATTCATAGGTGGGCACTGAAAAAGACATTGTGTTGTGAGTGTGTGGGAAAACCATGGTTCCAATGACTTGCCCTTGTTGACCGTGACGAGGAAAGAAATGATCATTTGACCTTTTTGTTTGAAATGTGCTGCTGCAGCATCGTTGCCACCACCCCTGAATATGTAACAACACGCATTTGCTAGAAAATTATTTCGAGTCTATGGCCTACTTGACGACTTGACTTGCTTAAAAGCTAAACTATGATGGCTTACCTACTACTGCTAGGCGTACGTACATGGCCATTTCTCTTATTGGACCCCCCCCAACCAACTTGGTTTTCAGCTGATTGAGTCATCAGTCCCAGTGTCTCAGTAGCTGCTGTGAGCCCCCATACACCTTACGAAAAAAAGCTTTCCAGTCCGTGAAAATATAGGTGTCATGTGCGCCTTTTATCCACAAGCTTCGGGTTAAGACGTTATCGTAATGTAGCTGCATGCTTGTAATCTTGATAATGTTACTTCCATAGGCATCACTTTTTTAAACCATGCTCATGGTAATCCCTGTGTGGCACTACAGTACTGCCACCTACGCACATACATACTTTGGCTATAGCATATAGTCACATGTTATCGGCTCAAGTAGCCAACTGTGCGAAAGGTATGCATGTGTAGATTATCCACTTCCATTCTTGGTCTCATTTTCTGTGCACTTGCCACTCATCAGAAAATAAGTATGGCTCCAAAGTTGAAACAAGAGAGGAAGATTTTATGTGTAACTCCATGTTGCAGGATTGTTGTTGTCACACCATGCCAATATCTTTTCGCTGTGGCCACTGCGTCACACACACCCTGAGTATGTCACCAGGCCTGTCATCATGCCATGGCAACGCGGATACTTAAAAGTGCAACGATTTAATTAATGGCAAGTTCGAAGCCAGCTTTGTTGTCGCTATCCACCATCACCACGAGAGCAGCAATAGCAGTAGCAGTAGTATAGTCGCCCATATCCCGTTTAGGCTTGATTGAGGATGATCGTGTTGTCGACTACACTGCATACTACTACTGGATTGACGATGGTGTCGCTTGATAGGATGCCATCATCCTCCGCCTGTCTCCATGGTTACATGAAAGTACAGCATGTATGATGCAGGAACATTTATGTGCATATGTATTCTTCCCATGACAAACCACAGGATGATTCACTTGCCACACATACCTCGTCGTCGCCTTTGTGAATGAGTAAATGATTAACTATGCTGCATGCAGTGGCAAGTACATAATGACCAGGTCATTCAATCAAATCTTAACGATATCCACGCATAAGGAGAATATCCGATCGGACGTTGTGCTCTACTAAAAAGGGGTATTTTAGGAGACTCGTTGATTTAGAAAAGAAAAGGTCTCTTTCTTTTTTTAACGAGAAGCATGAAACTCTCTTTTCCTCTTTTACCTAGCTTTAATCATAATCCCAAAGGCAAGACAACGGCCATATCCCTTGTATTTGCTATTTTGTTTGTCACGACGACGACGAATGCCATCACAACGACAAAAGACAATGATGCCATTATTACCTACAACATTCAAGACCAGCTGAATCATCGAGCATTTGGCATTAGAGATGAAGATGGTGCCGACTTTGATGGTCAAGGGCATTATTTTTTGCAAAAGAACACATCATCCACCATGTCAATAGATGCCATCTCATTCAAATCCTTCATTGGAGATTCAAAAGACAACATGGTAGCCAAGGGCCAAACGCTTGCATTGGATGATGATGCCGACAACAACAACAACAACACCGCTTTGGGAGCACTTTATCTCCTTACCTCTGCAAGCTTTGGACCTACGACGCCGAGTAAAGTACGAGTGCTATACAAGGATAATACACATAGCGATGTTCGAATCAGTGTACCAGATTGGCAGGCCCAACACCTGCATCAATTACGCTATTTGAAGCAGCGATTCCCGATCAGTGCAAGTGACACGCGTGATGGCGCATTGTATGCATTACCGGTCTTTGTGGATCCAAGGAAAAGCGTTCGCTCTATTACATTACCCGCGGACGATCATTTACACGTGTTTGCCATGACAGGCTACCGGTCATCATCATCATCATCATCCAATCTCAAGGTTTTTGCTGCACGTTCGGCAGGATGGGCTTCCAATAACCAAGCCATTGTCGAAGTGCTGGTACATAATATCAGTCCCAAGTATCAGGGACCAGTTGACATTAGTATCAATGATCACGAGAAAAGTGCAACGTTAAAACAATTGGCTCCAGGACACATGACTACTGTCAGGGGTGTCATTACCACCACCACAAGTAGCAAGATGGATGTTACCATAGCATTAGGTGATTGTTGTCAAGAGACCTTCACATTGGATTTTGGTTCACCAAGGTATGTACATGTGCATAACGACATACATTGGGTGTGTGTAAAAGAGATACTTACACAACACATGACTACTATTGCTGTAGCCAAGTCAACCAGCATCAAGCACCAGAATGGCTTCAAAATGCAAAATTTGGTATCTTCATCCATTGGGGTCTCTACTCGGTACCTGCATGGGCACCTGTGGGCAAGGAATACAGCGAATGGTATTGGTGGCAAATGAATCATGAAAACGATCCCACGTACGCATACCACAACAAGACCTATGGAGCTGACTTTGCCTATGACGACTTTATCAATTCAACTCAACTCGCTTCGCATTTGGACCCTCGTGCATGGCTTGATCTCGTGGATGCAGCACATGCACGTTATTTCGTGTTCACCACCAAACATCACGATGGCTTTGCCTTGTGGGATACCAAGGTCACGGATCGATCCTTTGTCAAAATGGGGCCTAAACGAGATATTGTCAAGGACTTGATGACAACAGCTGCAAGTTCATATCCACATTTAAAGCGAGGTCTTTATTGTATGTTGATATCCTGTGTAGTGATGTTGTATACATGGACTCATTTTACAACTTTATAGTTTCTCTCCCCGAGTGGTATCATCCACAATACAAGGATGATTCTCTTGGATGGCATGGTCCACCCATGAACCCATATACCCAAAAGGAGATTCCTTATACCGGCTATCGCAAGATTGATGACTTTGTCCATGAATTGCAAGTGCCACAGGCAAAAGAACTTTTGCAACAGCATCAACCCGATATTTTTTGGTGCGATATTGGAGGCATTCATGATTCGCTTGAATGGCAAAAGGAATACTTTTCGGCTGCTGCCAGTCGTGGTCAACAGGTGGCAGTGAATGACAGGTGCGGGGATGGTTCAGCTTCTGATTTCACCACCGTCGAGTACAAAACGGTGGACACAGCCCCTGATCGGTTCTGGGAAGCTACTCGTGGTATCGATCCTTATTCTTTTGGCTATAATCAAGCAACACCCAAAGACAAGTATGCTACAACGGAAGAACTTATCAAGGAACTCATCACCACAGTGGCTCGAGGAGGCAACTTTCTTCTCAACATGGGCCCTGATGCTTCGGGCAAAGTGCTTGAACCCATGAATACACGTTTACGCGAGATGGGTGAATGGCTTGATCGTTATGAAGCTCAAGAGGCTATTTTCAACACAACCACCTTTTGGGCAGCTCCTGATGGCGTGGATGATATGGATGATGGCCATCGATTGTATTTCACTGTGGCCGATACTGCCTTTTACATCTTCACTCTTGAAAAACCTTCGACCACCACCCTTGTGATCGATGCACCTATACCCATTCACCCAACGCTGGGTAAAGTATCTTGTGCAGGGCAGCAAATCTCTTGGTCATTGGATGATCAGGGACGACTCGTACTTGAAATATCAGATCATGTGATTAATGCAAGCCAATATGCCTGGATCTTTAAAGTAACCAACCCCAATTAGCATATAGAACTTGTCAACAACGTCTTGTATTGTATATATATAAAATAAGATTATCTTTTATTTTCATGTGGGGATGTTCATGCAGTTGTTACATTACACAGTATATCAGCCACTGATGGTTCCGAGAGCGGCATTCCTTTCGGCTACAATCTATTTTACTACTTGACACCACCACCACTGCATCGCGCCATGTCTAGCAAAGCGCCCTTGTCAACCCTCCAACGATTAAGACTCATTTACAAGACCAGCCGTTTCCCTTGGAAGAAGCACATTATGGTGGGCTGGGATCTCGACGGGAATGAATACTGGGAAATGCCCAACCCAAACAACCCTGGTAATCACAATGGTGGTGCAACCATGACGTTTTGCCGATCCAATTGAATAACAGAGCAACCATAGGAGGACGCTGGAAACGGTGGGTACAGCTCAAGGAGCATGATGGGGATGTGGGTCTGTTTGAAGAAAACAAGTTGCCAGGTTAGATAATGCGAACGCGTCCTATTTGCTATGGCAACTCACACTCTCTTTTTTTGGGGCATAGTACAATGGCAAGCATGGTTACGCCATACTCGATTTGAAGCACCACGTATCCAAGAATTGGTTCAAGAACAAAGAAGATTAGCTATATTACGAGAACGAGTACGCAAACTCGAGATAGCCGAAAGGGAAGAGAAATTGCGACTCGCCAACAAGCAACACCAAGAGCCGGCAGCAGCAGCAGCAGCAGCACAAGAACAAAAGGAAAAGGTAATTGGATAAAGAAAAGTGGATAGAATGCATCATCTCATGCTTGGACATTACTTTCTTTTATAGGAATTACCGGCATTTAAGAAGGGTAAGCTATCATCCTCAAGGAGGAGAAGAAGAGGAGGGGCGATGGAAAACTAAATCATTTATATCAATAGGATCTCCAGAAGGTGGTGATGAACCCGAACCATGGACACCTAGTGCACCTGCTAGACGTGGATAATACATAATAAAAGCATGGATGGGGTGTGTTGTATACTAGTATGTAGCTGACTCTCATGTGTGTGTGTGTGTGTGTGAGTGAGTGTGTATTGGATGAGATTGACGTCACCGGCAAATCTGGGTTGAGAGTTCAAGTTGGGTTTGTAGGTATTGTGTGTGTGTATCGTCTTGTAGTATCTTTTTGTTTGTTCTTCACCATGTTGCGCACCGTGTTGAGAAGATCGGTTCGCTTGTACAGCACCACCACCAACAGCACCAGCTTGCGAGTCTCAGCCAAGGAAGTCGCTCCTGCCGTCGCTCAATCTCCCAATCGTGCCACCACCTGGAGTGAAAACCAACGTGCCAAACATGTCGCCATGTCCGGTCCTCGCTTCGAACAAATGAACTTGGAGGCTCAGGTAGATTGAAGATTTTCTCCTTCCAACACCTAATCCTGGACGAGTGTCATGCTGACCCCATTCACTGTTTTAGCCCAACTCCATGGCCGCCATTGACTTGATTGCTGAAGAGCCTGTCCGCATGTCCACCAAGCGCGTTGTTGCTTGTGATGGTGGTAAGATATTTATATACATAGTATGAGGATCCAAGCTGATTGAATGTTACATAGGCGGTGGTCCTCTTGGTCATCCCAAGGTTTATATCAATTTGGATAAGCCTGGTGCTCACCCTTGTGGCTACTGTAAGTGGTTTCATTGTCCTTATTATCAAACATTTTGCTCACATTGGGTACGTTATAGGTGGTGTCCGTTTCCAATTGGAACATCATCATTAGACTGATTTTTTTATTTCCCCCCCTTCTCGACACTCACACACATACACACACAATAAAACGACGACTGCAAAAAATCCGATCCTAGCAGCACCGTTCAAGCGCACGCAACAGGTTTTCGAGCAATGATGCTATTTGGGTGGATGTGGTATTTTGGTCTAGGAACACCTTGGCTGGGTCGAGTATGGAAGAAAAGAGTTGGTCATCCACAAGTTCTACCACTTGGTGTTGTTCATCCGATTCAAGTCGCAGGTATAAGCTGAGAAGATCACCATCAAGTGCATGTTTTTCTCGCTGTCCAATGTTATGATACCATTGAAAATCACGAGGAGAGCCGAGTAGAATATATAAGGATTGAGCGAAATGAACCAATCGTTCTTGAAGTGCATAAAGTAATTCATACAGTGGTTGGCTGACACGATGCACCGATATTAAACCACCAGAGACACCAGCACATAGAATAGGCTTGATTGTCGTCGTCGTCGTCGTTTCATTCGATGAGGAGGATGAGGAGGAGGAGTCCCAAGGTAAAATGTGTCCATCAATACAATCGGCATGAGTGACGACTTCCAGCGTGGTGGACGATAGTAAAGATGTCAATGAAGGGCGAATCAGGATATCAGGGTAATGAAATGAAAAGCTGGTCAGCAATCTTTGCTCAAACGATCGATCCTCTAATAAAGACATGTCGCATTAACCTCTTATTCAACTTGCATTTCCCCATACACAATGCTACCTGGATTGTCCCAAAGAGCAATTAATCCACCAAATTGATTTGAGCCGACGACGAGTTGAGGATGTGGCATCATTGAATGGAGCATAGTTCGTGCAGAGATATCGCTAAGATTACGTTATTAGTATCGCTTGTCTCTCGCTCTCTTCCCTTTAATAAATACCTTTTACAATATTCAAGTTTGCTTGTTTCTGCATTGAATCTGTAGTATGAAATCGAATCTCCTTGACAGGTGACACATATTTTATCGCCGTCAACTTGGATACCAGTAATCAGGAACCGAAGAGGCTTTTTGGTAATCTCGATCAATCTATTGAGATAGACATGTGAGTACCCATGTCTTCAATCCCCCCCCATCAACCAATGACTTACTTTGCTTCCTTGCCATCCGTATCAAGCTGGTATAAGTACAACACGGGACCTGCAGAAAACAAAAGACTATAATGGGCATTAGAACAACGTATCCTTCACGTTCTCATGTTTCTACTCTTACCCTGCTGGATGTGGACATATGGCAAAGACACCTCCTGTCAAGTCTTTGTTCATCACCGGACGTAATGTGTAGCGGACACGCTCATCTTTGCCTTGTTTCAGCCGATAAATCATAAGGGTGCCTCGTTCAGCTCCTATCTTTTTGATCCGTGTTCGATTGCTGGTCATATTCATCTGCCCAACACCAAGACATAGATAGCGATAGGTCTTGTTACGATGCTGTAATGTCCATTCTAGTATATTCATTTATGTGAATCATCACCATCCTTTGTCGTTGAACATCCAATCAACAATTACCTGTCATACAAAGCACCTCATCGGTAGGTTGAAATGCTCTTTCATTCAAAAGAATCTGGTTCTGGTTGCTCGGGCTGCTGCGATATCGTATCTCAAAATGAGTCGACTTTAACGATACATGTTGTTGATAATTACCTTCTCGTATCCACAAGGTGTAATGTATTTTTGTTGCGAAAGTTGTTACTGTCAATGGCACTGGTAAGCACAAAGGCATTGTGTGAAAAAGCGCTATCCAGCATAAAGCGGGTAGGTGTCTACGTGATACCGTTAGGGGCGATCATAGTATGTATCTCATGCATAATGGAATGTTTTTTTTACCTCTCCAAGGGGGATTTTCTCTGCAGCAACCGTGCTTTGCTTTGATAGTTGTACAACATGAAGAGAATCATCCGCCACAACACCTGTAAATTCGCGATGCATGCCATCAATGGAAAACGAGACGACTTGCTCTATATCCTTCATCCAAGGTAGCAAGACGAGGTCAATTTCGACAGCGTCAGGGTATAAGTCATTGTACTGCACACGCCAGAGTTGATCAGAAAGTGCGAGTATGGACGATAATGACGATGATGATGATGATGCCGAGTCGAATCTGACAGCGCGTCGTCCAAGTTGACGAATAAAAGGAGTTGATTTCTTGTCAAAGAGGTGCTTATCTTGATGCTCAATTGGGAAAAACACAATAGATCCAACTCGTAATCCAAGCATGAGAATGGATTGCTCCTCTTCCTTTTCAGATGTGATCACAGCCATGGAATGGGGTATTGCACAATTATCGAGCCCTTGGATCATCGCTAGAGAAATTGAATCAGCACTTTTTGGATTAGCAATACCATTTGGTGTATGATTACCTAGATCGATGTCCTCCAAAAGTTCTAGATTACGAGAGCTTGTATCATAAAATTGTACAGACGGCTTAAAGGTACCAATGGCCAGCAGAGTTTGGTTCCTATCATCATACTTCATTAGCCTACCATAGGCATCCGATTACAATCCACAATAAAAGCGCACATACTTGAGTTGTAAGTAGCCTAAATAGCTTGGTTCTGCTTGACATGATGATCTTGAAGTCGCCTCTATAATGATCCCCCTATCATCCAATGTTAGTCAAATTGCCCACAAAGATACATGCATTGGTGACAAATCCTTACCTGTGGTCGAAGGCTGGCTTTGGGGTGAGAATTATCAAGGAAGATTCGCCATCGTTAAACACAACCAAAGCTATCTGAGCACTGCCTGGATTTGCACAAGATAATACAGCTGCTAGGGTAATGGTCTCATTGCCAGAGGATTTCCACCGTGCGCAAATAAGATCTATCACAGCATAAGTTTAATTCAAAGGAAACGAAATGACATCGACAGCATCACTAACCTTGAGCTGTAATGTCGATAACAACGACTTCGTCAGGATACGCTTTGATAAGGTAGCCTTTTGAATCCAAGTTGATTGATCCAGCGCCGACTAGCCGTTTGTCCGCTTGCAATTGCTCCAGCTCCCTGATATCACCATCTACCTTGCAAGTTAGAGTATTTGTCATCGGTACTCATTATGAATCTTTTTGCTTACGTCGAGTGGATAAGACCTTGGAATTGATAGCTGATGAAGTAACAAGTAGCGGTAAAAGGCTATTATCAGCGTCGGATATAACGGTACTCCAAACCCGAGAAATTCTACATACATGATTAGATAATTCCAATCCCATCGCCCTCGTAAAGTGCTTACTGTTGCCAATGGTTGGATGATGAGCCTATCGTCTTGGATTTGATGCCACGTTGAAAGAGACATAATGCGCCTTGCCCGCCTTGACCAGAGCAACTTACAACTGTGTCTTGCCCACATTCATCCGCCGACATTGCTGCTCGCATATCAGTGATCGGTGCTCGATTCTCGAAACTTTGTATCAGCAGGGGAGGTCGTTTATGTTCCCTGTCAACCTGAAAGAGACCCAAACACAGTTATAAAATCGCTCACTCTTCTCCCCCTTAGCTACTTACTGCCAGCACTTGACTATCTGCACCTTCTCCCGCATAGATCACGATATCTGCTTGGTACTCCCCTTCGTTCTCTGGAACATCCATCACACCCAAGACACACATGCTTGATCCAACTGGATTGATGCGCTCCATAATATCCCAATTCATGGCTTGAGGAGAAGGAAATGACAACTTGAAGAAATTACCATTGTCGGACCCAACGTAGACATAAGGTATCGGTGAATCATCCACAGGGATAGCAAAAGATGTCATAAGCGGACCTATTGCAGTCTTTTGGTTAATACATGATGAACACAGTAAAGACATCATACGTACAGTTGACTTCTCCAAAGGGACGCGGGATCAAGCAAGTAGGATAAAACATGTTGCCAGATACAATATCCTCCACAGTGACAAGCGCTGCTTCATAATTCTAAAACACATTTGGACATAAGTGACATGCTCAAATACACCGATCGTGAAGTACTTGCTGTAATAATCACAAAGGCTTCTGGATGATGCTTCAAAGGAATAAAGAGAATGGGTATAGGTGCATCTATGGTCGAGTTAATATGCTATCCCCTTGATGGTTTAAAAAGTTACTTACTTGCATCCAACGGTAGTCGTCCTATCCGCTCCACTAATACATCTTCGGGATTGGTAGCATCTATGGCATATATGCTGATCCAGCACTTCACTTCTACATCGCTAGCATAGAATCCTTGTTAAGTAATTCAATCCACTTCGCATGTGATCATCGACCTTACTTGAATATCATCAGGGCTAATAGGATCCTATCACGCGAATTCGATTCTGTGTGCAAAAACTCCATGTGCCAAATAATGCCTTCCTCCTCGATCGATCCTCTCTATTATACGTAACCCAAATCAGTATTACTCCCTCAAAGTCGGCTCTGCCCATGTATGTGTTTCTTGAGTACTTACACCGACAATAGGATCAAAGTGGGTCCTTGATATCGATTCGCCCATGATCATGACATCAAAGCGATCCTCATATGCAGATATAGCAATGGCTCTTGAACTAGGATTGAAGTTTATGAATGTGTGGACCTTTCGAATTGCTGAGGATGATCGATGCTTACTAGGGATCAACGGCAAGTCGCTTGTTCACCTTTGAAAATTCCAACCCAGGTTCATCCATACATATCTACAACCATGGATTGAATATTTCATGCAAACTTACCACCCCCAATGGATAAGTACATACCTCAGCCAATGGCTCAAAACGACCCTTTTGCGAGAGATGACCCTCTTGAGGTGTGGCAATGGTCATAAACACAAGTTTGCCGTATTCGGAAATGACCACGATCACATCGTCCCCTTGTACCGGTGTATGTCCCTGACGCACCTTGACGACGTATGGAAAATCAATGCTGATACTAGCCATATCTTCTGTTTCATCCTCGTCCTCTTCATCCTCTTGATCTTGCTCTTGCTCACGCTTTTCTTGTTCGAGAAAACGACACCGAACCACGTTCGCATCCGTGATATTGCCAAACGATGGTTGTTCAAAGCTCAAAGTCAATAGGTCGTCAATAACATCAGACGTATTCAGTTGTCGAAGTTCCAAACACGTTGGCTGAGTATGCGTGTATGCGTGTGTGTGAGTGTGAATGAGAATCGAAAGTAGAAAGTCAATGGCACGATTTCGAAGAGGTGGGATAATAAAAAGACGCTACCTTGACGAGAACAACGTCATGACCAGTGCCTGTCAATGATCCTGTAAGAATGCGTTGAATGACGGTGCTGTGGGAGGTCGATCGATGATAAGCAAACATGAACCAATGTTGGCTAGAAGAAAGAGAGAGCGGTGAAAGATGATGCTACACGCGTGATAGCCTACCAAAGGGTGTGCATGATTCTGAGATTTGGTTGCCATACCAACGCCCGTGCTATACACCCTATTTTGATTATTCACATCGACAAAAACCTATACTTTCTATTGATAACGCTAACAATGGATCTTGCATTGTTCATTAATAGAAGGGCGTACTATACTACGTTTTACTTGAAAGGGGATACAGCACATGGTACTGTGAACAATGATGCTGTTCCATTGTTTGATATTAAGGATATACATATGGATCAGCAAAACAAGCAAATGGTTTGGGCTCATTACCTATCATTTACAGTAATCATCCTTGAAAGCCTTTGAATACCTTTGAATGTAGTGGCTATGCCTTTGAATACCTTCGAAGGCCTTTGAATACAGTGACCATGCCTTTAGATGCCTTTGAACGTAGTAGCTAAGCCTTTGAAAGCCTTTCAATACCTTTGAATACAGTAACCATGTCTTTGGACATCTTTGAAGGCCTTTGAACGTAGTAGCTATGCCTTTGAATACAGTAACCATGCCTTTGAACACCTTCGAAGGCCTTTGATGAATGTAATAATAGCTATACCTTTGAACATCTTTGAAGGCCTTTGAATGTAATAGCTATGCCTTTGAACATCTCCGAAGACCTTTGAATGTAATAGACATGTCTTTTAATGCCTTGAACGTAGTAGCTATGCCTTTGAAAGTCTTTGAAGGCATTGGAAGCAGATGTTAAAAATTGGAAGGTCTTTGAAGGCCTTTAAAGCTATAGCGTTTGGACTCCTTCAAGAGCATTCAAAGGCATTTCAAGGAGCCTTTCGGCCTTCGTGGGCAAAGTAAAATTCTCGATGCATAGCAACCAGCTTTATCCTGGATCCCAATGTGTATGAATACATTTATGAAGGATGCTTGAGCTTCGAATCATCATTCGAATACAAAACCACAACTTTTATTATACCACCACATGGGAGGAATTTACACGTAAAGAGCTCTGTCGTAACAATATGGTTGCTAGGATGATAGGATGGGACTATGCTATAAAGAAACAAGGACCAAATGGAGTCATACGTAGAAGTGGATAATCGGGTACTCTCTGGAGGATGCAACAATAATGCCACGTGATTTCTGGCTACAAAGAAACAGCGTCCTTTAAAGAGTCCGACCTACACTCTCTTTCACTATGGCATCATCAAAGGCAGAGCAGAGCATTAGCAAGGTTGACGAATTGACCCATGCGATTGCAAGTTTGGCGCATGTCGAGAAGCCCTACCAAGACGGTTGTGTGATTAAGCGAAAGCTCAATGTCAAGCGAGCACCTGTTGATCAAGCGTTAACCGAAGCCCAAGCCAAGCTGTAAGTGTGTGAGTGTGTGTGTGTTGTATGCTGGGTCCTTTTTGTTAACTGAGGATGTGTATAGTGATATGTGGAAAACAGATCGAGATGCTTTGGATCATTGGACTTTGCAGTGGATCGTATCATTTTGCATGGTAAATCAGGGAGGGAATTGATTGATTCTGGATAAATTGGCTTATGCATATGCATAGTGCGAATTGGCGACAGAGAAAGAGCGATGCGACAAAGGGATCAAAAAGGCTCAAGAGCTAGTGGATACTGCAAAAGTCAAGGTGGATGAAGCCGATGAAGAAGTCCGTGAAGCTGACAACAAGGTATATAAAGCTTAAAGCATGGTTGATATGGGTTACTAATTCCTTGATCTCATACACGTATGCAGATTGAGAAACTTGCTGTTGATTATCGATCGCTTCAATCACAACGTGATGAGCTTGTGGAGATCTTGGATAATGTAAGTTTTCGCCCATGACATGAGATATCCCATAGAAACCTTATATTTGAATGATGATAGGTCTTTTCTTCTCAAGATGAATCATTCCCTACCATCGATGATTTGAAAAAGCAAGTGGAAGAAGCAGAAGCAGCTGTTCAGCAAGTCAAATCCAAGGATGAAAAGCTTGTCGAAGTGAAGCAACTACTAAAGCAGGCGGATTCAGCACTCTTGGAAGCTGTGATTGATTTACGGCAATCCCGTGATTCAAAGAATTTGGGTCAAGGTCAAGTCTACTTTCCACAAGCAGCTTATGAAGCCATCAAATCAGCACGTGAACTCTACCCTACGTTGCCAGCTATTGATCCTCCTCAAGAGTAAGCCATGAAGACTAGCTCCATTCATTTCATTTTTTAACATCAAGTATGATAGATACGTGAAGGAAGCGGATGATACAGGCGCCTTTTATTCACCTATGCAACGCTATCTTTGGGAAGTGCGTCAGCGACTCGCTGCCCTGGTGGAATGGTGTGATACACAAGAAATGGAACACATGTACGAGGAAGCTGAACGCTTGGTTGACGTGGGTGCCAAAATCGATGCATGGAATTTGGAAAGACGACGAGTCATCAAGGATGTTATTCTTCAAGCCTAAACAACAACAGCTTCTGTTTTAGTACCGATCCTGATCCGATAGCATGAAGCACCCTCCTCATAGACAACCCATCTATATCCTTACGATACATAGCGCATCATCAGCACATAATTAGATTTAGGGGGAGAGAATTTAATATATATTGTGTGTTGTCAAGGAGATCCATTTACAAAAAGAAACTCGCATTGATTCGTCGTCATCTTATCCAATGATGTTGTTATCTTGAACATGATATGGTGTACATAGGCCTTTTTCATTTGTGCATAGTAAAAGTACATGAAATGATATTTGATAGCACCAACACATACGATCCGATCATATCGGAATCGACTTGACGTCATGGCAGCCGGGTTCGCCATCATCACGTGCAAAAGTGCCTTGCAATAATGCATCCCGACATTTTTATACCCTTGGTTCCCTTCCTTCTTGTTCCGCTTTCTCCGCATACCCCAGAATGGCCATGGACGAATCCACACCAATCTCCAATGGTCGATCGCATTCATACCATGCTGTCAGCCAAGACACATCTCCAGACGACCCTACAGACGAATGGCGAGTAGAAATCGACGTCAAAGGACAAATCGACACGGGCAATGTGGACGAACGAGGGTTCTCGTGGACCAAACTTATGCAATACACAGGCCCAGGTAATTGTGCTACCTCTTCTTCTCAAATGATAATGATGTCTAATCATTGCTTGTTTGTTTGTTGTAGGATGGTTGATGTAAGCTTGATGGCTAATCAACATAGGTCATCCCTTGTCTCTAATCGCTTTATCTATCTATGTAGGTCCGTTGCTTATCTGGATCCAGGAAACCTTGAGAGCGACCTGCAGTCGGGTGCACTTGCAGGGTACAAGTTGTTATGGCTACTTTTTTGGGTACATGCTGCAGGTACATTCAAAGGGTGATGATCATAATTCCCACCTACTAAAAAAATGATATGCTGCTGCTACTTTTAGGTCTGATGATTCAGATTCTCTCGGCCAGATTGGGTGTCGTCACGAATCGACATCTTGCACAGCTGATTAATCAGACATACTCTCGACCCTTATCATTAGCCATTTGGGCATTTTCACAACTTGCCGTGATCGGATCAGACATTCAAGAAATCATTGGAACAGCGATTGCACTAAAGATTATCTTTGGTTTCTCACTTTGGATCGGCGTCATGATTACAGCCACAGATACCTTCATTTTCATGTTTCTCCAACAATATGGCGTACGCAAAATTGAAGCATTCCTTATTACATTGATTGTCGTCATGATTGGATGCTTTTGGGTGGAGATGTTCTTATCAAAACCTCAATTCGGCGACCTCATCGAAGGCATCATTGTTCCCGAGATTCCAAAGCAAGCCGTGGTCCAAGCTGTGGGTACAATCGGTGCAGTCATTATGCCACACAATTTATACTTGCATAGGTAAATGAATGGATGTTTGGGGGTCTTCAAATGTGCTTATCGGTTTTTGTTTGTTTATTACTAGTGCCTTGGTGATGTCGAGAAATTTGGGTGCCAATCCATCCGTGCGTAAGCTTAAGGAGGCCAATTTCTACTTTGGAATCGAATCAGCCATTGCATTGTTCACCTCATTTTTGATCAACATGGCGATCGTGGTGGTCTTTGCTCAAGTGTTTTATCAACCCGGTCAAATTGTCCAATCACTTCCTGGGTTATATGATGCATCCAATGTCCTCAACAAGACGCTTGGCCATTACGCAAAGTATTTATGGGCAGCAGGTCTGCTTGCAGCTGGTCAAAGTTCGACCATGACTGGTACCTTGGCGGGTCAATATGTAAGTTTTTCTTTTGCATTGTTTCAATTCGTGTAACATCTCACACACACTCACCACCCATGTTATTCTTAGGTCGTCGAAGGGTTCTTTGGAGCCATCTTTAAAAAGGAATGGCATCGAGTGGCTCTCACAAGAATGATTTCACTGGTACCAAGCATGTCAGTGGCCGTACTTGCTGTTGAACGTTTTGATACGATGGGCGAGATTCTCAATGTACTTCAAAGGTAAAGAAGAGGACCCAGGCTCTTTTTCTTAATGGGCTACACCATGGGAAATAAGCAAGGCGGCACGTGTGTGGTCTGTGTGCAAAAGTGCTTGTGGCTAAGTGGATTGTTTGTGTAGTCTTTGCTTGCCGATTGTCCTTGTTCCCATTCTCAAGCTTACATCATCCACGTCTATCATGACCGGTCAATTCAGAAGCAGCAGAGCTGGACGCATTTTGGCATGGCTTATATCATGGGTGGTCATTGGTTTCAATGTCTATCTCTTTGGAATGTTCTTGGATGATTTCAATTGGTCATGGTGGATGGTCACCTTAACCGGTATCTACATGATGTTCGTTAGCTATCTCATTTACACTCCTTTAGATCTTTCCAAATGAGTACAATCTCCCTCCCTCCCCTCCCCTCCCCTCATCTCATCATATTCCATTTTCAATCTCCAACGCATGTTATGGGAAAAGACCAATACCGCATCCATACATATATAAACAAAGCATATTCATATAAGCTCGTTTTCTACCCGAATGATTTACTATCATCACCACATGATAAATGGATTCTGCAAATGCATGGTAAAAGGGATGTATGTACTACTCTGCTACTACCAAATGAGTGACTATGTGCGATAAAGCAAGGTTTTTTTTTACTTTCTGACAAGGGGAGTGTGTTGTGTGTATGTTTCCGGCAGAATCGCGGGATGCAACTGAATCTTATATTCCCCCACACTTTGCAGTGAAGGATTGCACCACTCAGCGGTTTTTCCGGGAAATGCGTGTGTATGTGTACCACTGTGATGCATAAAACAATCGAACCTATAAAAAACGTGGATCCCGCTTGATATTTCCCGCTTTCCTTAACAAGTCGTTTTTTTTCTTTACTCTTTCTCGCTCTCTCTCATACTCTCTCCACCTTATCCTACTGCACCACTTTTTAATACCAATTCACCTTCAAAAGAATGTCATCAGCATCACCTAATGTACAATCACAACTTTCATTACAAGGCAAAGTCGCTATTGGTAAGTCTAAGACATGATGATGATGCATAAGCGTAATAAGTCTCAATTTTTTGTTTGATGTTTCTAGTGACTGGGGGAGCGCGTGGTCTTGGATACGAAATGATGCGAGGTCTTGCCGAGTCGGGTGCAGATGTAGCATGCATTGATCTGTTAGCCGAGACGGGTGCTCAAGCTGTTTCCACCATTGAAAAAGAATGCAACGTCAAGGGTAGTAGCTGGGGATGCGATGTGACCAATGATGAAGATGTGGCCATGGTCTTTGATCAAATTGTCCAACACCATGGTGGAATTGATATCCTGGTGACAGCTGCTGGTATCAACCAAGTGTGTGCTGCCATCGATTATACCGCTAGTGATTTCCGTAAGATCTTTGAAGTCAATGTCAATGGGACGTTTTTCTGTGCCCAGCAGGCTGCAAAGTATGTACACAAAGACATGATGATCCCCTTGCTACAACAACTCACTCGTAAATTTCTACGTACATAGACACATGATGAAAGCTGGAAGACCAGGCTCCATTATTACTGTTGCATCCATGTCGGCACATATTACCAATCGGCCGCAAACACATGCACCCTATAATGCTACCAAGGCCGCTGTGCTTCAACTCACAAAATCCATTGCTTGTGAATGGGCTCCTCACAACATTCGAGTTACTGCCATCTCGCCAGGTTACTTTGACACTGAAATGAATCAAAGGATTCTCCGAGAAAAAGGAGAGGAAGGCAAAAAGATGCGTCACATTTGGGAAACGGAGACTCCCTCAGGTCGATTAGGCACTCCTCATGAACTAAAAGGTGTTGTTGTCTTTCTTGCTTCGGATGCTGCTTCTTTTGTCACAGGATCAGAAATCCTTGTGGATGGCGGTTACACCGCTTGGTAACAAAACACACACACAAATCCCCCAATTTGCATATTTACAATCATTGTATACGGACGCGCGATATAAGCAATCAATAAACTGCATCATTCTTCATTATATATCCATTTTCATCAAGTAGTGCACTCTTCTAATCGATTGATCAAGTTGAGCATGGTGACCACCAATTTTTCAAGTCGACTATCATTATCACCAAAAACATCTTGTACGGTCCAAGGGGCTGGAACACCCACTTGTTTATCCTGGTTGAGCTTGAACATGGAGTCGTGGGGAATATGCGAAACCTAATGCACGTCTCAGCATGAGCACGGGTCCACTGGTAACCTTGTCCCTGTTGTTGTTGTTGCTGTTACTTACCTCAATGTCGTACCATACATTGCCGCCACCTTTCATGGCTACAAATCTAGGAGTCACCGAGTCGTAATCGCGAGGGGTTGCAACTTGCTCAACACGCGTCACATGAAGCCTGTGTTCACTTCCCAACTTGAATTTGCGTACATCTTTGTGTAAAACTTGGTTCACCGTCAACAAATTGGGCACATTTTCGTATGCGAAATGATTGGTCGTTGCTCCATCTCGACTCGGCCTATCATACATAAAGGCAACGTGTGAAAAGTTTTGGCCTTTTTTCCTTACGCCCATATTCCCCTTTGGAAAACAACTTGCCTGAAGGCAATCCTACGAACAAAGCTGACGAATGGCTTGACTTCAGGTCTTCCAATTTCCTTGACGGCAAGCTCCATTTGAAAATCATATTTTCTAAAAGCGTAAAAGAGATCAATAAAGGATGCCTCAAATTAGCAATAGAGTGAGCGTAATACCTATCGAGTGAAAACCAATCCACTTGGGTGATGGCATGTTGCAATAAATCCAGCTTGTAACATTTGGCACCAGATGACTCGATATACATGATAGCAGGCTTCCAAGGTTCACTAGGCTTTGGACGGGCTGATACGTGCACCTCATAGTAAGCAGATTGACCATAGGGCTTGGGAAGTACACCCATAAAGTTATCACGAATGGCTTCGGATGTAAATGCCCTAACAATGAAAAACCCCAATCATGAGACTCTCTATGTACTCTGCCTCACACTAGGACTTACATGTTATTAAACTCTGGCTTAGCCTTGTGCTCCTTCATGACCAAATCTTTCACATCAAACATATCCCAAATAGTCTTTTGGACTTTTTCTGGAAGATTCCTCCATAACAAATTTCCAATCCTATCATCTCGAGTTATTTCTCATGTGTGTGTGTGTGTGTGAGAGAGAGATAGCCATTGACTTACTTGGCATGCAACGTGATCCCACCGCGGAAGGCGTTGATTGATTCTAACCTAATGGGTTGTGTTTTTCTTTGTAGTGAGTAGAATTGTTCTTTGGTTTCCAACCACATACATCATATACATACCCTTCAGTTAAGGCATCCTTGATCAAGTTGAGATTGTATTCCCGAGTCCTAATAAAGTATGCGTGTGAGAATACCACTTCGATGTATGTCAACAAGAAAACACTTACAATGCCATTGTGGATGTGGGCGAGTTTTTGGATGAAGGAGGAGGAGCTTTTTGTGAATTAAGTCGCAGGACACGTCGTTGATTGCTTTTGGCAGGGGGAGCTTTTGTAGGTCTGGTGGGTGATGGTGCTGATGGTAAAGCAGGGAAAAGATCATTTGTTGCAGGTGCTGCTGCTGCTGCTCCCCAACCACTTGAATTTGACAGCTGATTCTTTTTGTTGTTTCCTGAACTTGTTGAAGCCGTATTGATCGTGTACTTGTTCTCGCCCCAAAGAGGTGCTTGGCCAGGTGGTGTTGACGTACGTTCTGGTAAATGAAAGCCCAAAGGAATGGGTTGCTTCTTTGGTGATCCATTTTTGGGTTTAACCCAAGAAGGTGATGGTTGTTGTTGTTGTTGTGGAGATGATCGTGCTGATGATTGTGGTGATGATTGAGGTGAAGCACTCGAAGCCCTGTTGAAGCGTCTCGTCAATTCTTCCATTTGTTGATTCAATGTGTCGCCATCGACAATCGAGGATGGTTTGATGTATTTCCCCTTCGCATCCTTAAAGACGGGCAACAATATGCACGCATTGCTGTCATCCTTTGGATCACACACGATGGATTGGTACTTGTAGCTGTGGAGTGGGCAAAATCGTAGTCCATATCTGGGCGACTCTTTGGAATAATGCACACATGGCACCACTGTTGGCTCCTTTCGACATCGTTTCTACATTCAAATTTGGGCATCAGATGATGATGTGGTCATTACTTAATAGCACTTACGTAGAGACTTTGAATGGTTTGGAAACGTTCCAAGGCGTCTTTGACAGCTGCATCGGTAGGACCAAAAATGTTGATTTGCTATTGAAAAAGGGGAGTTAGTTACCTGGTTGCCACGAACATCACGCATGAAATCCTTTACCCTGCCATTCAAACTGCATTCGGTATTCGTGTCATCGCCAACCACTTGTAAGTAATCAGCTGCTGCCATATGAAGCATCGGTGGACCATATAACAAGTCATCCAGATTCTTGATATTCTTTGCAATGGTGAACTTTTCATGCGATTCATTCTTCTTGACCATGATGGAACTTTTGGCATCCTTCTTTTCAGTCTTCGCCTTGGATTTGGCTGCCTTCTTTTGTCGTGCACTCGGTAAATTGGCGTAGAATGAATCATCCGAATCATAACTGTCATCATCATCATCACCATCATCAACGTTGTCGCTGTCATCATCTGATAGGCTGTCATCCTCGGCCATAGGGCTTGCGCTCTTTGCTTTCTCATCCTTCTCTCCAAACACCCAGGCAACATCATCCCATAGCTCGGGAGCAACTCCTCCGATATAGTCGCTTTTGTCAATGCTTCGATTCTGAAACAATCATAGATATGAGTTCTTGTTGTCGATGGTCACCATTGTTCATCAATATAAACACATACCAGAATAGGCAAGAGCTGCGTAGCGATCAATGTTTCCCTAAGCATGGACCCAGATTTAGAAATACAACATACATACAAGCTTCAATCTTGCAAGCATACTCACACTTCTTCACATGTCCTTTGTGAACGCGCTTTGATCTCGAAAAACTAGCATACATGATCAAGACGTGTTAACAAGCAAAGAGGCCCTACGTCGATATCCTTGACATACCTGCAACCTCGAATTGAACGTGATCTCTGTATTCGTCTTCTTCTCAAGCTCACTGTTAAAGAAAAACCAATAGGGTATGGGTCATTGCGCTTTGATAACTATGCTGGCATTACTACTGACTCGAGTTTCCTACGAATTCGCGAGTAGGCATCCCTGGAAATGTAGGCAAAGCTGAAGATCCGAGTGTTCGCTACAATGTGCAGTGCATGTCAGTTGTTGGAGTTTACTGTCGATGGGATCAATGGCCACTTACGCAAGACCATGGTAATACGATCGTGTGGTGGTGAAGGAGGGGGGAGAGTACAAAGAAAAGAGCGCTTGACAAGACAAATCGGGGCTGCGGACATTATGCTTGTAAATCCCACCGTGTTCCTGCCCACACTACCATTGATCAGAATGATGGTGTTCGCTTATCGTATCCTTGCGCTCATTGGTTATTGTTAAAAGCAGGTCGTTCTTGTTCAGCAAAGGATGGATGTAAGTAGCCAACAATGACAACAAGAAGAAAAGCTTTTTTTAAGACGATGGATTGAAGAATAACAGAGACCAACCATGAACAAAAAAGAGCACAAGGCATTGTTTGAACTTGCAACTACTACGATAGCATTTACCATAGAGGTATCATGGACATATCATAGGCGTATCATGGACGTATCATGGACGTATCATGGATGTATCATAGATGCCATCATCAAGGTGGCGGGATCCATCCATCAATAAATACAGCAATTATAATATTAGAATGACCCAAGTTGAAATGGAAGAATAGAGTACATGTATATGGCAACGCCCATGAATAGTATCAAGATTATCTAGATCTGCACGATCTGCCGATAGTGTATACGCTTTTAGTCTGCAAGTCATATTAGAGGCAGCAATGTCATCCAACAACTTGCATATGCAGCTGGTCGGTGTGTAAATATCCTTATGCTCATGTTATGCATCAATGTACTATTACGGGATTGCTGTTGTCGATTAAGTAAAGGCCTTCATGGTACTGTGATCCACCTTTTGAATCTTAAGACTATGCGTGACATTGGGAATAGGATGCAATGAAAGCTATTGAAATGCATACATACTAATCATAATGCAAGAAGAAGATGGAGGTTGTTGTCTCCTCCTTCTATACAGCAGTAGTAGCGATATTGTGTAGGATTGATCCAAGTGCATAGCAACATGTACATAGATTGATGGTGTCAACCAAATCGTGATTCAAATGCGCCAAAGGTCTGGATGACCTAATGCATGAACGAATAAAAATGGGACCACGGACGACAACATTACACAATAAGACGACTGCTTGATGAAGATGATATCAACTTTATTGAATGGATATGATGAAAGCGGATCTAATTTACTTGCTTACGGTCGCTCATGACAACAAGGTAAGATGATGATGATAGCAGCAGGAGGGAGGAGCAGTGTGTCCGAGATTAAGACATGCTGCGTTTGAAAAAGCCAAGCAAACACCATCCTCTTCCTTTATCACTTTTATGGGACAAACGCCTTCATCCATACGACAAGACAATGCATCAACCCGAACCCTTCATTCGACCTCCATTCATTCCCGTCATCGACCCATGTCATTCTTTCGACGACTCTCCAACCGCTTGCATAACCACCCATCTAGAAGATTTGGTCGTTACAGAGGTGGTGGTGGTAGTGGCACAGCACACACTTCATTGCGTACCGACAATGTAGATATGGCATCAGCAGGGGAGCGAGGAGAATTAGTGCCTCCTTCCAGTGCAGGACTACGTCGTCGCCACAATGCAGCATTGTCAACGTCCTCAGCATCAACAAGTTCGTCTGTTCGAAGAGCCACCTTGGCAGCTACAAGGGCAGCAGCTGCAGCAACAGGACCTCCTCCACCATCTATTCTACCCTTTGACTCTCAGTTTATGAATGCAGCCATACAACCACAACCACCTTCATCATCCAATGCAAGTAGTTCAGCAGCTTCTACTGCTTCGGCCGTTTCAAACCGATCCGATTTATCACATATGCTCTCTGAAATCATTACCACAGCCATCCTATCCTCACTCAACTCGACAACCACCACTACGACTCGAGATAACGAATCCCAACAACAACAACAAAATGAACAACGATCAGATAATACGTCCTTTCGATATTATATTCAGGTACCTATTCGTGGCGGAGGTGGTAACCATGAACATGGTGATGAAGCTCGTGTGCTTCCTATTGTCGTCATTGGTTACCGTTCATCACCATCATCGTCTGGAGAATCACCTACTTCTATGTCAGGGATGCCATTACCACCACAACCACCGCAACCACCATTCTCTTTTCATTCACGTCCTCGTCCACGATCCACGGTATCCACATCATCGTCATTGGCTACTTTACAATCCATGCCTTTATCCGTACACTCGAATCGTACAGCAGCAGCGGCAGCAGCAGCAGCAGCAGCACAGCAACAGCAACAAGCTCCGCCACCTCCACCACCACCTCCTTCATCCACCACCACTACTACGGCTGCACCACCACCACCATCACAACAACAACAACAACAACAACAGCCAACAACAGCCTCAACAACAAACAATGATGGAGGACAATGGATGATTTATGTACTCAGTGGTCAGGGTGTGAGTCCTGTGCTTTCGGATAATCCTTCGTACGAAGATCTATTATGGCTATCCAATATTATTGGTCCCGCACGACCTGTTACAACGACCCAGGCTGCCATTGATGCCGTTACTCCTGTGATTCCATGGTCAGATGACACCAAACATCGGGCAAAGGGCACTGAAAGATGTTTAGTATGCCTGGATGATTTCGTTCCAAAGCAATCAGTCCGTGTTTTGAAATGTGCTCATGTATTTCATCAAGAATGTGTGGATCGGTGGCTCTGTGAAACACACAATTCATGTCCTGTGTGCCGTGGTATTCCTGTGGACGGATGAGTTTCCTTATGAAATCTTGTTATCTCTCTCTCTCTCTCTTTTTCTTTGTCGTATATATATATATCTCTTTGTGATGAATGCTCTCTACCTCCCTCACCTCACCCTCCATCGAATTTCACATATACATAGATACCCGAATATATCAAATATATCTTTTCTTCTTGTTTCTTGCAGTGTGTATACAAAGAAAAACGTGGGATGACATTGCATATGATGAAATATCAGATGTTGAAAGCCAACTCATGCACGTTTGTCATATCGGATGATGCAATCATGTCAGAGGTACAGTACAACAAGAACGCTCGGTGTCTTTTGGGGGGTGTGGAACTGGTAGTACAAAAATGGCTAGTCGGGATATTTATAAACAGATGCATAGGCTATGAGTCAATTGATGGATTGGGGGCTTTTGTGTGAGGTATATGTGATGGTGGGAGGATGGATGAATGGAAGGAACAATGAGCCGAAAAAAAATCGGTCGAGTCGGTAACAGGATCAAACGAAAAGGGGGATGTTATGGATCGGCTCTACCTTGCTTCTTTATCTTTTTGACAGCTTTTGTTTCCCTATAAGTATGCGATGGGATAAAGAGTGTGGGAGATTATGATTGGGTATAGAGGGGTATATTACCTTTAGAAGCAATCTTTCTATGCAACTTATCTCCGTTTTGCGCATATAGAATTACCCGCGCACAGGGCCAAGGAGGAGCGGCGGGACAACATGGAACATCCGCACGTGATCCGTTATCGTTTCGGCACTTTTGAGGCCATTATAAAAAGAAGACCAAGGTGCGGGGTGGTTTCAGCCCCACCTTTACTCCACTTTTTTCCTCACAATCCTACACCATGGTAGCAAATACACCCGTTTTAACTGTTGATAACATCAACCCCAATATTCGTGACATGGAATACGCTGTGCGTGGTCGCATTGCTATTCGTGCTGAAGAAATCCGTGACCAACTCAACAACGGCGAACAACTTCCTTTCAAGGCCGTAGTCAACTGCAATATTGGTAATCCACAACAACTTGAACAAAAGCCCATTACTTTCTTCCGTCAGGTATGTAGGTGGGAAGGGATGTATAAAGGGAGCATCGTGTGCTAACATCATGCACCCAAACAAAAAAGGTTGCTTCGCTTTGTGAGAATCCTGAATTGTTGGCTGCTGACAAGGAAGCTATTGTCTCACAATTATATCCATCGGATGCCATTGCTCGTGCACGCAAGCTCATGTCCATGATTGGTTCAAGCACAGGTGCCTACTCTCATTCACAAGGTGTGGCAGGTATTCGTCAAACGGTGGCACGCTTCCTTGAAGAGCGTGATGGCCATCCCGCGGATCCCAATCACATTTACTTGACACAAGGTGCCTCCTCTGGTGTACAATCCATTCTTTCTATTATGACACAAAACAACCAAACCGGTATTTTGATGTAAGTATAAGGGAAATTGGACAAGATGGGATATTGAATGGATGATGTTACATAGTCCCATTCCTCAATATCCATTGTATTCCGCAACCTTAACACTCTTGGGTGCCACGCCTGTGCCCTATTACTTGGATGAAGATTCTGGTTGGAGTTTGGATGTTGCATCTTTGGAAAAGACCGTGAATGACGCTCGCAGCAATGGTACGGATGTGCGTGCTCTCGTAATCATCAACCCTGGTAATCCCACCGGCCAATGCTTGAGCGAAGACAATATCCGTGAGATCATTGAATTTTGCGCCAAGGCCAAACTTGTCTTGTTGGCTGATGAGGTGTACCAAACCAACATTTACGAACCCGAACAACGCCCCTTTGTGAGCTTTAAGAAGGTATTGCGTGATCTCAACAGCCCTGTTGAATTGGTATCTTTCCATTCCATCTCCAAGGGTATGATTGGTGAATGTGGTCGTCGTGGTGGCTACTTTGAATGCTGCAACTTTGATGAGGGTGTGATGCAACAACTTTACAAGATGGCATCCGTTTCCTTGTGTCCCAATGTCCCAGGCCAAATCATGGTTGACTTGATGGTCAATCCTCCCCGACCCAACGATCCCTCGTACCCCACGTACAATGACGAAATCCAAGGTCTCTATGAATCCCTTCGTCGCCGCTCTAAAAAGCTTGAGGCGGCGTTCAACAAGATGGAAGGTGTCACTTGTCAACCAGCCATGGGATCCATGTACTTGTTCCCAAGAATTCGTCTCCCTGCTAAGGCCATTGAAGAAGCTCAAAAAGAAGGATTGGCTCCTGATGCTTTCTATTCTGAAAAGATGTTGGAGGCCACAGGTAAGATCATGTGTATTGTGTTTGTGTCATAAAGAGGAAAATGCTAATCATGCCTCAACCCACTTTTTTTTGTTCCTGCAGGTGTTTGTGTCGTACCTGGTACGTGTGTTTCTCACGCTCTCAACCAATGAGCCTCCGATCCACCGTTTTTCCTCGGAACCCTATACGACTAACGCTCTCTGCTTATTCTTTTAGGATCTGGTTTCTCACAAAAGGAGGGTACCTGGCATTTCCGCTCCACCTTTTTGCCACCCGAACGCTTGTTTGACGACTTTTGTCAGGATATCCAACGATTCCACAATGACTTTATGGCTGCCTACAGCTCATAAACGGTCATCTGCATGGGATACATAGAACACAAAAAAAAAGACATCATACACGCACATGCACACATGCACACACAACATCTATAACATATTGTACAGCTTTATCCCCCCATATCATTGTCACTCTTATCTCCTTTCATATAACCATTTCATGGTACCCCGATAAACGTACCCAGCTTAATGGTTCAGTGCTCATGTAAAAAGTGTAAAGTCAGCTAGCAAATGTGTGTGTGCGTATTGTGATTGGGATCTTCAAAAAGGATGATGCAATCGAAGCGATCTGGAACCCCCAAACCTAATCGTCCCCCAACCCAACCCGGTCTCTGGATCATGTTGGGATTTCCCCATGGATACCGACCCCCACATTTTTTAAGGTCCACTGAACACCTTATCAACATCTGAGATGTTGGATACTATCGACCCTTAAAGGAAAATGCAGTCAACAAGAAGGAAATGGATCGTGCAAGGGTAGAAAGAAACTATCATAAGGTCAGCGTATCATCCATTGTGTACCTTGTGTCATCCATTTCTCGCTCTAAATAGTCAACCTGTGATTTCGCACTCTTACAATTTTACATCTTTACCATGGCAACAAGAAGCTTTTGGTATTCAATATCTGTTTTTTATTCTTCCTTCCTTCCCAGTGTGGGAATCAGGGATCCAAATAATATATAAGTATATATGTATATGAAACCATTGTACAAGGCATTGCATGTGTGTATGTTGTAATCTTTTTTCGTGTGTGTCATGCGTACCGTGTTCCATCTAGGAGGAGAGCAGAAATGAATGGAAATCAAAATAGAACTTTTGGAAACAGGATGGCCTGAGAGGTGATAAGAGAGAAAGGTATCATACACACACGCAAGGAAAAGGATAAGGTGTTTGTAGCCGCGGTATATAAATGTGTGTGTGTGTGCGTGCGAGTTGTCGAGATTGGCTGGATAAGATCGAGTCATGTGCTGTTCAAAGAGCGAGAGTCCATTTCAAGCATCTGGATATGGATGATGATGATGATGATAATGGAGGAGACGAGAAGGAGCAGGAGGAGGATATTGAGAGCATCATAGCATTACACAGACACACACACACAGCCACCAACACGTACCCTTATTGGGGCATGGGGCAGCCAAAGTCGTGACGGTTCTTGTAAAAGTGTAATGATGCTAGGTAATGAAACTATGGGATCGATCATGGGGGGTCATTGTTAATATCCAATTGTCAGGAGGACAAGTAGTAGCACACTTACGTAAATACCAAAGCAAACAAACACGTGCCAAATAGCATGGCTGGTCATACCAGCAAAATCAAAGCGACCTGGAAAGTATCGTTCAGGAAATCGATTGGCATCTAAAATAAGCAGGCATGAGTGAGTTTCCATGGCAACCACCACCATGACGACGACAACAATGAGCACTTACAAAAGAGAACGCCCAAAAGATACATGCCAACGCTGATGGCAGCAGGTTCCATGAATTCATAGGTCTTTGATATGCCATGGAGCCATACAAGATGCAAGACGGGGACGATGCTTGAGAATGCCAATGACAAAAAGAAAGTGATGCGAATGGGTCGGAATTCCTTGGTGTCCCATACTTTGAAGAAAGGGAGTACAAAGCCAAAACTGCTGACCACGCCTGTGAAAATCATGTAGCGTTGGCGAATCACGGGTTGGCAATAGTAACCATAATATTCTGTCACCAGGACAGAGGCTGCAATGAGGAACGCAATGCCAATGTAGTCAAGGGTGGCTGCCAACGTCTTGTGCTTGCAATGACACACATAGGTGTGGTAAATGGAAGAGCAAAAGAGACATTTCAAAGCTGCAATGCAAAATGTAGCAAAGATAATACGATCACTTGTAGTTGCTTCTGGGAAATGATGCTGCATGTGCCATGATGTGTCAGTGACAAGAAAATAATAAAGTTTGATGTAAAAGGAGGAATGGGGGTGCTTACATTGAAAACAGAAACACTAAAGTAAGAGAAAAACAAGAACCCGATTAGGTGACTCCAAATATTCAGGGTCTCGTTGTGCAGCATGAATATCGACTTTAAACAATCAAGGTGCGTGGCATAGAATCGGTATCTGTAATCGATCCAGCATGTTGGCTTTAGTTCTTCATCCCCTATTTTCGGGTCCCATGTCGTCGATCATCCACTTACCCAGTTAAAACGTATTCATTCTCTTGCCAATCTTTGGGCAATTCATGATACTTTAGCAAGCGTTGTGCTCCAATCACAGCAAGCTTGGCTTGATCCCAAGTCTCATGCACTTGATCATCGACGTATTGCAAAAAACTAGCAGCTGCCGACGGCGATGAATCGGTATCGGTAAAGATATCCGCTCGGATTTCTGTAGTGGCAGAAATCGAGGATGTAGAATGGGATCGGTGTCGAGTACGAGGTACTGTCAAGAGATTGGTAGAGGTGGATGTGGATGTAGCCGATGATGGTGATGATTGTTGATTTGGGGCGAGTGGTGGTTGATATAGAGAATGTCGTCGCATCAACAGGGCTGCACTAAGCCCACTATCGGTTGCGCTGCTTACATCCATGATTTGTATATATACGCTCTCTCTCGAAACAATCGATTGCTGAATAGCTAGATTGGAGAGAGAGGGGGAGAGATTGTGATTAAAAGAGAGAGAGAAAGAGAGAGAGGGGTGGATAAAGTAAAGAAGAAGAAAAAGAAAAACGAAAAAGAAAACCGATGGGGGTGGGGTAAAATATAATAGGGTTATTGTTTTTTGGGTGTGAATGTGTGTGTGTGGCATATAGAGTAGGTGGGTGCCTTATTGCTTTGATTGCAACCCGAGATTTTTCAATTCCCGTCATCCCCCAGTAGCTGAAACCGGAAGGCCTCGCAGACAGCTGGCTGCTATTACTACTACTACTGCTTTACATCTTTGACCACAAAAGGCGTTTAATTTTATCTCTCTGCCACTCACATCCGCACATGTACATTGCACATACCCCAGCCATTTTTCTCTTGTGATTCTTCAAATTGGGTCTGATGGCATTATTTGGTTGGCTGTGCCATACGTAATCCCTGCCATACATGTAAGCAACCGAAACCCTTATTTGCAACCCACGATGACTTGAAACAACAGTCGATCATCGGCCATAAAAGCACTTGTCTCATATGACGATGTACCTCTTCATTCATTGGAAACGTTTAAAGATAGAGAGTAGGGTTGGGTATTGTAACAGAGGCGAATTGCCAATTTTGTTGTTCCAGGATGAGTAAATCTACGATGGCGTTGGGAGCAAGGTTTCTTTTGAGTAACAAAAATGGATTAGATTGTTGGTCATGTATACCATCAGTTGCTCGATATAGGCTTTCAAGGAGTTCTTTTTGATGTTGTTGGCGGACGTCCGACGCCCTGGAGAGGTAAATGGTACACAAATTTAGCTTATACTATGATTGTCCGAGACCAAAGTACGTAAACGTAGGCTATATTTTGCTTGTGCACTCACAACACTTCTTCTTGTTTCCATCGCACAGAGAAAAAGGAAGCCTATCATAAAGATCAGCGTTCGCCCAAAGTTGTCGGGAAAATGGAAGAAGCTTTTGGACACGATCTCACTAGTAGTAGTAGCTCAGCCTTTGCTGGTGAAACTTTCTTTCTGCAACAACAAGGAGAACGAGATTGTCCATCTCTCTCCCTCCCATTCTTCCATAAAAACAATGCCCTTATCAATATATTAAACGAGTCAAATGATATCTTTTTTATTCATGCATGTACATCTGTTTATGCAGCTGCATCGTGCCTTGAATCTCATCTAGGGGGGGGGCGTTGTTTGGACGTGAAAGTGTGATGTTGCTACACGCCAGCATCCTTGTTGGATTGTTCTTTAGGATACATCTTGTAGACATCAAATGAATGATTAATCGTAGGCAAGAAGGCATGTGGTGTCGTCAACGAAGCCTTTATACAAAATAACTGGTGCTGGTTGTAATATCGATCTGGTGTTGCCATGGCAATGATCCATACACATCCACAGCGTGACCTCACACACTTCAAAATGGCCACTGCACACGGATCGGGTCCAAATCACTGAGATCACTGTGTCTCCTCCAATGTAATTGCTGTTTTAGCAACCATCGTGTATTACGAGATCCGGATCTATACCAGCGCACGTGAGCTTATTTCCACCCGTTCTTTTGTTGTGATGTCCATCAACAAGAAGTTTTTTGGCATCTACTTACGTAGGCGTGGGAATGTGGCATATCATTAGATTGCTGTTTGAAGAACATAGGGTGCTTCGATTTACGTTTCTTATCTTTGTGGTGATCGCACCTACCGCAAGTACCTGTAACATTGCCACTTTTGTTTGGGATGTTGCCCAAAATGTTGAATGACATCCATAATTGCTGGTGGTATGATATCCGGATAGTGGGACTCGATAAATTTTTCATGGCTATTGGATGGCAACATCTAAGCACACGATGTAGATGGGATCGTTTGTGGGATGATGTTGTACAAAGACACCCCGTATTGTGCGATTGCGGGTTTCAGGCTGACAATCCAGAATATAGATGGTTACACCGGCGGAAGCATTTAAGGCATGAATTGCATGAAGCCAAGGTACATTTAAACCAAGATCATTTTGATTTGTTGTCATGGTTGACTCCGTTGGGATAGTGTAAGGATTGCGGTATTCTGCTTTACTCGAAATATAGCGTGTGTGGGTGCTGTCTACATGTCTACGCAATGCGTTCCCGTGATTTGGTTAAAGATGGATGATGACAAGACATTGGAAATAAAGTTGTCAAAAGCAAGAGGTTTAATAAGCTCATAGATCAAAGGGTTACTACTACACTAGTACGACATTGTAGGCAAGAGAATGGATGTATAGGCTATATTATCAAAGACAATGATCCTGCGTTTGTAGAATGGCTGTGGGAATCTCTTCCTGATCCACACTCACTCCCCGCTCACTTTGCTTTCTTCCATACCTTTGCACCAGCCTTGTCCGCAATGAGCAGCATGTATCGCCATTCTGTTTAATGAGTTGACACCGATCGACATTACAACACCATAAGGGATACGCATTGTCAGCAAATGTCACGAGTTGCAACAAAGCCCAAGGGAGCTGCAATGGCGACGATTGTGGGAGCAACGACAAGCAAAACGGTTCGACTTGTTGATATGTGTGCTTTGATCATGATAACGAGAGGTTGGTGATGCACGGCTATGGAGACAGCAACCAGGCAACGGATCCACTTATGATTGGCTTACAGTCCTACTACTTGTCTACCAGATCAACGACTTTTGCATGGATCATACACAACACAACCCAACTGTCACCACCCCACCACCTACTAGCTACATTCTCTTTGGCAATAGCTTCCATAAAGGACATAGTGGATCACAAATAAAGCACGACCTTGCATCCAGAACTCTGGGACAATACGCCACATGCAACACACATGTATTGGAATGACACAATGATGACAGGAGGAGGAGTAGACAAAGGATTGATGGGTGAGAGCAAGCTCGCTTCTGAGAAAGAGAAAGAGAGAGAGAAAGGTTCATGTGATGGTCATACAAACGAGAGACTTGGTTTTCACACATATGCAAGGTGTTCGTGCATGCATCAAAACGACGTACGGAGAAAAAGAGAGTTTGTATTATGCATCATCACCAAAAACAAAACAACAAAAACAACACTACTACGTTGTACTCAATAAACAGCTCTTGACACGATCTTTCCATTCGATGTGCACACACACACAACAAGCACAATGATGATGATCATTTAAGGAGACCCATGTTGGTGGTGGTGGTGCAACAAAAACAATCACTTGTTGGATAACAATGAATAATGGGGATACAATATTACCAGCTATGGATGAGCATGTTGTCGTGTATAAGCAACAATAATGTATGTATGCATCATGGTGCACCAAGGGGTGAAAGTGGGTGGGTTGTAAAAGCAAAACGAGAGAAAGAACTACACACACACACACGCACACACGCACGCACTACACGCACAAAGAGAAAGTTCATGCATGAAAGGGGAAATAGTCACAGAAGCAAAGGTGTATGTGTGTGTGTGTGGAAGCGTGTGGATGAAGGTACCCTTAATGCTTGACATGCCATTTTTTGCTCCTTTTCCGTCTTTTTTAACTGCTTTTCCTCCCACCAAACCTTTCAACTTGTTCTTTCTCTCTCTCTCCTCCCCCCGCCCCTCTTCACATTTATCCTTCTTCTCCTTGACTACCTTTGATCATTGATTCGAAAGAGGGAATAGAGAGAGAGAGAGCTTTCAACTGAACGAGGAATACATAAAGATCATTCACCGACCACATATCCGCTTTTGTGAGACGTAATATTACACGCAACAACGCACATACCACCCAGCATCATCATCATCATCATCATCATCATCATCCACCCACCGATTACTATTACAACGATAACTTTATCCCTCCGATCTATTCGACCTCGTTTTTCATGTTCAAGCAAATCCCACCACCCTCTGAGGACGACCTTCGAGCATGCTTCGGTCCTGATTTCGCCATGGAATGGGATCAGGCAAGGGTGACTCGCTGGCTTCAAGACCACAATTGGGGCCACATTGCTGATACCTTTCAAGGTAAACTCCGAGTGTGTGTGCGTGTGTGCGTGTGTGTACAAACACGCATGTTCCCATTTGCTGATCACTTTACTCCTAGAACATGGCATCTGTGGAAAGGAATTCTTCCATATTAGTTTGGCAAAGCTTGTTGAGATCCTTCCTCGTAGAGTAACCACCTACGCTGAACGAAGACGATTACTCAATGATATTCGTGCATTGGGCACACCTGCTGCTGCTCATGATGGTATTCTAACACCTACCAATGTAAGGAAAACAACACATTTGACAATGAAAATATTGACTTTTATTATGATTATAGATATCCATCAATACCAATGTACATCAGCCTTATCCCAATACCGAGCACAACTCTTTCCCAACATCCGCCAATACACCCACATCGGCCCATTTGGCGAGTAGCAGCTCTCCAACAACACCTCTCAACCACACATCATCATCTCAATACGAGATCAAGGATATTGGAAGTGGTTTTAGCCATTTGTCATGCTCTAGACATAGTGCAGGTGGCACAAGTGCAAGTGGTGGCGGTTTATCATCTCCTTCATCCATCGAGTTTCCAAGTCCTGTGGCAACGAGCACCGTAGCAGCTACCTCTTCTTCTTCATCATCATCGACAACGCCCACTGCTACTACTGCTCGTAATGGTCATCATCATCGTCATCATCATCATTATCATTCACCTACACGGCTGTATTCACCAAGGTCCGCCATTTCAAAGATACGCAATACATTTATGCATTCAACATCGACCAGCAGCAATAACAATAACACGTCATCTTGTCGCATGAACGCTCCAGAAAACGAAACTTTATCTACGGATGCATCCGATAACCGACCTTCAACAACAACGTCACGTACACCTGATCGCTTAAACAAGTTTTGGGCAGCCTATGCCAACTGGCGTTCTGGGGGTAGTAGCAATGCAAGTAGCAGCAATACCAGTAGCCATAGCAACAATGGAAACCATTATAGAAAGGGGCAACAACAACATCATTACCAACCACAACAAGGAACAAGTACGTTGTCATCGTCGTCATCTTCAGGGGCTCTTCCGGAAATGAACCACAATCTCGTGGCCACCAAAGTGCCCATGACGGCTCACAAACGGGTACGTGAATATTGTTTATATGTATCCAAGAGAGTGGCAAATGAATGATGACGATGGTTGCTATAGTTTTCCGATACTCGTATCCAAGTAACAGGTGATCGAGAAACTTGGTATAGCGTGGTGGTAACGGATATCCGGGATGCCGATACGCTCAAGGATAGGATTCTTCAACGGATGAATCTTCCTTTGCAGCATCGAGATGGCTACTGCTATTATCACGAGAATGGTCCGGATCCAGGTGTGTGTTGTTTTTTGAGAATTATAGGCGTTGTTATCATTCAAGTTTGAACTGCAGCTAATTGTAACGCTCCACTTCTCCCTAATCCTGCAGAGATGGCATTGACTTCACAAGATCTATTGGCCATTTGCTCTATTGCAGACCATGCAGCTAACCAACGCATATTGGTCTGTGCAATCAAGTTGGATCCTGGATCTTGTCCCGTATTCGAATACCCCAACAACATCATGACTAATTATCCACCTGCTGCTGCTGCTGCAACATCTCACATGAATTATAATGTTGACCTTCATCATTCACATTTACATCCTACCACTTGTACTTCCACACCTTTGTATGGCAATGCAACCTATTCCTTATCCACACCAGAGCTTGGCCATTCTCCATCAGATACCCCTTCCACACCCAAAGGTGTTGTCGTTGGTGGTAGTGGTGGCAATCAACAAGGGTAAGTTTACATGCAACTTGATGATCCCTTATTTCACATGCTTGCAGCGGGCCAACCTTGTTTATATAGATCATCAAGCCCTATTCTCCTACCGGACCATGCTGCTGCTGCTGCTGCTGCTGCTGCTGCCCATCCCAATTCCAAACCATTCTTTTTGTTTGCAAACACAAGCACTGCAGCTTTACCCACCACCTCATATCACCAAAACAGCAATAGCAACAACAACAACAATACTAATAATGGCTATCATCATGAACCCACAGGTGTACAATTATCGGATCCACCGGCAGCTACGACATTTCCATTGGATGAAAATGCACCATCTCCTGCAGCATTACAGGTTCGACGTGCTAGCGATCATCAAATCATGACCAATACCACTGCTGCAGTCGTTGTTGAGCCTAGCATCTCTTATGATCATCATCATCATCATCACCATGCAACACCCACCGCTGATAACAATGCACGATCATCCAAAGAAAAAAGAAGCAACAAGCTATGGACACGACGTTCTGAACCCATGCTCAATCGTCGTCATCTTTTTAATCATGTTCGCCCACAACAACAAGAACAACAAACACCACCTCCACCATCCCATACAACCACAATGGATGCTGTACCCAAACCGGCAGCACAATTATGGGCTGTTCCTCCCACCAAACCACCATGTCATTCACCTTCTTCACCACGATACCCTCATCATCATCATCAAGGTGGTAACAAAAAGAATGCATTTTGGGGTGAACGTCCACCTGCTGAAGTTGTATGTCAAAACATGGATCAATACTTTGACAATCATGATCTTGACAAGGAGATCATTGTTGAAGAAGATGGTGTCCATAGCAACAACAACAGCATGGCAACACCGCAACAACAACAACAACAGCAACAGCAACCTGTAGTACGACGTCTGACACATACCAAATCCATTCGTGTTGTGGCACGTGAAGCTAGCAAAAAATACAATACAGCACGTAAAATTAAGGAAGGTGGCATGCTTCGACGCAAGAGTACCAAATTATGGGGTCAGCATTTGGTGGAAGTTAAGCCTGCACGACAACAACAACGACGACGTCAAGATGATATGACGACAACACCGAGTCCAAGTAGTAATGGTGGTAGTGGGGATCGTAACAGCATGATGTTTCTTGATAACAACGGCAGCACCACGAATGGTCCTAATCAATCTGTGCAATGGATTCGAGGCAAGCTTATTGGTAAAGGATCGTTTGGACGTGTCTATTTGGCATTCAATGTGGCCACGGGTGAAGTGATTGCTGTCAAGCAAGTTGAGATTCCTCGTACCAAATCCGATCGACAAGACACACGACAACTGGATATGGTGGATGCCTTGTATCAGGAAATGTACATGTTACGTGATCTTGACCATGATAATATTGTTCAATACCTTGGGTATGGACGTGATCATGACGTGGTGAATATCTTTCTCGAGTACGTTTCCGGTGGCAGCATTTCAAGTCGATTGTCATTACAAGGTGCATTTGAAGAACCGCTTGTACGCTATTTCACACGTCAAATCGTTGCAGGGCTCAATTATCTCCATGGAAGAAACATCCTTCATCGTGATATCAAGGCAGCTAACATTCTGGTGGAGGCTGATGGCATATGCAAGATTTCCGATTTTGGCTTATCCAAAAAGAATGATTATGATGAGGTGTATGATGAAAACTCACGCATGTCGTTGCGTGGTTCTATTTACTGGTAAGTGATACACACACATGGTGATGATGTTGTAGTAGGCAATCATAGCTAACATGGGTGGCACGTAATAGGATGGCACCTGAAGTGGTCAAGAATGAACCCTACAGCGCCAAGGTCGACATTTGGAGTTTGGGATGCACCGTCATTGAAATGTTTACGGGTCAACGTCCATGGCTCACACTCAATCAAATTGCCACGCTTTACAATGTATGTTTCGCAAAACTAGATTGCATGCATGTCTATTTGTCTGACTTTTTTTGTTTAGCTTGGTTGTCAAAAATCTCCAACGCTCCCTGAGAACATTTCGGACATTGGCAAAGACTTTCTCACGCAATGCTTCATAATGTATGTGTGTGTACGTGTGTGCAACGAGTCATCATTTAACATTGTTTTTATCCAGTGATCCCAACAAACGGCCCACAGCAGCCACTTTACTCACCCATCCATTTTGCCAACCCGATCCAACGTTCCGGTTTACGGTAAGCATCTTGCTTTTGAGTATGAAAAACGTGTGCTGATCCTTGTTTTTATGTAGGATTACATTGACAAGGGCAAAGTTTAAGCACGTAGTATCCCGTTTTTGCATTCTTATCTCTTACGTCGTAATATGTCCCATGCCATTTTGGCACTAATACATACCCGGTTCCTTATCAAAGCCCCCCCTTACACCCCTTATCATCATTCATGATACCATCATCGCCATCACCCCACTTGATCCCATTAAAAGTACAGTATTTTCAGAATTGATGCATAGCGATCAACTTTAAGAGGGATAGCATAATACTTGTGAATTCATTTGAACACGTGTTGATGATACCCAAAGATATGGTATTTTGTGCCACTTTATGGAATTCCTAGTCATCGTACCCCATTGCCCAGATCGGGATCGAGAAGGAAAAAAGAGAGGGTACATATGAATAAAGGGTATGTACCAGGAAGCTGGCTGTAAAACGCTTGGGCCTAGTTGCTCAAGGTATCATCATCTGACATTCATGTTGGGAAAAAAAAGAGTCAAAATTATCTGTTTCAGTTCCCAGACTCGGAATCCCTTTTTCTTTCGCTCTTTTCTTTTTCCCCTTTGCATACAAATGTCGATATCACCAGCATTAGCATTACACTCGTTTTCATCCCTTGAGAAAAAATCGGGCAGCAGCACCACTACCAGCAATAACAGCAGCAGCTCAAAAGCATCTTCTAGTAAACAACCTAGCATCCGCAGCAACGTGAGCACCAATACGGGTGATTCCAATTCTATCAATGACTCTCTCAGCCCTGCTGGTACATCGAGTACCTTTGCCGACGTACCTTCTCGCACGAGCGTTGTCATCAACTACCAAAACGTAAACACTGATCAACTTGCGATTCTTGATGATCTCGGCTATGTTGACGATGACGACAAGGGGTTATTGGGTGGGTTGCCATGACAACAACAACAACAATGTACCTTGTAATTTCTGACACAGCCCCATTATTATTATAAAGATTACGAAGCACAACACCGTAAACGACATCACATTATTGAACAAATCCATCAATCCGAAAAAGCGTATTGTGAAGCATTGGACCTTATCATGACACAATTTTACAAGCCTCTTATGGCTGGAGCCAAAAACAATTCATTTGATCTGCTTGGTACACGAAAACCACCGTGCACTGAACGAGAGGCACAGTGCCTCTTTGGGAACATGAAACAAATACAAGTGTTGCAGCATCAATTCTTGACCAGTTTAGAGGATCGGTAAAGTACCCGCGGAACCCTATAACTTACCCGCCACCCACTCACAATCTTGCTGTTCTTTAACACTGCAGGCTTCGGATATGGGGCCCCACTCAGATCTTGACCGACATTTTCCAAACTTGGGTAAGAACATCATCCGATTTCAACCTCCTCGAAACCGATCTTCTCCTAACATGTTGTCATATAGCACCAATCGATACAAGTATATGTGTCGTATTTTGAAAACTATAGGTTGGCTATTGCCACCCATGAGCAGTTACAAAAATACCAGCCATTTAAAAAGTTTATTGAGGTAAGCATGCATGCATGCAGGAACAACAATGACAGCAGCAGCGCCACATGGCTCACTAATGTAAACAAACATGTACAACAGAATGCACAGAATGAGCTTACAGGGGTGCATCAAGGAAAAACACTCTTATCCTTGCTCCAAGTACCTGCAGGATGTCCTAGCCGATATACACAGCTTGTTTCCAAATTATACGAAGCGACACCACCTTTGCATCCAGACTATACCAACCTAAGATCATGTCGAAGGCAGTTTATCAGCACGACTGAAAAACTTAAACCAACGTGAGAATGGTTACACACATGTGAAAATGTGAACAAGGGGGGGGCTGACATATCTTTTATACTTATTCTCAGGTTACAATCAATGGATAACATGGACCAAGTGGTACTTGTGCATCAAGCATTGACGGGTGCACCGTTTACTATCAAAGCCCATCGTCGCTTCATTTTGCATCAACCACCTACGCGTTTAGAGCCACGCACGATTATTTTATTCAGCGACATGATCGTCCTTGCAAGACCTTCTACCAATACGTTGACAAGAAAACAATCCAACAAGTCGACCTTGCAATACAAGAACCATATCGATTTAGATCACATTGCACGTATTGTTGTATTACCCGGGGATGGGGAACCTGCTGGTGCTATCCAGATCACCGTTTTTGATCATGATACGGACATTGCACCCACGATCCATGTGCTACGCACACCACAACCACACGACTGGGTCAAAGTGATTACCAAGGCAATGGAGAAACGAGCTCATCTTCGGCAACAGAATAATCGTAAGGAACAACATCCCTTGCCCGTCACTTCCTTCATGACTCCTATCCAATTATGGCGGTAGTAACAGATACATACCTTCCTGGAATAGCAGTTGGGAACAACAACAACAACCATCATAATTCTTCTTCAAGGAAAGTATCCACCGCTGGTCATAGTGCCACCAGCAAGAGCTCCCATTCTAGTAAAGGATCATCCTCCTCTTCTTCAAGTCATCATCCAAGGCGACGTGGATCCCAAACGGTGGAGGAAAAACTCTTGCAAAATGTTTTCACAGGGTAATCATGATGATGAATCACAAGAAAAAAAGAAGCTAACCTTCCCCGCCCGAATGAATCGTCATGGTCATCATACACCCACACACACACACACCAACACCCCCACATCATATCCCATTCACTTTTTCATATGCCCAGCATTACTCACACAAACATCTTAATCTTGTGTACCCTTCCTTTTACCTTTTTACTAATAGTACGTGAATATTATATGTATGTACAAATGAAGAAACGCGTTCAGCATGTATGAGAGAGAGTGAGAGAGCGAGTAAAAGCAAATGGTGTCAATGTTGATTAGATCCTTGGTCGCTTGCTCATGTAATCGTCATCATTGGATAGTGAGCGTCGTCGAAGAGTGCCAGCATTGTTGTGATTGTCCATGAATTTTTGCTATGGAATGGGGAATGTGTGAGTTACACTAGCACAGTTGTTTCACACACACACGCACACGCACAAGCTTACCTCTTTGATCTGCATGATTTTCTCTGCGAGTGTGGTAAGTTTATGATGCGTCGCAATCTTGATGGCAGCGTCTACGGATCGTCCACTATGGAGGGCATAGGCCAAATCCAATACACGTTGCAATTTGTCGTCCTTGCATGCAAGCTTTAAAAGAAAAACGAAAAAAGGTGAGCATGGGAGGATGATGTGAATGTTTCAACAATCCTTCTTTTTACCTGAATCAAGCTGAGCAAAGCCTTGTCCATTTCCAAATCGGTGGCACTAAACTCCATATCGTACTCATCTTCAAGACCTGCTGCTTGTTGCTCGGCCTTTTCGTGTAACGTCATGTAGTGAATACGTAAATGCTTTTCTTCCAATTGTCCAACTTCGGTCTCATAGTGCGTCGTTGGCATTCTCAATCCCACATTATCAACAGGTGGTCGTGGGAAATAAGGTGCCTTGTTGCTACCCTTGACCACAAGGCACATCAATTCGTTTCGCATCAATCCAATAGGCCAGTAACGTTCTGTGCGTTGGTGTGCATGTGCAACAGCTTCTCCATCAAATATTGGTACCCACGAGGATTGTCCCATCATCCTTTGGCGATGCAAAACACTGACGACACCCGTAGAATCGGCCATGGCAGCTTGCTATATCATCCAATTAGTATACCCTTGATTGATATTGATCATCTCCATAGCAACCTACCATTGCTTCACTGAATCCAATCCAAGTAAGCTGAGTGTTCCTCTGAAGGGGTAGCCTGTCCTTTTGTATAACATCCTGTGACAGCGTATCCATCAACATGAATTCTAAATTTTGATAGCCTATAATGTTGCACGTTATTAATCATCCTCATCCCCAATATACATCCTATAATAATAATTACCATCAAAGCTGGTGCCGAGTTTGTAAACAAACATAGCCAATGAGCCGTGACCAACCATGCTGACAATATTCTCAAGCCGGAAGAGATGAATTTGAACACCTGCAATGGTATACATTCGAACATAGCCGGCTGATGTGGCTGCAATCACAGAGCCATTGTTGATGGCCACACCTAATCATCACATTCATTAACCAAAACAAAGCTAGTGTTTTGCAGGAGACAAATGCTTACTCTCAACATCCTCGCCAGGCGGTAAATAGACGGTCCATTCTGATCCACCAGCCCAATTACTCAAAGGTCGATAATGCAATACAGACGCTTTGGCTGTTTCATTGTCTTCAATATCATCATCCACAGGCTTGCTGTCACCACCAGCTACGGCAAACACAGCGCCTTCTTCGCCAATAGCTGCCATCGTATAATGCATGTAATCGGAAAAGTGAAAGTTGCGATGATTGGATTGGTTGTGGAATTCAACGCTGACAACCGAATGTGTGCCTTGATAGATGGTGTAAACAACGCCAAACATGTTGAAAGCCAAATATCTTCTTTCGCCCTCGCGTGGTATACTTGGATTCGTTGGATCCATATTACGGAACGATGTTGCACCAGGTTGAAAACATGGTTGTTCAGTGAGTCGATGAACAGGACCTAAATTGTGCCCATGCAATGAATAACGCTGTATCATTCTTTTTCGGTTGTTGGTTGCAGGTCTTACCTCGTGATGTAGCTGTACGCACCATAGCACCTGGTCGGCTGCCAGCAGCCCCATTACGTTCTTCCACATAGCCAGCGCCATCGTCATCAATGACAAAATCATCCATATCTGACATCATCTCAACATCGCCTTCGAGATCTTCACCTTGATCCTCAAGATCGTCACCATCATCATCATCACCAGCATCGTCCTCAGCTTCACCATCAATAAGATCATTCTTGGGTTTTGACTTTGGCTTTGAACGTTCACCAATGTTGAGCTGTGACATGTCCTCATCAAAAAGCTTGTCCAATTCATCGATGGCGTTTTGTCGTTTTGCAGGATGAGGCAATCCTCCATTGGTATCGATAGGATTCTTCCACAGTGATAGTTGTCCTTGGCAATCGGTCTATGCAACCCCAACTTAGTCGTTATCAAGCGGATGGGATTCGTGTACTTACAAATGCAAGCTGATTCTCTGTGGGACTCCATGCAATTCCTGATACAACATCCTTGCTGTCACGCTTGGCAAGAATCTTTTTTTGTTCCACGTGCCAAATAATCACTTGCTTGTCTCTGCCAGCCGTGCACAAATAATGACCACTTGGTGACCATGCCAATGTAGAAATTTCCTATATTGATATCCACCGTAATAAGTCACATGATCTCCTTCAAGATTCCAATAGATAAATACTCACATCATAATGGCCATCTTCCAATGACGCAACCTTGCTCCATCCCTTGGTATTGTAGACACAAATATCTACATAAAGAATAACGTCAACACACGGTGTTGAGAATCATGCTTTTGATACATACCAAAGATCCGACCAGCAAACGCAAATTGTTTACCATCAGGTCTCCATGCCACTGTTCCCAAAATGTTGGATTCCGAGTCAGCCTTGGTGACAGCACCATTCAATGTCTTGACAGCCTTGGGCACACCATCCGAATGATTCAAATCCCAAATAAGAACATCGCCATCACAATCCGAAGACAGCTATCATCCACGTATCAGTAGCCATTCACTCGCCATGAAGCCATGTTATATCATACCAAATAATCATCCACTGGCGAATGGGCTACGCACTTGACAGTCTTTTTATGGCCATACAAAGCGACAACCTTGGTGATATCCTGGATCAAGATCAAGCGAATGACATCTTCACTATTATACCATATATATGAGCCCATTTGCCCATTTCCTTCCAATCCAATCCTACTACTTACTCTGAAGCCACTGCAACCTTGGTACCATTGGCACTGTAAGAGAGACATCGTACAGGCACTGTGCTTCTTGCCAGATATTTATCAAAGGCGTTGGTATTGTTGCGATAATGGATCACGGCACCATCTTCACCAGCACTGACAAAGCCTTCTTTCTATATGCATTGATCAATATCCATTATCTTTATATGGGCTATCAGCCATACGTACGTTGCAAATAAGCGTAATGACGGCTTCGGTGTGCTCTGTTATCACTGTGGGTTCAGCCGTAATGTCGTTGACGTTGTACACATGAACAAGCGAGTCGTTGCCACCGGTTATGATTTCACTGCAAAAACAAGCATGAGATGCCCCTCTTCTTTTGAACGACGTGTGTGTGTGTGCATTGCTGTACCTTCCATTGCTCTTGTATACGATCGAAGTGTGGCCATAAGTGTGTGCTGAAGTAGTCGATAAGGAACCGGTTTCTCGAGCGCTCATTGTTTGCCGGTCGTTGACAAAGGAATGGGGAACGAGGAAGAAAGAAAAAGAGAGGAGTTTCAGGCACCTACAATTATACGCGAGAGCGCGCTTTCTGACACCACGCGAGACATCCGCCGCAACACACGCGATCGTGGCTTTTTCTTCTCCCGTCAACTTGCCAAATCGAGTATAACCACTATGCTTGATCCATTGACAACTATGCTTGACACATTTGACAACGATCATTTTCAATTACACAAATCACTTTGGTTTTCATGAAAGCGACCTACTTGGATTCATACAAAGAGATACCCCTTTTCAAGGCGGAATGGAGGTGGATTCATCAACACTTCTTGTTGTCGATATCGCTACTTCTTTGTTCAGCTCATCAGACAATCAAATCACAACCTCCTTTTTTCCTTGATTGGACAGCAATTCCCACGCCCATGTAAATAAAAGCAATGTTGCCATCGCCCACAATTATCAAACATCTCTTTCGTCTATTTGATTGCATATACCATCAAGAAGAGTCCGCGCAACAGCTATAATACAGGCTGATCTCATGAGCGATAATCAGAGTAGGTGGCCTTCTATGTGGTAAGTATCCATACAACAAGCCTTCTTTGCCATGCCATGAATCGAGGATACTCATACATTTGACATCCCTGTCGTTATAGTCCTTCTTTGCTTTATGTGCTCATGGGTGTTGTCTTTGAGTGCTCATTATGAGGCGTCGTCTTGGCGATGCTCAATCCCATCATTAGTGGTATACGTATGTGGCTATCATTGTTGTGTTTTTCACCTTCCATAATCGTATATTGATGTCTTTTGAGTAGTGGGCCGCTTCCAAAAAGAGAGCGATTACATGCTTCTTGTATCCCTGCAAGCAGAAGACGACTTCATTCTGCTTGAGGATTTCTTTGTTGTCGAGGCTGTGGTTGATTACAAAGAGGCCCCATTCGGATGTCCCCACAAGATGATACAACCCAAATGCTCCATTGCGGTTTGGACAACTAGGATTGGGTAGTAACCTAAGATATAACCATACGCGGGCTGAATCTTTTCTCCCTACAAGCGTTGGTGATATCCATCTTCGCAGAAGGAAACCCCATGCGCGGCATTAAAATACCAACGCGGATTTTTTGAAGGGGTTGCGTGCTGGCCAAGTTACATACTTTCATCGCACCAGCCTTTCATGGCGATCTATGGCCGATCCCAAAGCCGCGGCGACAAAACCAATGGATACCCTTTCAGGAGACATCTGCTCTAGTCATTGTTGGGGGTCATCGAGCCTGCTTACGGCAACACGGCTCAACTTTTCTTTATTGTGTACTCGCCACGAACATGTTCCATCAACAAGAAGAGGTCTTCGAAAATTTCATCGACCCGTATGTTTTGATCCAAACGATGATAAGCTGTATTCTCATATCATTCATTTAGTCTTCCCAAAGATGGATCATGAGTGGCTATAAAATCGACTTGTTGGGATTGACCCGGGTAAGCTTGTTTACGAGGATTCTTCAGAAGATGAGGATGCTAATAACATGAATGTGCTACTAGGAAAGCGGGAGTTTATAACGGCTGTTGACCATGAGTCTCAAGGCTCAAACTCTATGCCAACCTTACGCTTGTCTCGAAGCCATATGGGATGCGAGTGCAATCCGTGGCTTCTTACATCAAAAAGCTCAACCTTACGGCATATGGCCTGCCTCATGACGCCATTGTATTATGGGCCCCGGCGAAAGATGAACAATGAGCAAAAGCTATACCCATATGTAGCCACGCAGCAATATCATCAAGTGCCTCTAGCGTGGCCCCAACTTGGTGTGCCATGACATCAATGTTACAAGTCGTATGCTAATAAAGGAATGACTCCTCTGGAGAATACAATTACACGCATTCAGGGCTATCGGACCCTACTACTATCACAACGTTTGCCATGGATACCTCTATAGAATCAATAACAGCACCATCGAATAAAACCATGCTCGTGCCACTTTAATGTGCCTTTCTTGCAGGAATGAGTGAAGTGAACTTACCTGCTGCAATTGTACGGCGCGTTGAGTAAGCTATTCCTATGACCAAGTAATCTCCTGCGTATAGTAATGTGCCATGGTGATTAGTAATCGGTTAGGTAAATTGCCCTATTAAATTGCTCGTAACCACCTTTTGAGGATGTCACTTTATTTCTCTTACTGCTGTGCTTGTTTATAATAAAAGAGATGTAACTAGCTGGTCCCGCTTGACCGCCTCAGCAGCAAAATTACTTGATTGGCTAATGGACTCCGAGCATCCACTGACCATGTATCACTGTGCACAGCATAATAAAAGTAGCCCCAGTGCATTTATCTCAGGGCGAAGGTGTTTATTCTTTTCTAGTAGGATGCTATGCAACCATATCAATCGAGTCGCCGAAGGGATTTTTCTTGTACCAGCTGCTACAAGAAAGCGCGTAGTATCTCAATAATAACGAGATCTGGTATTCCAGATCCAGTGATAACATTCCTTTTTTTCCGATGGTACCCAGGTCATTCGATAATGTATGGGTGCATGGACCACAGTGGCTGCATGCACAACAAAACGCGATGAGAAGGCAACAAAGTTGCATATGAACAAATCCAGAAATTATTCCTCTGCAGCTTGTAGATCCTTTTTTCATGCATCCTGCTTGTGAGGGTGCATATGGCATTCTTTTCTTTTTCATCATCGTATGATGGATTGCTACAAGTAGTCCACATTGCATGGATTTTTTAAAGTTGTGTAATGGCGGTACCTAGTAACAAATCTAGAAAGCGAAGAAAATGAGAGCTTTTTGCTCTGAAACGGTTCCCGATTGGACACCATAACTTGGATGGCCGATCAACAGACCGATTTTAAGCACCACAACTTTGTTTCAAACTTCTTTAGTCTTTCTTTCTTTCTCTCTCTCTTTTTCTCTTTTACCTCCCTTTGTACATATTCTTTCACCCTTCATTCTCAGGATGGATATGAATATGGATCATTCTAGTCATGGTGCGATTGATGAATCGACACCTTGGAATGCTAATATACCCTACGCAGGTGCTTTAGCTGGCGTCATTTCAGGCCTTACGTTTGTACTTTTTCTACGACATGTAGCCCAATCTATTACATACATTCGCCACTCGTCATTTTTCGGCAAATACAACCGATTGGAACGCTATGTCGTCAACAAGTGCAGCTACACGCTCAATTTGGGTAGCAGCCGATCTCGTCTTACACCTGTATTACCACCTGTTGGTGCTATTTTGTTGATTCTCGCATTGGTGACCACGGCTGTACCTTTATTATTGGTTCAAACGGATTTAGCTATCAATTCAAATCGTGCAGGCTTTTTGGCGATTTCGATTGTTCCATTCATGTTGGCGTCGACTGGCAAAAACTCGGCTATGGCATTGTTGACAGGCATCTCACACGTGAAACTCAACTTTTTACATCGCACCTTGGCAACAGCCATTGTTGTGTTGGCAACAGTACACATGGCCTACATGCTTGAAAATTGGTCAAGATTCTCATGGTTCCTGAAAGAAAAACTTGCCACTGAAAAGGTGCAGCATGGTCTTGCTGGCTATGGTTGCCTATGTTTTGTCTTTGTCACAAGCTTATATCCCATCAGACGCTACTGCCATGAGCTATTCCTCGTCACCCACCTTGTCGGCTTTGGATTTTTGGGCGCTATTGCCAAGCATACACCTTATGCAATGCGTTACTTTTTTGCGGGCTTGCTATGTTACTGCGTCAATGCACTTACAGGCTGGTTTGTAAAGTCGCGTATTGGTCGTGCACGTGTTGAAGTGCTCCCACATGGTTGTACACGCTTGTCATTACGTCTTTCAAGTCCTATCACCCACCGTCCTGGTCAACATGTTTACATCAGCTTGCCCAAGGTATCCTATGTCCAATGGCATCCATTCACCATCACCAGTGTACACCGCAAAACGGAAGACAATGCATGTGACATGATTGAAATGTATGCATGTGTACGTGGCAACTTTACTCGCAAGCTATACAAACTCGCTCAACAAGGTGAAGAATGGCCCGCATTTATTGCTGGTCCTTATGGCAACGGATCACCTGATTTGGATCCCACTGAAATGCTCACTCATCATGATACCTTGTTGCTCATGGGTGCTGGTGCTGGCGTCACATTCCCTATGCGACTTGTACGTGAGCTTGGCTTGACACTATTGGAAGGTGGCATGATGACCCAACAACAATCGATTCGCTCCAAGGACATTTACTTTGCTTGGTCCGTACGTCATGTTGGTGAGCTTGAATGGTTTTATGCCGAGTTGCAGCAACTCCTTGTGGATTTTGAACATGCTCGCAAACGAATGCAACTCAAATATGACTTGCCACATGTCCATGTTCTTTTGTATGTGACCGAAACGAACAAGCAAGGCGCTGACAACATCATTGAATTGCCTACTCCCCCTACTGAGAAAGCCGCATCATTGGATGGTGAAGGTAGTCGCATGTTTTCCAATGTGGATGATGATCACGTGCAAGATGAAGATGCCCCCAAGCCTCGTGTGGTGTTTGGATCTCGCATGGATGTTCGTGCTTTATTCAAGGAAGCTGGTGGACGTGAACCTGGCATCTTTGGTATGTAGTCAAATTGTTTGCTGTTGTTGTATATATAGAAAACTAATCCTGTTATATAGCATGTGGTCCTGCCAGCTTTAATGCAAGCATCAAAAACGCCGTGGCGTCTGCTACACGACCTGGATACCTTCCACATTTGCATTGCGAGGAGTTCCAATACTAGATTTTACAGCATCCCACTGTAAATGATATCCCCTCCCACCTCACATCATCCATTTTCCCACATGCATGTATAGCGCTGTACCATTATCATTATATCATCCCTCCCTACTCCTCCATGATTCCAATGTGTATCTTTATAAACATCTTACTCTAACATGTAATGAGCTAATTACCATTGGCATTTGCATTCTCTTGTGCTCCTTCACGAATGACTTCAGCTAAGCGACGTATAGCTTCATCCATCTTGTCATTGCTAATAGCGCTGTAAGACACTCGCACATACTCCGTTTTGCCTGGGATGGGTAAAAACGACTACATGTAATAGGTAAGTTTCATGATGATGGTAGGGAAAGAAGACTTTACTTACAACACCAGGCACAGCCAACACACGTTTTTCAATCGCCTTTGTATGGATCAATTCTTGAGAATCTTGGATACCTCCAAGCATGCGGATCCACACAAACATGCCTGAATCTGGCACCACCCACGTGGCCAACCCCTGCAGGTGTTTATCCATGCATTGAATAAACACATCTCGTTTCTCACGGTAAAAATCTGCCACCGATCTAACATGATTGTAGAATCCTTGATGACCCCACTTTTCTAACAAGCCATAAGCCATCAATTGTGGAATGCCAGCGGGCTGTAGGTTGCTTGACTATATAGAGAAGTAGTATTGATGAGTGCACAGCTGAGCTTGACATCCACCTGTTATCTTTGTAGCTTACCGCTGTATGGACATCGATTCGATTGACCAATGCAGGAGGACCCGTTACCCATCCAATGCGCATTCCCGATGATAAGATCTTGCTCATACTATCAAGACGTAGTACTCTACCATCCACATCCATGGAGAAGTAGGATGGAGTACGTTGCTCATTGAACTAAATGTCAACGTGAGATGAGTAAAATGGACGATGCATCATTGCTCCGCTTCTTGTTATTACCTGCAAATAGTAGTATGGATCATCTTCGATGATGATAATGTCATACTTTTGACACACTTGGTACATGCGTTTTTTGCGATCAAGCGTTGAGCTTACGCCTGTAGGATTGCCACCCACGGGAACGGTATAAAGGACGTTGGGTCTTGGTTGATCTTTTTTGCCGTTAGGATTGTGCTCTGGCCATGTTTCAAGAATACGTTCAAGATTATCGGGAATGATGCCATCAGCATCCGTGCCCACAGGAACCAAATCGATCGGCATTGTATTCAAAAAAGATAAAGCGCCAGCATAAGTGGGATCTTCGATTAACATGGCTGTACCAGGTTCTGCAAACATCTCAAATGACTATGCAACATGCATATGAGTTGCCTCTGTGTGTATGTGTGTGTGGGATATGGATTGGCTTAGACGACGATTACTTACTTTGGTCATTAAATCTTGGGATCCCGGGCCTACGGACAATGCAAAATCCTTGCGAGGTGGTTTGTGTTCCAATTCTTGCAGCTCACGGAGCCATGCATTGAGAGGTGGCAACCCAGACTATGGTCAACATCTTATGAGCACGTGTGCTTGTAGCGTGAGAACGATACACAACATACCGTCAAATCATACATCAAACTTCGTTGAAACAAAGCCTTGTCAAAGGAAATAGTTTCGCCCGATTTTAATGTCACCGACATACTCTCGTAAGGAAAAGTATCAGGGTTGGGCTGACCAGCATGAAGTGGCATCTTTACGAGATGTCAATACGTGCGCGTCATATAGGGTTTATGTGGCACGGCAAATATGATGAGTCATTCCCTCACATCTACTCTACTATATATCACACGGCGTACATACCATGTCTTCTTGCACAGCATATTTGAACAAGGCACGAACTACCATGTTGTCATGGTAAGCTATGTTGGTTACGTATGTTGAGGATACATGATAGCTTACTAGGTGATTCTTTACGCTCCTTGCTCCGAGTACTAAGAAACTTTGAGTAATCCATGATAATGAATGTTTGGGACAAAGAAAGAAGAAAGCCATTTTCCCAGGATAGGCATGTGTTATATATAAATCCACCGATTCAACATTATCCCGTGACCTAGTTGCTCCCGATGTATAGATTCACTTTATTGTGGCGTTCCCATTGTCTCACAAATAGCGGTATACAAGGCAAATGAAATGTGTCTGGTTATCTATCAAAGAGCCTAGGTGTGTGATGGTTGTCCATGCATAAGTCAGCTGTCCATATCGAAGCCAAATCAAGGGGCCATGTGGTGGCAATTTCCATCATCGACGACCTTTGTTTATATGACAATGAAATGAAAATAGGGTAGCTGTGGTTGTGGACTATATCCACAAATGGTGCACAGGAGGGGGAGGGTAGGTTTGGAAGCACAAAGCATGCCTATTGTTGTTAGAATGAAAATGAATTTTCAACACCGAAGCAACTGGTTCTTTCTTCCTGATCAATATACCGATGCATGCTGATACCTCTCAACGACGACAACCTTGCAATGCTTCACCAGATCGGCGGCGATCGTCCATGAAGAAACCAAACGAATGTGCCATTGTGGACCACGACACCACGACAACAACGACAACCAACACAAACACACGAACCACTAGAGTTATATTAGGCAAGTGGAAGTGTACAAGGATGACTATCAGAATATGGAAGAATAACGGGATATATAGAAAGGTTGTTGAATATGGAGGATCGTCATCGTCTTCATCATCATGCAACGACTCGTTCTGCACCAGGGTCGCCATCACGACGCGAACGCGATACCGACACCACCACTACTACTATCGACCCCTTTACTATAATCTCAGCATCATCATCTCCTCAGCATTCTCATCATCATCATCGCTCTGACGACTTGTATTCCCTTATTGATCCTCCTTTACTTCATTCCCCTTCTGAAATCCTTATCAAATCCAAACGCGGTCCTTCCTATTACGCCTATTCCCCATCTCAAATGGCCAATCGAGAAAGATGTTATGAGATCATCACGACCACTACCCATGACGACATTTTCAATGATCGTGAGAGCCAGGATCGTCAATCCGAGGTGGAAAATGAAGCCTTTTGGCTTGGATTATCTGAAGATGAGATCATGAAGCGGAAGCAATCCCACACTATTCACAGCAACTGCAGCAGTACAACCACCACCAGCACAAGTCCTCGCCTTTCTACATCTCCTTCCTCATTATCAGCATTACCAGCCATTCAAGATAAACGTATATATACCACCAGTGACAACGATAGTAATGATGATGATCAAGAAGAAGACGAAGAGGAGGAGGAGGATCCAATTGATGGCGTTGGCAGTAGTAGTATTGGTCTCATTGATCTCGATGATTTGACTGACGACGAGCAAGTTAGCAACAATGAATTGGATGACTTAGGCCCACTGGCAAAATATGCGCGTGAAAATAGGCGTAAACGTAAAATGGAAGAAATGCTCTCATCCCAATAAACGATACCATCATGTTCATCATATCAATGACATGTAATCAGACCACAATCATATACTAAGCTGATTGACCAATATCTCAAGTGGTGGCTAGGGATGTTTAATTCAGAGATCATACGTATGTACACATTGGCAATATACATGGGATGGGGGTGGGAGTATGATTTTCGCATAGGGGATTGGCAGATGAAAAATGAATCACTACGTTGCCGTTTCAATGGTGGTGTGGTGCAACGGTAGCTGTTGTTATTTCCCTTGGCAACATCTACGCCATCGGAGAGGTATACCATAGAATCCGAAAAAATAGCTTCACTGGTTTCATGGATAGCGGTAGTAGTATCAGAATAGGAATCACTTGGTGAAGACGAGGCAGCAGTCGAATTGGAATCACTTGGTGAAGACGAGGCAGCAGCAGCATTGGAATTACTTGGAAGAGGATGAGGCAGTCGTAGTAGCTTTGTAATCATTTGCATATGCAGTAGCAGTAGAGGAGGGGTCACTTGTGGAGGTAGCACCAGGGGCATACAAAATGATTGGTAGGGTGGTCTCTGTTACGTATCAAGAAAAAAAAGTGTACGTAAATCGGCTCTGTTGCTGATATACCAATCATCGAAAGATTGTTCGGTGGTGATATTCAATCGGAAGATGTATGCTGTAATGATTGAAGGTAGTCGCGAAGCATCTCGCCGTCGTTTGGTGATGGGATCGTTCTTCGTTCAGCGCTTCGCGTGCTTGATCCATTGCAGGATCGGCAGCAGTTGTGAAAAATTTCCAGTGCTTGCTCCTGGTATGTTTTTGCTAAATTCCTCTACAACGTAGATCCGAGTTATTAGTGATAAACCCTGCAAAGCAAATATTTGCTACATACCCGCCTATTAACGTCGCTAATGATTGTATTCCACAGTAGATAGTCGAACGAGAGTTTCTTGGAACTGTGGAAAAGATGTATTGCGTCAATAGCAAGGTAACGTGATCAAACGGCTCCATTTTACCTTTTAGCATCTCCTTTCACTTCAATCGGAAGCTGCTTAAAACGTTCAAGCCATGCTTGGTACAAGTTCCTCGCGTTGCAAGCACCCATCCCAACCGACCAAAGCGCGAAGTGTTGCATGTTGTTCTTGATAAAGTGATAATCTGGGGGAATGATTGGATTCACCAGAGCGCTTCAATTCTACGCAGAGCGTTAATGCTTGGTACTGCTCAAATGACAGTGACTCCCAAATTACCTTGTTTCCCTGGATACAACGTTGTCGAATCCATGCAGGAGAAGAGACAACTATGCTGCGCGCACCAGGAACTGATTCCACATAAAGAGCGCTATATCGCGCTTCCGAAAATTGGAGCACATCTCCCTCGAAATGGCAATACCACTCCCATGAGTGTTGGTCTTGGTGTCCACAACAGCTGGCAAGGAAACAGAATAATTGGTCCTTTGGACACATGATGTGAGCTGTTGCACGCCATTGCCACCCTACTCCATGATCCAACTAACCAACATGGGCATACGTCAACAGGTCGACATCTTGATACGCATGTACTTTTGTCACCTACAAAGGAGTCCCAAATTCCCGTCAGACTAGGCATCCTTTTAATATGCAAATAATAGTTATACCTACCACAAAGGGTTCCTCAAGAAACACAGCCAAGTGTCATTAAGCAGCAATGAGCACACCAAGTCTTAAAGCAATGAAGTGAGCTACATAGATGAATGCATCATGAGTACCCTCATTTTGGGGATCACATAAAGAATATCCTTGAGACTTACCAAAGACCATTGATGATTGATGATATGCATACAAGAAGAAAGAAAGCGTGGATGATGGTGTTGGCGACAACAGCCTTGTTTATATGTGAGTGGGCGTGGGAAGTGTTGTCATGATGGATCGAACTGATAAAGTGGTCAAGCATCTTGGAGCACGGAGTCGAAGTGATGAAAACTGGTAAATCCACCTGGCCGCTTCAAAGGTGTCCTCTTGTAGGTGACATTAATGTGTCCTCATCATGGTAACCTTGGTTGCTGCCGTCATAAATATCCCTCATCCATGATTGCTAAATAGCTGCCGTGTGCATTGACTCGAGTATTCCAATATCATCCATAGCTGTGATCCATCTTCGTTCGTCAAAGATACAAGCGCTTATGTCAATTCCATCCAATCCATCATCATCCTCAGCCGAATGCAGCTTGACGATGGAGTCCTTGACGAGATGCATGAATGACCTTGGTAACACAAAAGATTTGAACGCGGGCCTTCACTGCTTGTTGATGACATGATCCATCCATAAGGCACATATAGTTGTAGAGATCCATCAAAGGAATTGCCGATAACCAGAACCACCAGAAGATCGAAAGCTTACTGACGCCAAAGGTATAGACCTGCTCCTTGTTGCTGACATGATCGATCGATAAGAGAACATCATTTCAGGACGCCCACCAAATTGCCGATAACGAGAAAACCAGATGATGGGATAAAGCTTGATGTGGAACCAACGATATGGATGCTGTTGCTAGTTGCTGATACAATCCACTCATAAAAGACGTTCATTGGCTGACATTCTCCAGAGAAATCGCCCGTTGCTTGGTAACCAACCACCCGAGACGCAATAAAGGTTGACACCACCAAAGACATAAACACTTCCCCATGGCTGACATGATTCACCTATAAAAGATGCACCATAAACAATTGTCCAAACCTATCGAATAATACTTAGCAATCATGGCTGTGATCTTGTAAACTCCAAAGACCAAAAGACAAGCAGCTCTCTGCAATGGTCCCTCTAAATAATAATGGTAGGCATCAGTAAAGGTCTCCAAAAAGGATCAGAGTCATGCATACCTGAATCACGCAATCATCACCCGCAGATTTGGGAACCAAGTAGGCCATCAGGATGTAAAGTGATAATAAAAGCGCACAGCCAAAGAAACGTCATTGTACCGGTACTCTCCTGTGGATCGACGCGATGAAGTGCATCAATAGAGATACCCATCTTCTCTCTAAAGGCAAGGAGATCAATAGCCGTAAAACGATGGAAGCCGTGCGAACAGAGGATGCATTTTTAAATCCCTAAGGCCGCAACATGAGTCGCACTGTCCCCGGGCACAACATGTAGAGCTCCACAGGAAAGTATAGTACAATGACGTCCTTGACACGCAGCCTTGATAATAATAGTATCGCCGAAAGAGGCTCTGCCACTGTATGGCGTTTGGTAAGTTCACTTGAATCCAATCAATTCCACAATGAACACTCTTACCTTGTGGTGCTGCTCAATAGCATTCTTGCCTCAAATAAAGCCGTATCTCCATGTCATCCATGTTGTCTTGCTGCTGTTTCACTGTAAGGTTCGTTAATTAACAGGTTTCGCTTTGTAGATCCAATACCATGCATACCATTGAGCCAACCATACAGCATTCTTGTTTTGATATCCGTATCCTGTTGCTGCCACAGGTACCATAATCCAACGTGTCCAAGCTACAGTAAGTGAAGTGTAAGGTAACAATAACATTCGCTTTTCATATCGACATACCCATAGTAACAATAGGTTGCGACCCTCCTTGATGGCAACCATGAAAAGCATACACACGACACACGACGCCCCCCTTTGGATCTCGTATAAACGTGAGAACAGCAAACTACACGTGAACTTTAGAACCACAATGTCCAACTTGAATAATAAAGGAATGCAGCGATGGAACGTACATGTTGTATTGCAATGGAAGCTTGAGTCATGGGCAGATCGCGCGCGTACTTGTTGCTGAATGTCTGCAGCTGGAAAGTGTCGCCATTGACCACATGTTCACCTCAATGAACGCTGTACATTGTAAGGAATGCCAGCAATTAACGCGTTGTAGTTTGTAAATGGAGACAAGCTTACCTTTTTTTGTGAAGTGGAAGTGAAGAAGAGTGGTCTCTTTGTTCCTCCTGTTCGCTCCAATTCGTGCACTCCATGCCACCCCGCTTGCTACAGCTATTACTGTTTATACGTACCCTCCACAATATCCTATACTTTTAGCTCCATAAGAATGGTCACTGCTCAAGACTTCAATTGAGATCAGCTCTCGTAATTAAGATATTAGGTCTGTGCGCATCACATCGATCGCTTAGTTTATGCAACTCCACTTCTGGACCAACTTGTGTAACCTACTATGTATCATAAAGCCTCCACGCTTCATTGTGAGAATTTTGAGAAACAGTTACCTGCATGTTTTACCTATATGGTAAATGTGATGGAGCTGCTTCCTCCTAATGATGGATGACGTCGAGAGCATTATAAGCAAGGTGAAGAACAGAATGAATGGCACGTGGTGTTTATGTACACACACATCATCATCATTGCATAAATGAAGAATGATTGTGTTTAGGAATGTAGGATTTTCATATCAATGATTCAGTTTGCCATGGGTTTATATGTACAGCAGCAGCAACAATGAGGAAGGACGTTATCAGAAATTACGAGGAACGCTATTACCATTGTGGATGATGATGATGACAGCGGAGGAGATTGTATATTGGTATGAATGCTTCATTATGATACTTGCCATAAGACAGTGGCTCGGATGCAGTTGACGCCAGATCATAAAAGTGATCGATTTATTGACATGGCGCATATATTGTGGCATGAGCTAGACCATAACAAGATAATTTAGAACATGCCAGCCATCAGTGATGTTGGGCTTGCTCCATTTTGGAATGAAAAACAAGTACGCCATGATGCTTTTTGTGACTATAGTGAGTGAGGGGGGCAAGTCAATTGAGCCCAATATATGATCCACCACCTTCCACATCTCTCTACTACTGTTATTGGCTTCCATCTTTCGGTCTTTTTCCAACACAACGGCATTGCACAGATACAGTAGGTATGGATTGCACCAATTACATAAATAAACTCTAACGCATGAAAGCGAGATTGGCTGTAATAAAAATAGCTAGCTGCTAAGTCATGTGGTAGCAAGCCATATGGTAGGAGAATGGAATTTAAAGACGTTTGTTGGATGCAATGCTGGTACCTGAAAGATTATCGCTGCATGGATAGAAGCCTTTGTACAGCTGTAGGTCTCATCCAGCGCCTTGTTTAGGTGAAGTACATACATGCATGGTGACGGTACCAGGTTTGCGGATTACAATTACCAGCATACCCTTCAATCTGCATGAAAACGCATTGGAAAGGAAACCATAGCAATTAAAGTGAATGATATTAATAGCTGTATACTACTACTACGTTTATTGAGGAGACGCCTCCTCTTGCATGATGTCGTAGGATGATCTATCCATATTCATCTTTCAAGTATACAAAGAACGCATCTTTGTTTGTTGAATGTTGCTGATTTATTTGCCACTATGGTACACAAATCTTAAAGGAGACAAGACGAGGAACAAAGTAAATGGGTGATGCTGATGAAAAAAGTCTCACTTTTCTTTTTTGGTGCGTGTATGTGTGTGTATGTGTAGAGTGCGTTTTGTGTGTGTGTGTGTGTGTGTCTATGTGCATGCAACAGGGACTGGGTATTGAGTACAAAGAAGGAACAATGAGAGAAATGAGAGATGCGGGGAGTGGAGTGATACGATGGAGAGAAAAGGAAGCATGTGAAATTTTCTAACGTGATGGCTCATTGCCATTGGTTGGAGATGCTTCAGCCATCACTACAAATCTTTCCAGAACCTTTGTTCCAAAACAAAGAGGTGTGAATTAGTCCCTTTGTTCCTGAACTACCACAAAAGAAAAATTTTGCTTTACCTTTGAGAATCCTTCACGACCCACAGCAGCGTTTTGTTGGAATCGTTTCAATGAAAAATCTTCAATCACATTAGCCCAACGAGAGACAATGCTTCCAGCTGAGATTGCAGCCTGCTGCGTAAACTGGGTCCTGCAATCAATGATAAAAATCTTGTCAATCACCACCACCACATGAATGATATCATTTTTTCTTTTCATACGTACTTTTGCTTGTCATGGGGATGTTCACGATAGACAATGGTTTCATTGACGCTTAACAAGTTGGACATTGTCAAGTTTTGGCTTGTCATGGTCAAGGTCTTTTCCTTTGGGTCGATGATGGAAATCTCTCGAACGTATTGCTCAGAGCCGTTGCATCCAAGAAGCTAGATATCATTCCCCCCCTTATTGATCAGCATCACTGATATGACACATATACACATACACACGCTAAGTGATTGTATACCTTCATAATCAAGGTGGGCACATTTTGGTTGACGGTAATAAGACGTTCCGTTGTCAGGACACCGGTCTTTGGATCCACAGTGCGATTCAAGACATCGACATGCTGCACATGAGAGCAGTGCTCATTGGGGTATTTTTGCCAATTGGCTGCTGACACCAAACTCCACGGGTATGAATAGTCGTGTGTGCTCTGAAAGATTTTCATGTCGAAAGGAACAAAGTCAAAGAGGTGGATATGCGGGATGTTATGAAATGTATGTGTGTGTGTGTGTGTGGAGAAAGAAGAAAGAGCAACGGGACAAGGGTATCCGAGGACGGCTTTTTTTTTATTGGCATTTCCTTGCTTTTGGTTGGTCGGCGCTTCCGAATGTGTGAAACATGGCCAAAGCTCATCTGTAAAGACTTTCCTATCCTGCTAAAGTGAACCTGACACTTATACTTACCAATCACCTTTATCCGGTTCTTTTATTCAATATCCCAACGCCATAACGTGTACCCGCTTCACCCCTTCGCTCTATCTATTTTACCGATTGAGAGGCGCATGGTGTTCCCAACAACTTCATCACCCCCCTTTCCTTTGGCCCTGATGGCCGAGAGCTGCAGACATCCCATTGTAATCATCTTGGCAGTGTTTTGTCTTGAACCAAATCAATTAGTTTGACCATGAAAAATGAGTCATCCTACCCGTTCAACATCAAAAGGGGACATAGGATGCTTTCAATGATCCCTCATCCTCCTCATCGTATTCAAAGCATGGGTTTTATAGTAGAGGCATGATGATGATATGATTACTAGTTATCCATGCACTTGTACGTTGCATCAAGAAAATTTTATGCGCATGACCAGTAACATTACAGAAAATGGACAACAAAAGGAAATCGTTTCAGATGATGATATGAAAGCAAAGATATAGTCGACTAATTGTATTCCAATCTCAACGAAAATAGGTTTAAAGAAAGCATAATAATAATACTTTTTTCATACTCTACATTATATATACAGGTGGATGGTATTGCTATTTCTATTAGGGATAGTTGGCCAATTTTTTTCTGAAAATGTCAAAGCGTGCCTTGGCGTATAAATGATAATCATAATCGATTTCGCTCTGGCTGTATTGAATGACACCCCAAAGAGCCCATTGCAAATGGCCCGCCACGGCCCAAGCCAATACACACTGATCCAATTCTTCTACCGATGGATGTTCAGGAATAGGCTTGTCTCCAATATAGGCGTTCAGGAATCGCAATCGTTGTTCTTTGGAAGGGAAGTATTCAGGCATAGGCTCCGCTGGATGATCGCCATGGTAATTGTACATCCATTCATTAAGGTGGTTTCCAAGATCAAATGCAAGTGGATTATAACCGACATAATCAAAGTCGACAATGACAAGTTCACCCGTCTCGGTTAATCGAAGCACATTGCCATACTGGGTCTAATGCAAAACAAAAAAGGGGGGGATAGCTCCCTCATTCAGCATGAATATACCATGTCCTCTCCCATCCTTTGAGCTCATCACTTACATCATTATGTGCGAATACGGTGGGACTTGGGAATCTCTCCATGATAGCCTTGCAGCGTTCAATTTCGGCAGGGAGGCTTTCGAGATCGAAATCTTTAAACTTGGCTTTCCATGTATCTTGATTCATGAGCTCACGTATAGCTGTGTACCATTGGGTGATATTGCGCCAAATTTCAACAAAGGGAACACCTTTACTGGTGGTAGGAGGTGGATAATCATCAGCAAGACTATGCAACTGACGCAAGGCTTGAGCGATTTGACATGATGTGGTGGGATCGGATAATTCGGCATGTGTCAAGGTGGTGGAGTCTAGATATTCCTCAAAACGTCCATTGCCGAATGTTGCCAAAAGTTGAGGGCTCACATTGTTGCTGACTTGCGACAATCGAGAAAGCCAAGCAAGTTCACGTTTTCGATCCACCAAGTTGTCGGCACCCACACCATAGACACGAAGCAATACACGCGATTTTCCAGGGCTGTCTAGGAAATAAACAGCACTGTTGCCATGGATATGAGTACCTTTTTCTCTCTCTCATACAACATGCACTTACTTGGTCATGGCTCCACTGACACGGTCAAGCGAGATCTCTTGTACTTGCTCCCACCCAGGCAATACCTTACGGCATACATCGATCACACAATCATACAAAGCCTTCTTTTCTTTAAGTTTCCTACGTCGTACACACATCAGGATGCTGTATTAAGGTTGACAAGCAAAAAAGTAAACCCGTACAATAGATCAATCACGTCTTGGCATGAGGGCACTCCTTCAATGTCGACACTAAAGTCGATCTTGGCATCGCTGTCTTCAGTTGGAGGAACGATAAGTGCTGGGCTGCTGGCGCTGCGAACAGAAGGCGCCATGACACCGGGAATACGTCGTTTTTGTTGTGCACCCATGGTGGTAAAAAAGTATAAAAAGAGCCGTGTGAAAAGGGGGTGGAGAAGAAAGAGAGAGATGTTGAAAGTTAATCAGGCGGTGTTTTAGTCGCTGATGGGACTAATGAGACCCTGGAGTTACTACATCCATCTCCATCGCCGACTCCCATCTTTCGATCGTGTTTTATGAGTAGTCGGCTTCTTACAATAAATCACTCATTGATGAACTGCTGCAGTAACATGTCCCATGATTACGCTTACAACCATCAGCTGCTTTTCTTTTATATTGGGGAGCATTGTAATAAATGTTTATTATTGCGGGGGTGGCAAATGTAACATGGTATATTTGAAAGCAAAGAAAGCAAAAGAGAAAACTATACAAGATGTGTGAGGGGGGGGGTAAACAATGGAATGTATATATATCTACAAGCATATTATTGAGAAGCGAGTGGTGTTGTTGCAGCTGTCGTCTCAATCCAATGGAGGTTGCTCGTACTCATACTGCTTATGGAAGAAGTAGAGGAGGGTGAAGGAGGAGGAAAATGGATGTTGCTGCTAGTGGTTGATGTGGTGGTGGTATCATGGATGATGGGTGGATCGTCGGGTATGACATCTTTACCAAGACAACTTCGCCAACAAGCAGTTGAGCAAAATCGAACACGATGAACGACAGCTGGATGACCCTTGAAGCTCTTCACTTGAACAGACGTGACCCATTCATTGACAAAAGGGGATTGACATGCAACACAAAGACGAGAATGATTTTCAAGATCCTGTGCCAAATGAATTGGAAGCATATGCAAGGGGACTTGAGCCTTGTTCTTGAGAATGTGTCGGGCGGCAATTTCACGTAACGAATGGATCAAATGATGCCCTTGGAATTCCATACTTTCTCGCACATGTTCCTCGTCCTCATCCTCATCCACAGGTGTATTACCCATCAGCTGATGTTGATTGGGTTGCTGCTGTTGTTCTTGTGCATTGTCATCAACATCATCATCATCGTCGTCGTCGTCTTGGGGTGGTGATAAGACACCCATTAAGGTTTGAGGAGTGCCTGGTCTTGATCCACGGATATTGAGTTGGCGTGCATGATATAACAATTCTCGATCAATGCTAGCATCATGATCGTCATGGTCGTGAAAGAATTGTAATCGTGATCGTCTTGTTGTTGATCTGGGTATTGATGATGTCGTATTATCACTGTTGCTGCTGCTGCTACCACTACCACTACCACTGCTGCTACCGCTGTTGTTGCCTTTATCATCAAAGTTATCAAAGTAGCTCCGTTGGCGATTATGGTGATGATGATGGTGATGATGACGATGGCGATGAAGTACGAGAGAAGAGGGACCACCTTCACATCCCATACCACGTGGACCACAAAGAGGCGACATTGGAACCGCACGCATAGTCATTTGACGTACTATTTGTGCATATGCATCACTCGTGTTGTTGCTACTGGTTACACCAGAGATATCATGGATAAGGGGATTGCCAGTGATGAGTAGTGTGGTTGAACGCATATGCTGAAGAATATCTGCTGGCATGATGCACAATAGATTCTCGCTCAAATCGAAAAACTCAAGGAACTTGAGCTGTACAAGATCGGCAGGCAATGTTGTAAGATGATTTTTGGATACATTGAGCGTACGCATACGTTGGCATTGTGCAATGGATGCTGGCAAGGTGTCGAGTTGATTGTCGCTTACGTTGAGATGTTCTAAACGTTCCAGACGCATGTTGCAAGGTAGTGATCGTAATTGATTATGGGATAAATCCAGCTCTTGAAGACGTTGCATATCTGCAATCTGATCAGGTATATGAGTGAGCAAATTACCGCCAAAGACTGAACCCAATTGCAGATGCTCCATTTCCTCCCATAATGATAGATCCGCTTCAATACGCTCAATGCGGTTAGCTGACATCCGTAACGTTTTCAGCCTTCGTAAACGTATCGCCATCTCACTCGGGATCTCAGTGATCAAATTTTGTGATAGATTGAGTACTTCAAGTTGACCAAGATTGTATAATACGGAGGGCACTGCTGCAAGTCGATTGGCGGATACATTGAGGATTTTCAAATAGTTGAGCATTGCCAAGTTGGGTGGTAGCTGTGTCAATCGATTGCGTGAGATATCCAATTCCACAAGGCCTTGAAGACGTGTCATTGGATTGAGAAAGGGTGCCAAGGGCGGTAAAAGGCCATCCAATTGCTCTGATAACTCGGCTGATTCCATTCCTCGTCGTCTCAATAGCAACACCCCATCTTCACGGATTTCTCTTCTAAGTTGCTTCTTTCGTATCCGTACTTGACCCTCTTTTGATCGTTGTTGCCTTTGCTGCTCTTGTGTCTTATCAGCACGCACATGCTCACCCAAAGGAGCAAGATGGGGATCGTCAATGCATGATTCAATGTCGACGAGGGAGTGGGAATGGGACGCATTGTGATCGGAAGGTGGTTGTACGCCTTGCAAGGTCTTGCCACCCAGTAGATAGGGTGCAAATGTTGGCATTGGATGCTAAGAGTGGGGAGGAGGAGTAGAGTGGATTGCACTGTAGAGTGGTGGAGTAGGATGGTGGGGGAATAGTGCGTGTATGTTTATGGCTTCATCAGATAAAGACAGCCCAAGCAGTGTCTGTGCCCTCGTATTTATACAATCGCGACTGCCTCCCAAATTTTATCTGATCTTCCGCAATTAGTAGATCAGCCCACCCACCATCACAACACCGCCCCTTGTTTATCCCCACGCACACCATACCCATTTCCTTTCCTTCTCCTTTTCCTTCCTTAATCAGTGACTCAATATGCATCTGCTGATACACTTTACTCATAATCTGAGTTGATGGCTTTTGCTGCTGCTTATCGTTTCTTTGATCATCAGCATCACCAACATACATAAAATGATAGTCAACAACGCCAGCATCACCCCGACAACCACGACGCCTATCATTGGCGACATCCAAACACTTTACGTTTCCATAGCAACATCACACAAAGACGATAAAGGCATCTTTTAGTAATAACATACAACAGCATGAAAATAAGACAAGTGGGATTTATAAACGATCTTCTGGGGAGCAAGCAACTCCAAAAGAGCTGCAAGGGAGAATGAGGAATGTATGGTCATTGTGTGTCTTTTTCAACTTGGCGATAAATGTTGTAGTAAAGATCCATATTTTTGCTGGTGTGCATCTTTTTTCGCTTCCATAGTCTTCAGCATAGACAACATTTTTGATGAGTGATCATGGGAAGGACATCTGATTTGAGTGCGATATTTTTGTGTTGGCGTCATATTAGTTCAACACTAAGCTTTTTGTGATGATCCTTTGGCTTTGGAATAGTGAGATCACCTTTCAGAGCTTTCATGATGAATAGCAAGACAAAGATGAAAGTACCCACTTCATAGTTGGACCTTGCTATTTTCACCTTGGTTCATGCACCACGTCAATTTCAGCAACCGATGGTACGTAGGCCATATTGGGATTCCATACCATTTGGATTTAGCAGTTCTTTGTTTGATCCAATTGTCCAGTTCACCAGGTGGTGTAAAACAATCATCAATGTTGGGTGACGAAAGGCCTTGTTGTCGTTGATGGCAGCTTGAACTTTGACGCTGGTGTTAGACTTTTGTCGTTTGCTCAGGTTTTGAAGAGAATGTATTTGTTCAAAAGCATGAAAACACCAAGCACGTGTCACTTTCAATTGTGGATGGGAAGCTCTCTCGATTTAAAGCGTATTGTGTTCCTCAATCGCATGGCTTTTCTATCGACATCACGTCGAAATCTTGATGAACCTGGTGCCGGTGTCAAGATCAGAGATTGAAAATCTTTTGAATGTCTGATGAAAGTTGGTGTTCCCTTAGGAAGATCCATGCCGTCAACTAATTGGTGTATCACCCTCTCAACTTCCGGTGATTGCTGAATCCCTTTAAGAAAGACAACACTGGATGATGAACGGCCACCGAATCCAGCTTTGAAGATGCACTATACATTATAGCCATCAATGGTACGACGTCTGACCCAGCCGTTATCTGAAACCTCATATTGAGGAAAAGGTCCAAAGCGACCCGTGTACGAGGTGACTCTATCAAAAAGAAATGTGAGTATATGCTTCATTCAGCACGATGTTAGGTTTTACTTTAACAAAGAGTCAAACACCGCAATGGCGACAATGACAATGAAAGGAGGATAACAATGAAATACTAAAGATCATTACAGATATTGGTACATGGATCGCCTACTCACATCAACTTGGGCTTACAGTATCAGCAATCAAAAAGTGATATGATGGAAGAAAGAACTGTGTGGTGGGAGTGAAAACGGGCGACAACATCTTTTATGTGCATAGTGGGCGTGGGTAAGTGATAAAAATGTTTGTTGGGAATGGGACACCTTTTTGATAAACATGGCGCAACCTGTAAATACCCTTAGCTACCACAACCTGTATGGGAGGTGGTATAATGGTTTGCATGTCGCAATCCATACACGTGACAAGAAGAGGATATCCCCAATCCTGGGATACCGCTGCTCATGCCAGAGAAATGGTTTATCATTCGCAAGAACCCATTCCCCAAGTATAATGAATGACTGTGTCACTAACTTGGGGGGAAAAGCATCATCTAGAAGAGCTAAATATAACTATTATTTACCTTGACCACGCACCTTTCCACATATAGACTTCATTTCCTTAAGCCATATGGCAGATACAATGATGTTGGTGGAGAAGCATTCTTTATTTTAGTATTAGTATTCTAGTATTCTTCTTATTTCATTGCTTAATAAGGTATCCATTGGAGATTGGTGCGATGGCACGTGGATTGTCGCGTTGGTGTAATCAAGAAGGCCACTATACAAACGCACTGTGCTCTATCGGAGGTGGGACAAAGGGGAGACGAGACTTTTTTCTGGATCCTCATGACGACAAGTAGAGATCAACAAGCATGAGCAGCAGCACATCACCATCATCATCATCATTCTCGGTCAATAGTGAATCCATTCATTTGCAAGGGATCATTTTATTATGAAGAAGGGAAGCAAATCAGCGATAGACATGAAGCAATAGATAACCTACTAGTTGACACAAGCGTATATTACAGTAGCATTGTCACACAACAGCATAAGCCTACCCGAGTAATAGCTGGCCATATTGTCACTACACATACAACCCCCACCTTTTCTTGTTTCCAAACATTCCTTTATTGCAAATACTACTCTTATGCAACGTATTCTCGCAAGTACAGGCCGACGGTCCAAGCTTGCATTGGGCATTGAACTCGATGACTGGACCTACTACTATGCTGGCGATACTGTCAAGGGGCATATAGTGTTGGAATCGCCCAAATCGATCAAGATTAGCCGCGTTCGTATGGTGTGGATGGGAGTGGTCAAAGTGCAATTGGAGCCTGGTATCCAAGATGAGCAAGAGTTGTTTCGTCAAGTGTGCAATGTGGATTTGCCTGTTGCTGCTGCTGTGGAAGCTGAAGAAGAAGGAAACGAGCAAAGTGGGGAAGCTGAAGCACGTCGGCGACGAGAAGCTTTCAGGAACGCTGCTGCAGCCACCACAGCCTATGGCATGATGATCCCTACTTCCAATCCAAGCCCGGTCTTTTCTCTCGAAGCGGATAAGCAATATCGATTTCCCTTTGTTTTCGTTGTTCCTTCGGATGTAGCTCTTCCTAGCTGTACCGAGGTAAAAAGACCCCCTTTGACACGTTCATGATGATGAACATCACGCTAACTTGTTTATAATAGAGTGAAACAAGCACCAATGGCATTGTCGAATATACCATCGAGGCTCAAGTAGAACAACGATCCACCGACTTTGCTGCTCCTACCAAAGCACGTATCAATGTCCCTGTATTGCAAGAAATCGACACGTTGGTAGATGAACTTGACAGCCCTCAATCATCGCAAGTCTATTGTCACGCTGAAGATGATGATGATCAAGACCATTTCGCCACATTGAGCGCTACAGTGCCTAAAAAGGCTTTTCTTCGAAGCAAGTGTACAACCGATGATTGTATCCTCTCCACATCAAAACTAATTCTTTCTATGTAGATCAATCCGTGTCTATCACTGTTGGCTTGAAGCACTTTACAACATTCCAAAGACCCAATGCTGTTATCATTGCACTGATTCGGGTAACACGTATCCAATGCAAAGGAGTGTAAGTATGAGGGCTTGATGATGAGAAATGGATGATGATGAGCATGAACCTCATAACATGTGCGCAGGTCCTATTTATTATCAGATTCTGTTGTCCATTATGTGAAGGCGGATATTGATGTGACACAAGATGGCGGTCTTACACAGACCATTGTACGTTCAATCCTGATTCCCGGAACCATTACCCCAACCATCGAGATCAATGGGCAATTGTTGGAAGTGAGCTATAAGGTCCGTGTACGAGCACAGCTACAAGAAACCAGCTATGAATTGCCTGTGGTCAATTTCCCAAGCGACTTTCAAAGCCTGGCAGGAATGACGGTTGAAATCCCCATCATAGTTGGCACATTACCAGTATCATCCACACACACGCCCATGTCTCCTATCAGCCCACGCTTTGTCAACCCATTTGAACTACCAGACCCTGAATTGCTACCTGAAGATGCTGCTTTGGATGCTGACACTGAGTCGCGTGTTAAAATCTTAAGGAAGCTTTTGCGTCGTACATCATCAACTGGAAGCACTCAAACGCTGCCTATCATGAGCGAGAGCAATGATAATAACCTCACCATCGACACCAAAAAGAATAGGCGATCCTCCAACGTGTCCTTATCATTGAGAAATACTGGATCCATGCTTATGAAGACCGTCACCAGTACCAATACCAGTAGCAACAATGATGCATCTGCTACCAGCAACAGCAGCAATCCTACCACCACCACCACCACTACTACTACATCCACCTCTACAACTGCTACTACTACCAGCACCGATAATAGTACAGCATCCACAAGCCAAAGCCCTGTACTTGTGGTATCTCCTTCCACCACCTCCACCTCCTCTTCCTCTCCTCCAAAAATTGAAGACTCGTATCGTCTTTCGGTTGGGCCTAGCCTTAGCAGCTGGTTTGATCAACACTACTTGTCAACAACAACGCCACGTGAACACATCCCCACCAGCAGCACCAGTAATGATGGCTCATCACCAACATATCCTAATAACGACAATAACATGGATCCACCACCATTGGTTATACGCCTATCATCTTCATCCCATGCATCACCTGCTTTAGAGGAGCCAAAGCAACCTAATGATCACACAACATCCATGTTACAACAAGAAGAAGAGCATCCTCCAATGATCTCTGTTCCACCTTTATTGAAGAGTCAAGATCCTCAGAGAAGGAAAAAAGAAGATCAGGAACGACAAATGGCGGATCATCTCGAACAATCACAATTGGATCAACGTCACATGGATGGTAACACGTATTATTTCTACATCTTTGATGATTCTGAAGATGAAGATGAAGAAGAAGAAGGAGAGGTTCAAACAACGCCTACAGGGTTCCTCAAGCCTAATAGCAGTACCAATAACCTGGGAGCCAGCGAAGCTCGCATCAGCATGGACAAGCCTAGTCGACAACCCCTGGAAGTTTCCACCTTTATCGATAAACCAGATCAAGTGACCGATAGCGAGGAGGATTCTAGTGATGAGGATGAGGATGAAGACTTGTTGGATATCATATCCAGGCGAGATCGAAGGATAGCAAGTCGTATGGGAGGAGGTGCTCGATCATAGTAGTATGTAGTTGTATCATTTTCTTTGTAGTAAATATCCCCGCATTGCATATGTACTTCTTTTGCATGAAACCATGTTGTTGTTGTTGTGTGGTGATAATGATGATGTTGTTGTTGACATGATAGATTATCAAAAGTGATAATGGGGTAGCCCCCCACTACCTTATGTGGGGACGAAGTAATGACGACTACCTATAAATGTAAATGTTTTCGACCATTTTCCATTACCATGTTAATAGGGCGTTGCGGGCGGCGGGTGTCGGTGACATCTTTTTATATAATTTCCTTATAGTATCCACCCCCCAATTTGGCGCAGCAGCAGCATTAGCCCACCACCAAGCCACATCATTGGACGTTGACCTTTGGTGTACGAAACAGCCCAACACCTTTTCACCCCCCAAAACCAACCGCAGTCGGTATAAAAAGAAAGCAAAGTTCATTAAGTTCTCTTTTTCCCTTTCAGTTTACTTTCAAGTGCTTGCACGACCTTATCGCTTCAACTACCACCACCACAGCCTTCAGTCTTCAACACTTGCGTGAATAACAGCAACACAACCCACATTCTACACACCTTTATTGATATGCACTTTACCACCCAACGTTTCTTGTAAATCTTTCTCTCAGCCATTTTTCAACACTACTCTACGTTTCACTTGTTTCTATTCATCACACACTCTCCATTACCCAATGTGCCAATAAGTTTCCTTTCTTTCCCAATCTATTGAAGACATCCATCGAATTACCCTTGTCTCCCAACTAACCAATGACCACATCTGATGTTCATGTTCCAGCTTTTGATCCCACTACAACCTCCGTAACGACGAGGGCTACGGCCCCGGGGTCGTACTACCACCACCCTTGTTTCCAGCCCTCCATGACAACGACGACAACTACTACAACTACTACTACTGTTACTCTCCCACAAACAACAACCACGACTTTGCTATTGAATTCTACTACGGATCCTAGTCTCTACTCGCTTACTCATGGTAGCTATCAATATCCACAACATTTGCTTCACCCACAACAACAACAACCACAACAACAACCACTACCACCGTTGCCCTTGCAACAGCTACCACCAGCACAGCAACCACCGTTTGCACTTTCGAGCATGCCATCCGACCTTAGCAGTGTTAGTAGCAGTAGCAGCAGCAGCAGCAGCAATACCAGTTTTTCTGTTGCCTCTGCAGCTACCAATTCTACTACGGTCACTCCTGAAGATGATGAAAAGCCATGTGAGAAATATAGGCAATTTCTACATTCGACGCGACAAGAGCGCACTGTCGTGATTGATAAGCTGGTTGGTGAGTGTATATGATGATGATGATGATGTGGCTAGGCTTGTTCGTTAATATTAGCCTATCTATTAATTAGATGTGTCTGCCGAGATTATTGATTCTATTTGGAACCCTGCCAGAGATTGCAAAGTGGTGTCTACACGCAACTTTATTCATGAAATCTTGAAACGTTCCAAAGCGACCTATTCAACCTTGCAGATCAGCTTGTTTTATCTGTTTCGAGTCAAGAAACGTGTCCATGATCGATTGCAAACCCGCCAGCGTATGCCGCCATCACCGCCACTTTCACCTCCGCGTGATGGTGGTGGCCATGTTGGTGCCAAAAAGAATCGAGATCGTATGGAAGACATGATGCTATGTGGCCGACGTATGTTTCTTGCTTCTTTGATGGTGGCTTCAAAGTATCTTCAAGATAAAAACTATCGCAACAGAGCATGGGCCAAGATTGCGGGATTGGATCTCAAAGAAGTCAACACCGCCGAATTGGCATTCCTGCGTTTGATTGATTACAAGCTGCATATCAGTAAGCCGACCTTTGATAAGTGGTATACCTTGTTGCATGGCTACCTTCAAAAGAAGCAACAACAAGAAAAAACCTCCTCAGCGTGTGCTTTTCAAATAAAAATGGATTCCGTCTAGGATGTAAGTACTCCTTGCGTTTTCTTTTTCTCTTTCTCTTTGATTGTATATACATCTATGTGCAGAGCAGCAGAGCATTTTGGAATGTCTATTACTACTACTTCAACTGCAACAACAACAGCAAAAGGATGTCGTACATACATACGCACACACACGCACACAAACGTACATACACGCACACACACGCTCTTTCCTATTTCCATCCCCCTTTTTTCTCAGCTCGTGTGCGACTGGACGTGACTATGCAGTGACCGTAAAAGGAAAAGAAAGGAGATGAATGGTGATTGATGATGCGGCCACTTGCACTCCTCATTGTTGCACCAGTGTGGAACCCCAAAAGGTACGACTGCTGCTGTTCAGCTGTTGCTGCGGTTGGTGTTGGTGGTGGTGGTGACGGGAATATAAAGGAGGAGAGGGGGGCGTGATGTTTTTGGATGGGTCATTAGGTGGTCGTGTCTCGTGCCACGGTTGATTGTTCTACCTCCAACCAATAATTCCTCACGTGAGCTTACCACGCTTCATATGGGATATCTTTGTTCCATTATCAACATCAAAAACGACTGCGAGATTGATGATGATGGCTGATACCACGATGATTGAGAAAGAAAGAATGCATGATAGTAATAGTAGAATGACTACTGATGACGAGGATGATGGGTAGGTAGGTTGTTGTTGTTATTGGTTGGTCGTATTATAGGAATATTCATGCATCGAACCTGTGATATGGACGAACCATGTGGTACATGGGTGGGACGAAACCAGGGAAGAAGCAGCAGCAGCAGCAGCTCAAGAGCGTTTATCAAGTTTCAAGAGACATTTGATAATGGGGAGTTAGATCGGGATGAGTAATACGACGCCCAAATAAGGTGCTCTGATCGTGGTTGTTTTCACACGTTGGGTAGGCACTATGTGCTACTACGGTAACATGTTGACAGCGCAGCGAATGGGGTGGAGGCATTCATATGATAATCATGTAATAAACCCGTTTGACTCGAGTATACAAAAGCAAACCCAACGACTCTTTATCCTTTCCTTTCTATTATAACAAACAATCTTTTTTTCGTCCAAGTTTCAAAAACAGACAACATGGCCAACAACAACACCTCCTCGCAACGTCTCGGTCAGATCTCGGCTCACTTGGACAATTCCAAAATGTCGGGTAAAGAAAGACACCATGACCAACCCAAAGTACACACAACCAAAACAGCCTATTGAGACGCGATTGCAATAGTGTTCCAAAATGTGCCCCAAGCACCTGCCGATGTGATCTTTAGCTTGACGGCTGGTTACAAGGCTGACACCCACCCACAAAAGATCAATGTTGGCGTTGGTGCATTCCGTACCGATGAGCTGAAGCCCTATGTCCTTCCTGTTGTGAAAAAGGTATAGTCTACTAGTAGTAGTAGTAGTGGGGGTGGTATTGTGTTCAAGGGCTCAATAGTGTGGTTGGTTGGCATGGCAATTTTGTAGGCAGATGCTATCTTATTCAATGATCCCAACCTCGACCATGAATACCTTCCTATTGCAGGCACACCCTCTTACACTCAAGCTGCAAGCAAGTTGATCCTTGGTGAAAACAGCCCTGCTATCCAACAAGGCCGTGTGGGTGGTGTGCAAACCATCTCTGGTACGGGTGCTAATCATACGGGTGCTGCTTTCCTCTCTCAATACTACACCAAGAGTCGCAAGGTCTACATCTCCAAACCTACTTGGGGTAAGAGCGTGTGTTGTCATGGGAATGAATGAATAGGGTTGTTAATGCATTGTATTAAATAGCCAATCATCGTGCTATCTTTGGAGGGGTTGGTTTTCAAGTTGAAGAATATCCTTACTGGGACCCAGAGACTCGAGGCTTGAACTATCAAGGCATGCTTCAATGTATGCGTGATGCACCCAATGGCAGTATCTTTTTGATTCATGCATGTGCACACAATCCCACGGGTGTCGATCCTACTCCTGAGCAGTGGAAGGGTATTGCAGAGGTCATGAAGGCCAAGGATCATTTCCCATTCTTTGATTGTGCTTATCAAGGATTTGCATCGGGTGACTTGGATCGTGATGCGTGGGCTGTACGTTACTTTGTCGATCAAGGCTTTGAATTGTTCGTGGCTCAATCCTTTGCAAAGAACTTTGGTCTTTATGGTATGTGTGTGTGATTGGGAAAACATCAAGTTAGGTAAAAGAGCTAACAACGGACGCTTTCTATAGGTGAACGTGCTGGCAATTTGACCGTGGTGAGCAAATCTCCTGCCGATAAGCAACGTGTTCTTTCACAACTTGAAAAGCTTCAACGCGCTGAAATCTCAAATCCTCCTGCCTATGGTTCTCGCATTGTTGACATCGTTCTTAACGACCCAGCCCTTTACGCCGAGTGGAAAGAAAACCTTCAATACATGTCCAACCGCATCATCACAATGCGTAAGGCTCTTTATGAACGTTTGGTCGCCTTGGGTACACCTGGCACTTGGAACCATATCACCGATCAGATTGGCATGTTCTCCTTTACTGGCTTGAAAGGTAACAAAGAAATGAAATCAAAACGTATAAAAGATTCTTATACGATGGATGATGTAGCTCCCCAGGTTAAGGTGCTCAAGGAAAAATATCACATTTACATGACTGACAATGGTCGTGTTTCCATGGCTGGTCTTTCTACACGTAATATCGATTACTTTGCCAAGGCCATTGACGATGTTGTACGAAACGTCGCTGTCTAATTATAAATTCGCATCCATTATTTCATTCCATCACTCTGTTCTTCCTCATTATGCACGCATTTCACTCTCCATTAGAAATAAACTTTCATTGTGTGATAACAACAATCATGCACAGTTGGCTTTGGGCACAAAGAGGTAGCACAAACAAAAACCATACTCGGCTCATGTCCGAAAGCTTGCGGCGGATCGGATCCGATACCAGTACAGCATAGTCTTTTCCAAGATGAACACAGCATACAGTATTCTAAAATCACTTTTCATTTTTATATAAAAAAGATGAGAATGGGGGGGGGTGAGAGGGGGTAACTTGAAATTGCTCCAGACCGGGTGCGAGGGGGAATACAAAATGAATGATTATGCTTGTTCACGCTTCCATTCGACGTACTCGTCAAATAATACAGGCCCTACAACAATCATCGCCCATCAATCACTATCATGCAAGTAATCACGTCCTGTTATCTTCTTACATGCGGATGTTTCATCATAGTCGGATAGATCAGGCGACACGGTTGCTGCGAATTCTAAAAAGCTCTGCCATTGATCACGATTGACCACCCGGACTGGACATTTTTCCTATCGCATCCCCGGAAAGAAAAAAAGAAGGTTAAACTACATCCGTGATGATGGTCCACCCACAAATTACCTGTAGGAATGTAAGGAAATCTTGAACGATTGGAAACTTGGGGCCTAATAGCATAGACCATAAAGCAGAGGCAACCTGTAACAGAACCATGAATACCACAAAAAGTATTCTCACCCATATACCTACCTCGACATCCATGCATTTTTGGTCCTTGTTCTTAGCATATCCAAAAGTGTAGCGATACATTTCCTTCATTTGTTCCGCATCATTCAGTGCATTTTCTAATTCAGGACGCTTGGCTTGAAGCTTCTCAATGGAGTCGGTACTATAGAAAGGGGGGAGGGGAGGACCCTGTCAGTGCCAGGGGGCCGGTTGAATCATCCACACACACATGTAAAATAACCTACCCTAGTTCCCTCATTCCATGCATCCATTCATTCTCTGTGATATAACCTAATAGATGTGGATGGGATGTTAAACGCCATTTATCTTATTCCATCAAGCTTGCCATCGTACTTACCCATTGTCTGCAAATTCATCTTCCACGCAAATGCAATCACAAGAACCTACATTCTTCCTTAGTAACCTTGAATCTCTCTCCCCTCTTGAATATCAACTTACATCCTCCACCGATAATCCTAAATCTTCAAAGAAACGTTGCATTCCTTCAGGGGAAATGGTGTTTGGCGTGTCTGGATCAGCATACTTCTTGAACAGGAGACGACATTGTTGTTCATCAAACTAGATGCGGATAAGTCGTTTGTAATGAATGCCTCGCGTTATCGTAATAGAGATAGATAGATTACCTGTGGACTTTTGTAGGTTGAATATTAACATGGATATACACATGGCTGTCAACTTACATTGGATTTGCAACAGGTTGAGTGGTAGGTTTGTTATTATGGCGTGCTGCCGCTGCTGCTGCTGTATTACTTGCTGTGGAGGAGGATCGTGGTTTAGCTCGCTTTTGTGCTGGATGGTACTGTTGCTTTTGTGCTGCTGACATGTTGCTTTGCTTTGCTCCCATGGTGATATTGTTTTCAAAAAAGGCTGGTTGGAATTTGCGCTTTAGCGACATGTAAAGTGGGATCGCCGTTGATTTAGAACACAGTGAACGCGCAGATTGCCGAGAAAGTGTTGTTGAACAAAAGTTGACAATGTGCTTACTCCAACACACCCTATGAGAATGCAAATGAGAGAGAGGGAGAGGAGAGGAGAATAAACGGGAACCGCCGAACAAGCAAGTCCGGGCCGAAGTTGTACACGCGACACAACGGGGGCCGGCGGCGGAGAACACACATGTTGTTGTATGTATGCACCATTAGGATTGTTGATTGGTCCGATCCCTTTGTTCACAACAGATTCGTACCCAGGAATAAGGCCATAGAGATCCACACACATGACACTGCATGATGCTAAGGGGGGCATATTATATGCTATTTATTACACCATACACAGCCATTGCGTAAGCTTACGAGATGCCACCCACAGTGACACGATCTCCACACACATCTTATTTACAAACATACACATTACATACATACATACATAGACATTGCATACAACATCATCATCATCATCCTTAACGGTCACGACCGAATCAACACAAGGTGAACCACGATCCTATATCAGATGCAATAAATGGGACACGAGACGAGGCTGATCCGGTGGGGTATTCAAGGTAATCAGACACCAATGATATCATTCATGTCCCTGAATCGCCCAAAGAGGTAAATCCTGTATCTTTTTAGCCCTCTCCCCCCCCCCCAGATAGCTGTGCTAGAGCGATAGAAAATTGCCGCTGTCTCCCGACGACTATAAAAGCCGGTATGCATCACCCCGCATATCTTTTATTTTCTTTTTCTTCATCGCTGTCACCACCAACCAACCACCCACTACAGCCCACCGCCCATGACTCAATGCATTCCCTCCGAAAACTATATACATTGGATACACGTATGTCCATATTATCCTCCTCCCTTTAAAGAATTCAAGCCATAACATACGTATCCTACTAGTTCATCTTTGGGGATTGTGTATATAGCACACAAGAAGCCATCAGTGTTCTCCTTGGCTATGCTTCCATCTTTTGTTGGTTAAATGCCCAGATACCGTAAGTCGATGACGTGAATATACGTATACAACATGTAAACTCATTTATGTTTGTTATAGCCAAGTAATTGAAAACTACAAAGTGGGTTCAGCAGAATCCCTCAGTATCAATTTCTTATCAATATGGCTTGCAGGCAGGTGACATTTCGAGACGAGGGTGTGGGTGTGGGTGGGGGGATTATGATGTCGTTGAAGAAGAATATGCCAAGCTTATACTTTCTCAAATAGGCGATGCAGCTAATCTAATCGGATGTATTTTGACTGGTCAGCTGCCATTTCAGCGCTATCTTGGAATCTATTTCGTATCAATCGACATTTGCCTTCTTTGCCAGTGGATCTATTACAACTCCCGCGATAAACGTAGACGCAACAACAAACATCGCCTCTCCACAAACAAACAACCACCGCACACAGACCCATTATCCAAAGTGTTTCAGCATCCATCGGTTCGCACACCTCTTTTGATTGAAGGTCAACAGCAAGCTCCACTCAAGACGCTGGATGATGAGCTGGCACCTTATTCAGCGTCTTCTTCACCTAGCAAATGGTACACGCTTAATAACACCGATAACAAGACCACCAAAAAGACTGTATTGATGGCACTGTTTCTTTTTGGTACTCGATTACCAGCCGCTTCATTGGTATCAGCATCATCCCAACAAGAAGATTGGTACACTGTCGTCGCTGACAACTCTTTGATTATTGGTCGTTTCTTTGCATGGATTTGTACAGCACTCTATCTTCTCTCTCGTATTCCCCAAATCGTTAAAAACTACCGTCGTCGTTCCATTGACGGTTTATCACCCGCTTTATTCGCCTTTGCTGCCAGTGGCAACTTGACATACACATCCAGCATCCTCCTCAACCCAAACAACACACGTGAATCGCTCCTGGAAGCAGTACCTTATTTGATCGGTAGTGCAGGTACTTTGACATTTGATTTCACCATCTTTTGTCAATTTTTGTACTACTGGCGTCAAAAACGGAAGCAACAAGAACGTCATCATCAACAGGATCATCATGTTGTTGCGTAAACAGGTCGCGCACGCGCGCATCTCTTATCATACCCCCCATCACACACACCACACACTTGTAACACCATCATCCTCATTATTCGCACTACAACCACCACCACCATAACAACAACAACCTTGTTAGCCACAAACACACTTTTTTTTTCCTCCTCATCATCCGGCAATGGGGCCCTATTGCCGACGATGATTGCTGTGTACATAGATACTCTTACTCTTACAACATGCCAACCCCCCCTTATTGCAATACCAATCCTGCTTGATTTAGCATGTCATTCTTTGAATTGGATGAAATTTCCTTTTTGTGTGTGTTTGTGTGGCAATGCATCATGGAAAGTGTGGCTTCTCGGACGTGGATTTTCTCAGGGTATACAAATCGTAGTTTATTCCTTCCTTTCAAGTGCCATAGAATACATCATGAGTCACCGTGACGATTAAATTGACTCAGCTTGTACATACAACTCTGTACAAACGACTTGAAAACCTACCCATTGAACATGATGACCATAGTTCTAAGATGAGACACATGCAATTTTTTTTTGCACCAATGGTGCACCTTGCATTACCCGTGAACATTGTTAGCTTCCCACGCACCACGTGGATAAAAGTACTTGATTCGTTCAAGCAGCATTAACCTCTTGCCATGGGTGTTCCTAGGATGCGTCATGGAAAATCAAACATGTTTCTCATCCATAAACGCTCATCAAATGGGGACCAGCAATTGGTAAGGTACCGATCCATAAAAGTTTTTCTTTGTGTAGGTGTATACATACGCCTGGTGGCATGCCATGCACTAACCGTTTATGCATACATCCGTCGGTGGATGAAACAGGCACCGGATTATCCTTCTTCCATTCACCTTTCAACCAACACCCCCCACCACACAACACGCTCTCTCTCTCCTGGGCATCCAATAACATGGCGTCTTTGGAAGCAGCGTTATCAAGGACATGGCGACGCATTGTCGAGGGCTCGATCGCCTAATTCACCAGCTACATTGCATGGCCATGTCACAAGAACCAATGCGGCGACACGTCGTCATTTGCCTAGGGTGCTTTTGCTCTTCCAGATCTCGAGAACGTTTATTCAAGGATACGTGTACTAGCGAGTTGTATGAATAGGTATGTTCTTAACGTATGGCTTGGCTATCTCGTTTGACACATTCTGTTGTAACTTCTAGGCCTCTTTGTACTACATGATGATCCACCTCTACGCTAATGGCGACGTGCTTTTCGGTAAGGCAATGGAAAAATAGGCTGTGGTATCAGAAAACTTAGGGGATATCTATTTCAACATGTAGTGTATGCTTTGAACAAGATCGATACATGCCTTGGAGTATGGTAAGTGGATTGGGGCATATGATCCAAATGAACTTGGGATTGAGAAGGGGCTTTGTTGGTAAGCTATTCTGGTAATGTTGTCAAAGGGGAGGATGAACATGGACCCTACAAGGATGTGTCTTTAACGAGGGGTTATGTATCATGGATAGGAATCAGGAACCCAGTTGTGTGCAGCGAAAAATGTCAACAGGCCAATGGCGATTGGATCAACCCTCATATCAACCATTATTGAGTGCGTACAACCCAAGGATACCTATGAAAGGCATTCTATCTTAGCCAAGGATGATGAGATTCGCCAGCTCAGGGCCGCCGCTATAGACTCACGAGTTGCGAATACAAGGTCCCTGTTACCACAAGCGAAGCAATAAAGATAGGATTGGTTATTCCCATTTGATTGATGTTATTGTATTCCTGCACCTTGCACAAAAGAACGTACGAATAAACATAATCGAAATGCCGAGTTTTATGTATAAAGATATGACAAAGGGACAAGGGTGTCGCCTCTGCATGAATTCAATTATGCAAAAAATGGAAACGAGATAGATGTCACACAGGATAAAGGGTATTTACAATGATGGGTTATGCCACATAAGCCTTTGCTACAAAGGGTAATTCGCTACTTGAAGGAGATCGGCTGATGGAATAAGCTCGGAGCCGGATGCGTCAAAGCTTCCTCGTCGGAAATTGACGCCCTGTTTTTTAAAACCGCCAGGGCACAGACACCAACACACACACACAAAGACATACTTTCTTTCACTTGTATCGCCCATCCTTTACGTGCACACACACACACACACACGCAACATGTCATTTGTCAACGTTATTCGTCGAGCAGCCATTCAAAGTGCTTCACGTTCCCGTTTATACACCACCACCCCTCCTACTCCTCCTACTACTACTTCGCAACGACTCAAACAACAAGCCAAAGACAAGGCCGCTCCCAAAGTGGGCAAACTCAAGGAACTAGCACAAAAGTATGGTGCAGCAAGTGTCTTGGTCTATCTTGGTATCGGCATGGTCGATTTGGGTATTGCATTTGCCGGGATCCAGTGGGTGGGTCAAGATCAGGTCAAGCGATTGGAAGACGATGTTATGAAAACAGTCAACAAGTGGATGAACCGAACGCCCGCGCAAGAACCACAGCAGCCTGAGGAGGATAGCAACAAACAATTAGAAACCAAGGAACAACCATCATTGGCTTCAGTATTCTTGTTGGCCTATGGTATTCACAAAACCTTGTTTTTGCCATTGAGAGTAACTGTCACTGCAGCTGTCACCCCAGCCTTTGTACGCAAGATCCATCAACTTGGTTGGCATAGATACGCTCCTCGTCTCTTTGGTGGTAATGGTGCAGCAGCAGCAACAGCTTCCAAAAAGCCTTAAATCATAACCTCATTCACTTTTGCATCTTTTCATATTACACACACATACACACACCCTATCTCTCACACACACTTTCAAGTACATTATTACACTCCATACCACCATCATTTATATAAATTTACGACTATTGTCCAGATAATTATACTGCTATATTGCGCCTGCGCAGGACAGCTGACTCTTTTTGTTTTTGTGTGGCACGTTCTTGTTCCATAGCTTGTGCAAGTGTATGACGCCATATCTTGCCTTGCCCATTCGATAACCGTAAAAGAAGATCCATCGCCTGGCCTTTGGTCAACTTCTTTTTTGGCTGTACATTGAACCTTTTAGATAAGTACTCCAATTGTGCTTTGGTCGCTGGTTTGAAACGATATGCGGCATTACGCTTGGCTCGATGGAGGAGATGCTTGTGCTTGCGATATTCATGATTGAGCCAGGTATCTGCAGCTTGGATGGCTGATGTTCGCGTATCACACGCCAAGGGTATAGATCGAGCTCGACAATGCACAGCCTTTTTCTGTTCCTCTGATTCTCGTTGGATTTTCCTGGTACGTTGCATTTTCCCTCGCCAAATCCCTGTGACATCCTTTGTCAATAGGTCTCCTCTTCCTCCAACATCATCATTCACTATTACTTACCATCCTTAGGATCCCGTTTCAATATCACCGTGCCAAGATCAAGAATATGTAACGCACACGTATCCTCACCCACTGTGACCCAGCTGTTGACTGAAATGTCTCGTAGCTCTGGTGATAGTGAAGCCTCGGTGATAAATTCATTCAGGTCATCGTATTCGGTAATCTTGAGTCGAATAGCATCCATGTCAATGCCTACGTACGCATAGTAGTTTCAGTATCATGATACACGAACACGCCAAATATGCTTGCCTGGGTTTGGATCCTCTTGTACTTTTACTTGTTCTTGCTCTTGTTCTTCAGCTCGTTGTTCCATAATCAATAAACTCTCATCTATAAGATCCGGTTACTTTTACATATCCACGACAAAAAAGGGAGACAACAACCTACCTTGAACGACTTGCCGTGGATCAAGACCCATCAAGCTAGGAAACGTCACCAAACCTGCACGACCGGCTCGTTCGAAATTATCCACAAAATCAATCACAGTGCAATCTTCTTTTCCAGGATAGAGACGCATGCCACGGCCAAACATTTGTTGAAAGAGGACACTTGAGCGAGTAGGTCGAGCCATCAATATGCAGTCGATACGAGGAATATCGGTTCCTTCTGTCAGGATACCTATAAGGCCCTACTTGCATTAGTTTTATGGCTATGCCATGAGGTAAGTAAAACATACCGCAGTTGACAAGTACAGGAAAATCACCGTTTCGATAGCGTGCAAGAATATCAGCACGTTGGGTAGTAGATGTTTTGCTGGTGATGTATTCGGCATCGATCCCATGTTCACGAAAGACATTGCATAATGCGAGTGTGTGATTGATATCCACGGCAAACACCAGAGTGGATGATCGAGTATCGCTTGCGTATTTCTTCCAACTCTCGAAAATGATCTTGTTACGATGCTCCGTATTGACGACACGAGCGAGCTCGGATTGCACAAAGTCATCATTGCGTATGGATACATTGTTCAAATCAATACTTGTTTGCACTGTGGTGACCTTGAGAGGACAAAGCCTGTATGTAAAAGGGTGTGTCAATCATTTATCCACAAGGCTCCTATTTAGCATATACACACACACAACTTACCATCCTGATTCAATCATTTGCAAAAGATCCATATGATAAGAGACATCGTCAAACACGCCATCCAATGCCAGACCATCATGTCGTCTCACAGTCGCTGAGCAACCCCAAACAAAGATATGGGAATCGGGATCGGATGCACCAAAATGATCGAGGATCCTTAAATAGGTCTTGGCTGCTGCATGATGAGCCTAGAATAGGAGGAGGATTAGTAAAGTGCATCATCATACTTACAAATCCACTTGCCTCATCAATCACGATCGTTTTGAATTGAGCAGGGTCATATCTTTCCAAACGACAAGAACCATCTCTTCCAAGGGTTTGTACGGATGCAACCACGACATTGGCTTGATCAATATCCGGCTTTCGTTTGCCTTGCTCGATCACCACATTCTAAATAGCAAGCGATCAGTATGGATGTTGTCAATGCTATGGCTCCCCCTTGTCCCTTACCCATGATGGATGAAATCGCATGATTTGATTGCTAGCTTGCTCCAAAAGTTCAGTACGATGAGCCAATATCAAAGTCTTGGTTGCCAGGCGTGTTGGATTAGGCACTTGCTCGATAAGATTGGCCATCACCACCTATATCACTTTTCTATCAACCACCACCACCATTCAATGTCATTTTCAATGGATCATTACCGTTTTGCCACTTCCTAATGAGCCACTTGTTAAAAGAAAAGGTTGAATGACATCCGAGGTAGAACTCACCTACAGGCAAAGACACCACTTGTTTACGAGCGCCCTGTGCCAAGGAATCCAAACAGATCTGGACGCATTCACGTTGGTAATCACGCATGGTGGGTATAACGGGTGTCGTTGATGGTCGTGGTGCTGTTGCAGCCTTGCTGACAAAGGCGCGTCGTATAATGAGATTGCCGAAATGTCGCATGTGACAAGAGGAGCTGAAGAAACAACAAGTTTGACACGCAACAACCCGTAAATCAAATGCCGTTTAGGGTCGCACGAAAACACAGCATGGCGGCATGACATCAATGCGAATAATCCTGTACATTTGGACATTAGTCAACCCACAAAACACTTTGACATAGAAGAAGTTGCTTTTTAATGGTCTTTAGATGGATGTGTACATTGGAATTGATATTTTATGCATCACTATTATTGGGATGGATCATTGGGCTTGTTGATTGTTGCTGTTGTTGCTGTGAAGAGGAGGAGGGGGTTGGTGTTGATGAGGATGATGCTGCCTGTTGTTGTTGTTGTTGTTCGGAAGAAGATGAAGATGATGAAACTACGCCCATGGGTGTCGATGTTGCTGCTGGTGCTTGATGTATAACAGGATGATGTGTTACTGATGGTGTTGCAGCATACAAGCGTTTAGGGTCGTATTTCGTTTGTAATGTTTGTAAAAGAGTCTGATTCTCGGGGCGTTGGAATTCACGCATGAATTCGGTCCATTCACCGGTATTGAAGTTGTGGAGCAATTTGCGACCAGACACTTGCTTGCTGAGAAGTAGAAAGCCACGACCCAAGATACCACATACTTGGAAAATGCGTTCACCAATTGTCAATCGTCGACGAATCGCTTCCCAATTGGTATTGACAAGCACCTTTTCAATATCAGCACGGCATTGGACCATGACAGGGCGGGGATCATTGTTGTTGGTATCTTCTTGTTGTCGTTTTCGTTCCGCTTCCAGATCACGGTAGGCAAGGAAAAGTTGAAAATATTCATAGTTGAAATAAACACCAGCGTTCTTGGGCGCAAAGTCGCAATCATAATGAGCGGGCAGATTCGCAAAAGTGGCAAATCGATGCAAGGGGGACATCTGTGCGTACTTTGTGTTTTGCTCTTGCTCCTGGATAATCATCTTGACATCATCCTCCACCATATTGGCTTGGTGAAAAAGATCGGCCTCGGACACTTTGAGTAAATCTTGTATAATCTCGTTTCCTACATAATAAAAAAAAGTGAATACTATGATCCTATATATTATACATGTACATAGATACATACGTCGAACACTGTACTCCTTATCTCGTGGACTCGCTTTTTTAGCACGTTTCACTGGTTCCTTATCACCATGTCCTTTTCGTTTCACGCCGCTGCTGTTTTCGGCTGTTGTAGCCGGTGATGATACCGAGGCTAATGCCGCTTGAAGCAATTGATGCGGTGATCCTTCTGCACCGGCAGCAGCAGCAGCAGCCGCAGCAGCAGCAGCAGCGGCTGAAAAGAGATTTGATTCAACTGTAGAAGGATGATGTGGATGATGAGGAAACGTAAATGAATCGTTGCTGTGGGATGGTGTGGGTGGTGCTGCTGCTGCTGCTGCTGCTGAAAACATGTCTTGTTGTGTGCCACCAACATTAACTGCATACACTTGTTGCTCTTGTCGAAACATGACTTTGGGCATATGGGGCAGCTTGAGGAATGTGACATTGTCCCCTAGAGCGTGACACAAGGCAAAGAACATGGCTGCTGTTTGCATTGGTGATCGTTGTGTTTTGATATCCTTGACGCATTGATAGAATCGAAGAATACGATCATCACTGAGAATGTCTGCAAGCGTAGGTGATAAAAAAATACAATCATCGTGGTTCACTCCACCACCACCACCACCGCCACCACCAGCATTGTTTGTTGTAGTAGTAGTTGTAGCAGGAGCAGCTGTTCTACCAGTGGTGGTGTTGTTGGTGCTACTGCTAGCTGGGTTGTTTGTGGCAGGTTGCATCCGAAAAGTGTCCTGGTGAGGAGAAGCGTTTGGTTCCATTCGTTTGTTGTTCGTTTTCTTTTGAGGATAGAAAAAAAAAAGAGAGAGAGAGGAAAAAAGTGTATAGTGCTTGCAGGGTTCCCCGAGATCAAAGCACGTTGATGAAAGGGATTAGCAATGAGTCGGCAAGCAGTGTGCGGTAAGAGTTCGAGCCGTACGAAAAGAAATAGTCCGGCGAAAGAGAGGTGTTTACCGACAACCAGTGCTGATACAGTATTTTCCCCGAGTTTTTCACGCTGGGTGACGTCGGCCCGGCACATGGCCATTGGCCATCCCATTCATTATCTTAACTCCGCACACACACCTATCACATCATCTTTTCTCTTAATCCCTCTTTATTTCAACAAATTGGCACGCGATGATCAATAATCTCCCTATGGGTGGATGGATGGCGTCAATGATCTTGTTTATCAGGATAAATGTACACCTACCAATCACCTTCCGCTACGTCTTTTAAGAATTCATATCGAGCACATACACGAGCAAGCGATTCCATGGTCGTTTCCAAAGACGTAACGTTTTCATTTTCGCATACAACCCACAATTGTTCAGAGATATGAGATCGTAGCTTGACACATTCTTCATATGCATCCTGAAAACACAACAATCACGGTGGTGTGTGGGCATCCTCTTTTTTCCCATTTAGAATTCTCGACGTTTATTTACCTTGGCTGTTTCATTGGTTGCAATGTTTTGTGGGTCAAGCATTTTGAGTAATTCGGCTAGAAAGCTTCCTTGTTGCGTGGCTCGATTGACAAGTTCTTCTACACCCAAAGTGGATATCAAAGGAGACTACATGATGTGTCAGCCGACGACCCTCTTTTGCCAACCATGATACCATACCTCAGCAGACAAGGTAAAACCAGCGACTTGATGGGTGGTCATGGTATAGATGACGATGAAGATGATGATACAAAGAATGGAAAAAAAAAAGAAAAGAAGGGTCAAGAAGTAATATCACCCAGGGTGTTGTGTGCTCTTTATATGAAGTAGAGATTTTCACATGATAACAAAAGATTGCTCTTTTCCTATTGTTTGCAGTGTGCATGCCTTATTGTGTTACCATGATGGAATGCGGGGAGTTGAGCGGATGCGAACGATTAATGAAATCGTGTTCCTCCTTGGTCGGAAAAGCATTTCATTCTACTATCCACAAACCATGGCTCCTGGATACCGAAAAGAGACAAAGAGGTACCCCCCTTCTTACATTCCATAGTGAAAAAAAAAAGATGTAAAATCACCGTGAGTAAAATCACCATGTGAGCAATGTACACCATCCATCCAACCATCGCTGAACACCACCGCCGGCAGAGTTTATTATATGCACTTGTACAACTTTTATCATGTCAGCTATGTACCAGCAAAGGCACACACACCATATGCACTAAAAACATGGTGTGATGAAAATAGTCACAATGACGAAAAGGTTGATGTGCTGGCTGGTGCAGTAAGGAAGAAGAATGGTATTTCGCTACTACTATGAGCACGAATTTCCGTTTATCGCTTTGCTGCAGCGAGCCAACATGCTACTATTGACAACATGGTGTGGTCATTTGGCTGTAACGAGCCCGCATCAAGGATATGGATTTGGCAATAACACGTGGGATGTGCTGTGCAAATAAAGATGTGTTTGGCTCGGCTTCCTTCCGACCTTAAGAACCAATGTCGCTTATAAAGAACGTTCTTGCCCTTATTGAAGGTAAACAAAGAGAGTATGTATATATGTATATCAAGAAGAGAGAAATGTTATCTGTATATTACAAAGAAGGAAGTAAGATTGGGGGAAAGAGAACAATGGTACGACTTTTTTTTGGTAAAGGGGGGAGGGAGGGAGGGAGGAGAGAGAGAAAGGATATATGTACAATGAAAAGTTTTTTTTGTGCAAGTGCTATATATGCATGTAAGGAATCATCAAAGAATGGGTTTCCAGAAGGGGCCGGTATCAAAGGAGAATTCGAGTAGGTCTTGTGTGCATAGAGACGAAGGCAAAGCGTCTGTAGTGATGGTAGTCGGGGAGATGGTGGTGGGGCCATGGATCCTGTAACACACAAATGTGAGTAAGTACTATGGAAATGGAGCAACATCTTTAACAAAACAAAGACGTACGAGCTTTCACATAAAAAGACATCCGAGGCATGAGGTGCAAAATAATCCATTCGAGATGCACCACCACCCTCTTGAGATTGTACGTAATACTCTGGTGTACTTGCTTCACTATGGGTACCAACATCCGTATCATTGTCATCATCGTTGTCGTTGTCACAGCAACGCATGCTTTTTTGGTCTTGATGTCCCTCTTCCTCTTCATCACTGGTCATTTCCATATCCATTGCAGCAGCCATACGTTCACTTTCTCTACGAGCAGCATAGCGCCAAGTGATACTTGAACTCACTCGACCACGACGATCCAGGGCGTTGTCATTGGAGACGAAGCATTGGGGACATGCAAAGTTTTCTTGATGGGCAAACTCATCCGTCATTTTCAGGCATTCCAAGTGCAACCAGCGATGGCAATCGTCACATTGGACCATGGCGCCAAAACCTTCGTTGGGTGTATCACAAATACACTTGATCATGCGGGTTGGTTCCGCCGCTGCTGTTGCTGAAGCAGAAGAAGATGGGACGGCATTTGGTTTTTGCTTTTGACGGCTACTACGTCGACGACGACGATGTTGTTGCTTTGGTGGTACTGTTGTTGTGGTGGTGTGAGAAGAGGAGGAGCAAGATGACGCCTTATTTTGTCCTATAGTTAGATGTACTTTGGGGTCAGCAGGGACATACACATACACATAGGAATCAAAATAAAACATTATATACCTTCAATCACTGAAGTCATCTTCGATTGACCATGAACATAGCTTTCAATTAAACGTGCTCCAGGATGTATATGATGGTTCTCATTTGGAATACCAATCACGATTTTTCGTTCGCCACAGCCATCGTTGTTGTCGTCGTGCTGAATGTCAATAGAAGCCTCTTGTGCGACAAACATGAGGTATTGCTTCAAGAGATCCAGATTGTGTAATCGCCGATGGCTTGCAGCAGGAGCACCCACATCATCACTAACAAGGTCAGGTGGTGTTGTTGTCGATAAAGATGACGTCCTTAATGGTCCTTTACTATCACCACCGCCTGTTGCTGTTCCTAAATGTTCAGAGGAAGAGGGTGATGATGATACCTTGTCAAGGGCATTTGACAGCTGGCGTTTGAGTTGGTCAGCAAGAAAATGCACTTGTGGGTCATCATCAGAGACAATGGCATCATTGTGAGAAAAGGGTGTTGCCACTGAAGAGGAAGGGGAGGAGATGGACGAGGGTGGTGACAAAGGAGGACATGATGATGATGATGACAAGGGTCGCTTGAGAGCAATCTCATAAAATTTCTGTTGCTGCTGCTCCTGATGCTGCTGCTGTTGCTGCTGTTGCTTGGTAACCTTGGATACCCTGTGAGGAGAAGAAGACTTTTTGATCCGTGTCAACTTGCTGTTGTTGATGATGTCAAAAGTCAGTCAACGCTGGGTTGATTACAGTGTATTGCGCTGCCGTGTCTTTTTTACCGTGAGCTGGATCTCTTCATACTTCTTGGAATGATGCAACAAAAAAAAGAAGGAAAAACGATGCAAAGCCGTTTATGTGAAAGAAAGAAAAAAAGATCTCCATCATGAAGGGACATTTTATAATTTATATGTAGGACACTAGCTTGCCATACATACCCACACATATGTCCTCAAAGTTTATAACTAAAATGGTAATCTGTGTCTTCCTTTGAGCAATAATATTTGATGTAAATATTCACACTGGAAAGCAGGTGCATCTTCTCCCATATCATACTAAACGCATAACTTACATGCAGCTACAAAGAGAGAGTAACGGTCCCAAACGTTTGTTGTGGTTGTGCAGACACACACACTCTCTCTCGCACGATAGTAGACATACACTTGCACAAGGTCGATTGCGTTAGTTGGCGTGACTACTCGTCGTTCGGTTCATGCCGCTGTAGGATACTTGGCGCGATGTTCTTTTACAGAAACGATCGAACGTTATTATGGCCACATTGTGTACAATGTAGCTGTGACTCGCCATCATCGACAGTATAGGAGAAGTCCAAAAGCCTTTTCCATCCATGGTGTGTGTGTGTGTGATTATAGTTAGATTAAGCAAGTGCAGCAAAGATCCCAGCAACAGAGAGAGTATTCGTCTCCTGATGTCACTCTATAGTAATATAACGTATTCTCCAGGCTCTTCTTATCATCCATCAAAACAGACGTGCATGGCACTTGGCCCCCCTTCACGGGTCAAATTCAATTTTCAGTTGGAACAAAAATGGTGAGTGTGCCGCATCCATATGTGTTTCACCGCCTGTGTTACAATGCAGACATGCATCATTGATATGTTGCCGATTGTTTTGTAACGTCTTTTTACTCACTCGTATGTCTTTTCGTGAGTAGGAAATGGTAAATGCTTTGAGCATGGCTGAAAACAATAAGCACTCATCTTCATGATCGCCATGGATATAAGGTCTTTTCACATGCATGCGTCTAAAAGTATAATAGCCCTATTCGGAAGCATCAACCGATGTGTCACTAAGCGCACCATTGGTCCGGATGTCCACATTCGACGATACACACCACCATGTCATAATGTGTAGCAGTAGTAGTAATGAGCAAAGGCTTACAAGGTTGGATAAAAAAAAAGATAGCGTGTGCGTGCATCATCAGCGATCTACCCTTTCTGTACCCCCTTTCTTTCTTTCATTCTTTCTCTCATCCACCCTCTCAACGATTCTTCCTCTGCTGAGCTAAGGTTGTCCCCGCCCAATGACATTTCAGTAAACAGGCGACACAATTACTTCCTGCTTTACACTCCACACTCATTTCTTATACATAACATGTCGGTCGAAATTGAAGCTGAAGAGTAAGTGCGATTGGGTTTTATTCTCTTGAAAAAGGAGCAATGGTCGAATTGAACGCATCGGGTATTGTTTTCTAGTGTCATTCGCCTTATCCTTCAGTTCTTCAAAGAAAACAACTTGGATCGATCGCTGGCGACGCTTTCCGAGGAGACCATGGTGAACTTGAACACGATCGACAATCGCAGCGCATTTGTCAAGGACATTACCGAAGGGAAATGGGATACAGTGCTCAAGGATATTGTACACCTTAATATCGCACCACGAAAGCTGATCGATCTGTACGAGCAGGTATAATCCTTGTACGCGTTTCATCATTCATTTGCTCTATTTCTTATCGAAGCTATATCAGGTCGTGATTGAACTATGCGAGATGCGAGAACTTGGTGCTGCAAGGACCCTTTTACGCCAAACCGAGCCCATGCACATTATGAAACAACGTCATCCAGAACGCTATCTTCGACTTGAGCATTTATTGTCACGCACTGTTTTCGATGCAAAGGATGTTTATACAGAAGGAATGACCAAAGAAAAACGCAGGAAAATGATTGCACAAGGTATATATAAGGAAGAGGGGTATCATGATCGATCACTCATATCGTACGTAGCACTTGTTGCGGAGATCACGGTGGTTCCCAGCTCACGATTATTGACCTTGTTGAGCCAGTCAGCTACATGGCAACAGCATCAAGGGCTCCTATCGCCTGATACCCCATTCAATCCTTTTGAAAGGAAATCCATCACTGAAACAAAAGAAAAGGATGCACCGGCTTTGGAAAAATATGCAACCATCAAGGTAAACAATGATACATTCACCTGCATTTCTCACAAAGACACTCACTCTCCATGTGTGTGCATATAGTTCCCAAGCAAAAAGACATATGCAGAATGTGCCACTTTCTCACCCAATGGTCAATATTTGGTAACGGGATCTGTGGATGGATTCATTGAAGTATGGAACTATCGTACGGGCAAGCTACGCAAGGATTTGATATACCAAAATGACGTAGGTTTGGGATATTTGGAGGATGGATGGATGGATGGATGGGAACAATGACACTCACAAAAGAACACCTCAATAGGAGAATCTTATGGCTATGGATGAATCGGTCATTTGCTTGTCCTTTAGCCGAGATAGTGAGCAACTCGTATCTGGATCTACGGATGGCAAAATTGCGGTAGGTACTCCCATGGCAATCCGAACTTGGGCATGTATGTGACTAATTTGGCCCTTCCTATAGATATGGAGAATTCAAAATGGTACCTGTCAACGCAAGATTTCACCAGCTCATAGCCAAGGCGTAACCGCTGTGTGCTTCAACAAAGACAACACGTGCGTATTGAGTGGGAGCTATGATCGATTGGTCAAATTACATGATATCCGCAATGGCAAGCTTCTTACCGAGTTCAAAGGCCATACATCCTTTGTCAATGACGTTCTCTTCTCCACCGACAACACCAAAGTCATCAGTGGTAGCAGTGATGGATCTATAAAGGTAAGCTATCAACACAAGGTATAAATGATGGTGCTGATTTTTCCTCTTTCAATGATAGATTTGGGATAGCCAAGATGCATCATGCTTATACACCATACAATCCAACGCATCCAATGCCAATCTTCCAGTACACAGGATTTTGAACATACCCAAGCACCCCGATCAGTTGGCTGTATGCTACAAGAGTGCTAGTATCCAACGTGTCGCAATGAATGGTCGCATTATCAAGTCATACAAGCATAGCAACTCGACATCCGATTTGGTATCAATAGCAATGTCACCCCAAGGCGAACTTGTTTATGGTATATCAGAAGATTCAAGGATGGCCTGCTTCAGTATGGATTCGGGTGAGCTAGCTGGTGATGATGCTAAGGTTAGCGACAATACGGAATTGATCGGCATCGCAAGTCATCCTTTCTCCAACATTATCGCTGTATATGATGATAGTGGTCATGTCTATTTGTATTCAGCAAAACATTAAGGATGTGGTATATAAAAAAGTGTTGTATTTTTGTTTCTACATACGATAAGGGTGGGGGGTGTGGATGGATGGATTGTCTAGACAAAAAAGAGTGTGGGGGAAGGGATTCTTCTATGCGTGAAGGAGAGGTTTTGCTTCAGCTCTTGCCGCATCGACCCGTTCTAGAAAAGCTTGTAACAAACGAACACCTTCGCGTCGACGTTGCCTTGCAGTTTGAAATTCAGGGGAGCATTCCACACCATCCAGAGTAATAAGTGCTTGCATCAACTTTTCAGAAAGGAAGACAGCCTTTTCATACAAGATCTTTTTATCGGCAGCGGACAATGGTTCCTCCTGATTCTTTTTTTCTTGAACCAATGTATTGAATGCTTTGATGTCAGCGTCCATGTTTGCCTTGATAGGATCCAGTAACTTGACAATGCGCTGTATTAAGGCATACTCCTCTGGATTACCAGATGCTGTTTCTTGTGCTGCTGCTTGTTTCTATATCATCATCCAAAAAAGAGTCATTACTTTTTCCCCTCGTCCTCCATCCAACACACACACACACACATGAACCTACATTGACTTTCTCACCCGTGAGAATAACGGTGGATCCACCTTGAATACCGCAACTAGCCAGCGAGGCAGTATCATCCTTGAGATTAGCTATAGAGCATCGTTGAGCTTACTTCGTTTTGTGCGTTGAATAATAAAAGCAACACTTGCCTCCAGAGACTGTGAGTTTCATACTGGCAACAGGGACGCCCGTGAGTTGTTTGCACTGAAGCTTGAGATCTTTCAAAGTGACATGATCGAGATTTTGACGTTTGAAGGAGACATCGTAGTGTTGTTTTCCCCAAGAAAGCGTAATGGTGTTCTGGAGCTCCTTCTTTGATGGTTTTCGCCATCCAAAAAAGGATGCCAATGTTGCCATGAAGGCTCTCCAGAGAAAAAGAAAAAGAAAGCCTTGAGCGAGTATGGTGGACAGGTACAAGAGACGAGGCGTCAGCGGTATAACTTGCTGGCCCCTCTGCCTGAGCTCATATAGAATGAACCAATTCAGTCGCTGCTTTCTGCTGCCGTTTTCCCAGCATGGCCGCAACCCCTCCCTCCACGTTGATTTTACTTTTCACATCAATAAAATACAATGATGGCATTACATGGGTGGGTGGTTCTACTATAAACAAATCAATGAACTATGGGGCTATACATAGCTGAGTGATTATGTCTCTACACCCACGATGTAAAAAAGGCCTACGGCTATTAAATTTGGGTCAGCTCATTGCAATTGATTGATCCATGCTCCAATGGTAAAATAACGGCACACATGGATACATACACACCAAGTGGATAAACTTCCTGGTTAAAATGGCATGTCTCATATACGAAAACAGTGGGCTAAATTGCCAAACAACAGTATCCGCCTGTTCAAGATCGGCTAAAGTCTTGGATAGCCGACTAAACGAGGTATCCATGGATACGGCACCGCTTAAATTTGGAGACCACGGTTTTATTTTGATGGCATTCCTGTTGCCGCTGCTGCTGCAAGCCTTTGGTCTTGATGAGATGCCAATACGGAGGAATAGAGCATCATCATTGCTTTTACTTTACCAAAAGAGATGGGGTGTTCTTTGTATACGCTGAAAGACAATGTCTCAAATAAGCTTTAGAATCTTCTTGAGGAGATCGGTTTAATACATATCATGCTGCTGCCTGTTAGCATAAACGCAGGATAATCTCACACGAAGCTAATCCCTCTTTCACAACAACAAACGACGCTCTCTCTTTTATGGTTTTTATGTATGTTTATTGTTTCCTTGTAACGTGCTGCATGTTTATGTATAGAGCAATTCATTGCCAGGGTCACCCATCCCCAGTCTTTTTTGATTGAGATTAGCCATACTTTGATCCACATCCAAAATGGTTGTCTCGAGAAACAATGTTTCGGATCGTGGATAATCTTGATGGTTGTTCTTTTGGAATGTGTGCTCCGCCTAAACTTATCCGCGTTGCGTCCTGGAAGGGCAAGCAATGCTAATAAATGTCAAGGTGACACATACACCCACATAGGAGCAATCGAGTCACTCACTTTTGAAGAATTGCATTGTCATCTCTTCCCTCTCTCTCATTCACTTGTTATTACAATAGCCAACGCGTGCGTTTAGGAGCACCGACCTATTTTATTTCTCTTTCTCTCTCTTTATCCCTTTTATATATCCATCTACTACGTACTATGCTTTCTACTGATACCAGCAACAACGAGCAGCAACCTTCCTCCTCTTCTTCGTCAGCGGATGGCAACGGGAGTAATCGATCCAATGGCACCGATCAGGCACCAGAAAAGTTTACCGCACCTGCTATCACGACTGTGAGCACGACGAGTATGCTTTCACCCGACCCTATCTTGGTGACACGCTCCAGCAGTGGTGGTCATCATCGAGGCCACCATTCCCATAGCAAACGTTCCATTGGCAGTGCTGCAGAGATTCTTTCAAGTCTAAAGATTACCACGAGTGGTCATCACCACGAACACTCTACTCCCACGTCGCCTATTCCTTCCAGTACTCTCGACAGCCACGTTATTAGCGGGAATATGGATGATTTCACAATCAAGGCTCCTATTGGTAAGGTTTTGTTGGATCTATGCAATTTCAGGGCCTCATGTGGACAATCTATCCATGTAGGTTATGGATCATCGGCCGTGGTGTACAGTGCCGTTTATACCCCATTGAATCTTCGTGTTGCATTGAAAATGATTGATTTGGATAAGTTTGAAAGGAATCAGATCGATGAACTTCGGGTAAGTAAAAGGTGATGTACATTCCTTGTTGAATTCATTCATTCATTCGTCGTATGCACGTATGTAGCGAGAAACGACCTTGATGGCCTTGTCAAAGCATCCCAATGTATTACGAGTGCTCGGATCCTTTGTTCATGGATCAAAACTTTATATTGTTACACCATACCTTGCTGGAGGTAAGGAGAAAGGGGGACAAGGGACACACGAGAAAAGGATACAAAAAGAGAAATACTCTATGTATGTAGGGTCCTGCTTGGATATCATGAAGACGCAGTTTAGTGAAGGCCTCGATGAATTGAGCATTGCCACGATTCTCAAACAGGCTTTGGAGGGATTATTGTATTTGCACAAGAATGATCACATTCATCGTGATGTCAAGGCTGGAAACTTGTTGATGGATGAGCATGGAACGGTCATGTTGGCTGATTTTGGAGTCTCAAGCAGTCTTATGGACACGGGTGGTGAGAGAGGAGTACGTAAAACATTCGTTGGTACGGTAAGTAAGGAAAAAAAGACCCTGAATGACATGATGGTCGAAATTAATTAAAGAACAATTCTACCTACCTATACCGTTTAGCCGTGTTGGATGGCTCCCGAGGTCATGGAACAAGCTGGATATGACTATAAGGCAGATATCTGGAGCTTTGGTATCACAGCCATTGAATTAGCCACGGGTCATGCACCATTTGCAAAATTGCCTCCACTCAAGGTAAATCGCAATATAATAAAAGTAGGTCTGAAACGACTCATTAATCTCTCTTTATAGGTGTTGATGATGACCTTATCCAGTGATCCACCCACGCTTGTTCGTGAAACGACAAAGCACAAGTATTCGCGCGTCTTTAAGGACATGGTGGACTCTTGTCTAAATAAGGATCCTTCCAAGCGGTAAGTACTTTATGCTTCCAGTGAACTTGTTCGATTGATATTAATGCTCTGAATATATATAGACCCACTGCAGAAAAGTTATTACAGCATCCATTCTTCAAGCAAGCTAAACGACGTGATTATTTGGTCAAGACCTTATTGAGTGATCTTCCGCCACTTGAACAACGACCTCACAAAAAGATACCCCAACGCCAATTATCGATTACCAAAACCGATGAATGGGATTTTCATGATACAACAGAAGAGAAGGAGGAGGATTCGACCACCGTACCAGAAACCTCGCAACCTGCATCCCATCAACAACAACCCAAGCGGCACATTTCCTTTGGCGACGTTGTAGTACGCAACCCACCTCAACCATTTTCAACATCCACTACCAGCAATCAACAAACACAGCAAACAACAGCGGCAGCCGAGATTATTGTTCCTCAAAAGAAATCACGCTTTGTTGTGGAAGAGATATCGGAAGATGGCAGTGTTCATACGTTACCACCAGCTCCACCACCACAAGGAGAGCATTTGACATCGACGCCACCTTCCATTTCACGTGATTCAAGTTTATCAGACAATGCCATGTTACAAGTACCTACCACTACTACTACCACCACTGCCCCTGGTGATGATGATCAAGAGATCAAAAGAGGACGTTTCAGTGTCAAGCAAGGAGGCGGTGGATCTGAATACCCTACTGTGTCATCTGTTGAGTCTGCCGTATCATCATCCGATCATGTTGCTGTTGCTGGAGGAGGAGGAGGTGATCGTCGATCAAGATTCGAAATTCAACTTGGTGACAATAATACCCCCATCATCAGCACCACCACCACCGGCGGCGGTACGACATCCACTGCCACCAGCCATTCATTATCACGTGCTAATTCCGTATCCTCATCTTCCAATGGCATTTCTCTTACTCGAGATGGATCGACTCATTCACGCGTTGCAAAGTATCCCATGTCGACTTTGGACGATCAGCAAGGTGCTGGTGTGGAATCACGCAAGATGATTGGTCGATTTGAATTGACCACATCCGAAGCAATCGTGCGACCTCCCATGTCCCATAGCAGCAGTGATAAAGGCCCAGAAGGTAAAATGGATAACACTAAAACGATGGTTTGTATATACTAAACCCTCCGCTAGGCATCCAAGAATCATCACCCTCCTCTTCGGTATCAGGACAATCATCCAGTACTTCGCCTTCAGCATCATTATTACGTGGTCAAGGAATGCGTGATGTTGTTTCAAGAACCCTGCCGCCAAACCTGCAATCGCAATTAGAAGAACTCGTCAAGGTCAATGAATCCCAACGACACATGTTGCAAGAGTTATCCGGCATGATCCATGCAGCAACAGCAGCAGCAGCAAGTAAACCCCCAGCCACTAAACCACACTCGTCCTCATTGTCAATATCAGAGTCATTTTCAGAAAGGTACTATTACATACACACACACAACATGGTACTATACATCACAATGCTAACAATGTCATTTACTTTTATAAAAGTAGCGCTGATAAGGTGGAATCAACAGTGGTAAGTGCTTCTTTTAATTGCCCCCTCCAACATCACTCATAAGGAAACGATTAGGCTGCTTTGGAAGCACAATTGCAAAACAGTGTGCGAGCAAATCAAGCATTGCAACAGGAAAATGAGATTTTACGGAAAGAGATTGAGCAGCTCAAGCTATCTAGTAATACGCATTGAACATAAAGAAGGGGTTTGGGATTGTGTAACGAATGCAATCATGACATGGTAACACAACATGATGATAATCTCGGTGTGTGATAGCAAAAGTTTATATATTATACAATGATTTATGGGAGGAAGCAATGGAGTGGATGGGATTTAATTGTCCCGTTTACGTTTTGGATGTTTGATGGGGGTATCAAGGCCGTAAAGATAAGAGTAATCGACTATTCCATGGAGTACCATTTGATCCATTGGCCGTACAGGTTCCCATTGCCATTCTTGAAACCGGGACAAGTGCGATCGTTCGGAAGGTTTGAAATAAAGGGGTAAGCAATAGGTGTCTTCGCTATAGCTTCTTTCTTCTTCCTCCTCCTCATCATCATCCACATCTCGCACACGCACTTTGAGAAACAAGCCACGGAAACGATGTTCGTAGAGAGCAACCACCTTTGCTTGCACATGCGTACCGATACCACCAAAAGGGACATGATGTTTGGATAATGGCTTGAGCGAAAGGACAATGGTGTCAGCAAATAAAACAGGGACTTCACCGGTCATTTTTGGAGGAGGGTTGTAATGAAAGCGATTTGTGAGATTGGTGATGGTGGCTGAATCGAGCGTGATGACTGTAGAAGAAGCGACTGGAACGAGGGTATAGTGTTTACTGGGTCCTATGATGCGCTCCACTGTATCATGTTCCCATTTTGGATTGTAGCGAGGACGTACACCATGAACGGCATGGACGGAAGCATCCTTGATGAGACCTTGATCCGAGCATAGCTGATCGAGAAAAGCTTGAAAACGCCGTACATGAGGCGGACGATCATCCCACATGTCGACACTTTGAATGGTGGGTAATGTATGTAATAAATGCAAAAGGAAGGATAACTTGTAATCCATTGTTGAATCGAATACAGATGCGCCATGAGGTTCTTCTGGATCAGGACGTAGACACACCATATCAAATTCCAATCCTTGAGACTTTATCATCTTTGACACCAGATCATAGAATGGATGGACTCGTCTTCCAGTCAATAACACCGTCAATGTCTTTGGATCTGCCAAGGCTGCTCGCACTTCAACCATCACACCAGGATTCCAATAGCCTTGCCATCGTGTTTGTTCCACATCAGCTCCAAGTTGTAAACTTTTAATATCTCTCCACCATCCTGGTCCACATAACCCTTCGGTCGTAAGGGCTCCTACAAGTGTAGGATGCCATATCGTAGGACTCAGTAGAGGCGAATAGAATAAAGTCGAGTCAAAGTCAAAGATGGCAAGCCGTGTGGGTCGAGGTCGTGGTGAATCGAATCGAGTGTCATGCTTGAAAAAGGCGCACTTTGCGAATTGACGATCTAGCACACCCTGATGGACGCAATGAGTAAAGACGAATGGGTGAATGCTTCCTTCCTATCAACTTACTCTTTCGTCTTCTCGTACATCAGCATACGTTGTTTTCATGGGTGGATAAGAGGGGGAGGAAGAGGAAGAGGAGGGGGGCAGCTGTATCAACGCCAATATGGAATATGGATCCGAGAAAGAGAGAAAGGGCTGCTGCATTGAGAGAGAGTTCCACTCACATAATAAACATTGTGATTACACCCTCCGCTGCTGTTTCATCGAGCCAGGTCTATTTGCAAATATCCCTTGATTATCATGTTGAGTGCACACACGCTTAAAGTAACACATGCATACATGTGCATATATACAGACACGCACGTTTTTTATAGTAGTATCATCATAATTCCCGTGGTACTGTCAACAGGACATCGGGAAAGGGTTTTTATTGAATGATGGATGTTCTGAGCCAGAATTATTTGACACAACAACCCCGTTTCGCTTCTTTTGCTTATTCAGCCATCAACAATATCGGTCCCTTTTTCTCTCTCTCTCTCTCTTTCTTTCTCTTTCGCCACAATGTCTCAACCTATCAAAACTACATCCACTCACTCTGGTGAATTACCTATCGGCGCTGACGGAAAGCCACTCAAACCATGCTGCGCTTGTCCAGAAACTAAAAAGGTCCGCGATCAGTGCATCTTTGACAATGGCGAGGAAAACTGTAAGGAGCTCATTGACGCTCATTTGAAGTGCATGCGCGACTTGGGTTTCAAGATCTAATCACCACCCCACTCGACAACAATGCTTCTTGTATCATACATCTCATGCCCAACCCTTCTCTCGCTCTCTCTCGCTCGCTTTTCTTTGTATATACCGATCTTAGACGACAATGAATTAAATCCATCTTTTCTTAAAAAGGAATGCTGTTTGTGTTTGCTTCTATTACAACATGGTGTAAGCAAATAAGACAATGAATGAGTGTAATAGGAGAGGATATTGTTGATGGTATCATTTCGGCCCTGGTAGTCTTTGTTTCCATGAGCGGTGTTTAATTCGACCATGAGCAGCCATTGTTTTCATAAAGAGCCAATGTCAATTGAGAAGGGCTGTAGATAAAGCCCATTAAGATAGTATTATTATACATCACGAAGATTTTAGATAATAAGCAATGAAATAGAAAAAGGTCAAGCAACAACCATTACATGCGCTCGTGGTTGTAATCATAATCTTGAACTTCATATCTTGATTCCTCTTTGGGATCCATATGGGCGTGTACTTCGGCAAAGCGACCAATGGGGTCCTTGTGAAGTCTCGATTTGCGAATGCCATAAGAAAAGTAGATGATCCAACCAATACCCATCCAGACGAAGAGACGCTAAAGATGATATGAGTACGACTTTTGTATGCGCATCACATCTATAAACTTACCCAAATGGTGGTTACTTCGGCCACAGCAATTAAAAGGACGCACACCACCATGCCGAGAATTGGGAATACTGCAAATAGGTATTTGCCACCAGGGATCTTGAACCATCGTTCGACATCGGGTCTTGTAAACCGAAGCAAAATGACACCGGCATGCACAATGAAAAATGCAAGCAATGTACCAATGGATGTCATGTTACCCAAAAGGTCGACGGGAAGAATGGCTGCAAGGATAGCAGTAATGGTGCCCACGACAATGGTTGCCACATAGGGTGTCTTGAATTTAGGATGTACTTTGGCAAACACAGATGGCAACATGCCATCCTTGGCAATGGAAAAGAACACACGAGATTGACCAAGCAACATGATCATCATCACTGAGGTAAGACCAAAAAGAGCGCCAAGTGATACAACAATATTGAGCCAGCGAAATGATTTTCCTGTACGAGCTTCCACAGCAGATACAGCAACGGTGGGTGGGGCAGCCACATTGAGCTCCGTATAGCTTACGGCGCCTGTCATCACCGTACAGAACGCCACATACATGATCGTGGTGACGATCAAGCTACCAATAATGCCAATGGGAAGATCACGACGTGGGTTCTTGCATTCCATAGCAGCGGTGGTCACCGAATCAAATCCAATAAACCTATCATCGCATCATCATAAATTAAATGTCGTGATACGTACACCCAATAGATAGCATCATCACTTACGCAAAAAAGACAGTGGACGCTGCTGCAAATATACCCGGTGCACCAAACAAATGCCAATCGCCTGTAGTGTTAGGAGGAACATAGGGGCTATAGTTGTCACGATCGACAAAGCCGCACAAGGCAAATACAAAGATAAAGACAACAAGCATTTTGATCACCACAATCACCGAGTTGACCCATGAGGATTGTCGAATACTATCATCGTGTTAGCATGGAAAATGTAAAAAGCGTTCTTGTTGTTGCTTACCCAATACACAAGATGGTGGTCACAATCATGACGATCACAAAGCCGGGCACATTAAAGTAATGGCCTTCATCGTAATAGATGCTAGCAGGGCTTTCTTGCCATTTGATAGGAGGCTCAGTCCAATTTTCGCCAAATTCAACATTGAAAGCAACCTTGAAAAACGTGACAAAGTAGCCGGACCAGCCGACACCGACTATTTGGGAACAACAAAAAGCGCGCTATTAATATCCGCAAACAGGACACATGTATGTATGTATACTGCTTGGCAAGTTCATGTGATTTCCTTACCCGTTGCAGCGCCCACCATGTACTCAAGGATCAAATCCCAGCCAAGCGTCCAAGCGACAAACTACATCAATCATGTTAAATCACACCATGAGGGTAAATCAAATACAACATGCATACCTCGCCCATCGTAGCATAGGCATAAGTATAGGCTGAACCTGACACTGGAATCATGGATGCCAATTCCGAGTAACTCATAGCGGCAAAAGCTGTTGAATGTTATCAGTATGCATTGAGCACGGTGCTTTGTACGGCATTTACACACAACTTACATGAGGCAACAGCAGCGACAATAAACGAAATGGTCACTGCAGGGCCAGCGTGATTGGCAGCAGCTTGACCCGACAAGACAAAAATACCTGGTATCGCGTAGTTTAGCTATACAAGTTGTTTTTTTTTCCTCTTTCTTTTTCTCTTAAAGTGCACCTACCTGTGCCGATGATAGCACCAATACCGAAAAAGATCAAGTGGAATGCATTCAAATAGCGTCTCAAGGGTGTGGCATTGTATTCTCCCAATAACAACTCGATAGGTTTGAGTGATCCAAGGCGTCGTACCCAGTAGCTACTACTTGATTCATCGGGGCGACGTAAATAGCTAGCAGGATCAACCTTGGCGTAGCGTGCTTGGATGCTATGGAGAAAGTTAACGGCACCACCACTATGCTCGCTACCTTTCTCCACTTCGTGAATTTCACTTCCATATCCCTTATCCTCTGCCATGCTGAAGATTTGAGTCTAGCGCAAAAAAGGGAATAAAAAGAAAGTAAAGAAAAAAAGGGATAATACAGTCTTTGACAAAGAGCAAAAAAGGGAGAAAAAGAGATGAGTGTGTGGGAGAGCAAGAGTAGAAGAGAGAACGTTTGTGTATGTGTGTTTCTCTGATCCATGGACAAAAATGGCTTTTATTTCCATGAATGTCCCACCACCACCTTCACCCAAAGCCGATTTAGCCACGCATCGAACTATCATTTGGAAGTCTCATTTTGTATGCTTTGTGATGCCATCATGTCGCTTTTACCTTTCCGTCACTTTGGTACCACAGGCTCACGCACCCTGTTCCCTTGATTTCGGTCATGTCTATATTTTACACTCTTTATGGTGCAATACAATCAACTTTATGATTTCCTAGCTTTCTATTTGACGACAAGATAAGAAAAATGCATTGGTGTGTAAAGCATGTTTACCAGTCCGATTCATCTTGGCCTTGTTACACGTAGTTGATAAGGGTATCAGAACTTTGGGACAAGGGAACGTCCATCATTATCGTTTGCCATTGATTACTACTACTATCACTATCCCCTTCTTTTTCTTTATCTCACCACGTGTGTACGTTATCTCAGCCACAGCTCCATGATCAACATCACCACCCCCATCACCAGTTACCTCTGCAAGTAATTGCATTCTCACGATAGTAGTAGTAGTAGTAGTATAGCCAAGCGTGGATGTGAAGGGTGAAGCAGCAAAAGGATCAAGAACAATGTCCCTATTTGGAAATGAAGCGCTTGTAACCTGTGTCATGAGGACAAATGGCCCAAAAGCAGCATATTAGGTTACACGGCTGCTAAGCTTGTGATGCTCAAACTTGCTGCAATGCCGCCTTCTTGTTTTGCGGATTAGGCTTGTACGTCGCCGCTGAGTATGTGTGTGCGTTGTGGTGTGGTGTATGCGAGATGATCTTCCTTCCACCGGCATCATCATCATAGTACATTTCCCCCTGTTGTTTCTTGCAAGTAAGGATATTACATTGCACCTTCACTACCCTTGTTGCCTCGCAAGTACGCTTCTGGTGTTTCTGTTTTCACACGGTACGGCTCATAGACACCCATTTGGAACTAGCAAGTTTTGCCCAAAAGAACACTACGTGATACATGTCTTTAGCCAAATCAAGGACACATTGACCAAAAACAAAAACAAAATGGCTAGCTAACCAAACACAAAGGAACATGTCCTAGCAGCATTGCGTACAACTTGTATTTGTAAAGATGAGCCTCTGTTTTTTGTTTATTAAGGGCGTGTACATGTACCTTTCGTTAACAAGATCTCCAAAGTGATTGGTCCCGGTACAGCAACAGAAGCCTTTCATCACGCGTCCAATCATTGACATTTTTCTCGTGCACATACCTTATTGCATTCGATTTTTTGATCTCAGGTGGGCATGCTTTGTTGCATGCGTGTGTGTGTGTGAAAATAAGGTCAATCCATGATGGTGGATCGGATCAATCATACTTGGGCAGGTTGGTAGTAGTTGTTCCTTGATAACAAAGAGCGTTACTTTCTATGGTTTGGTACATTTACATCCGCCTGCTTCCCATGCTTCAGGATTACATAATACCAAGGACTCTTTTCTTTTCACACTCAAACAAAAGGCATTGCGCATGATGATGGTGGTGGCGTTGCACTTTCAAAAAGAAAATGTGTGAGTGACACACAATCACATGTACAAGATGTATGTATTATAACCTTGCCTAGGTTTTGTCTCAGGGTCAGGCATCATCATCACCATGACATGACTTTTGAAATGTTAGGATTAAAAAGTGTCAACGATGAACCCATTTTTTTAGCACACATACGCTTTTGCCACCACATGATAAGCATCCCACCTACGTAGGTACTCTTAAATGAGAGCGACAAGGAAAAGTTGTACGCACAACACATCATTTGGGTGGATGGCTACGCGATCTACAAGAACGTCGGTAAAAGTCGGCAGACCATCGTGGATTGTGTTGCCATGATCAATCCGCATCTTTTGATCTCAGCGTAACTGATTCGCATCATCCTGGCGATGTGTGTAATATGAGACCGTTCCCACAGTGGATCTCACGCATGTTGGCTTTTGGGGCCATGTGAACAGCTATTTGGACGTGGAGCTGTCGTTTTTTTAGGGAAGAATGGAAATCACTCACATCACCACCAGAGGATAGTAACAATGTTACACTAAGATGACTGAAACATGTTGTTGCCATACGCCCCGGTTGTTGCACATAGATCATTGGGTATCTAAACTTGCAAAAGAACTTGCAAGTGGTTGAACAAGCGAGTTTACAAATACCGGCCAAGGGAGGAAATGTTAAAGGGCTGGTATTTTACGCGCCGCATGAACTTTCTGCATACACCGCACCAAGTTTGGGCGGTCTGTGCGTTGCCCTCTAGCTTTCCATTTTTGGATAGTTATGCAGTATCCATGGCAACAACGACTTTTAACGAGTGAATCGAACGTAAAAGTATCGGTAAAGCGTATGGTTTATCAACCCTCGTATTATACAACAATGACAAGTAGGGCTGCAGCAGTGGTTTTCAAACGTTCTCTTTAATGATGATGTATGCATTCTAGTGACAAGGTATTAGCCATGGCAGCAGTAAAAGAAGGAGAGGGCCCTATGTACAAATCTATAACCGATGGCATGGATCTAACATGCGCATTCAGCGATTCTGCTACACGTATTACGATTATTTATGTAATCGATGATGATATGCGTGCGGAATTAACAAGACATAGACATCCATGTGATCCACCTTGTTTGAATCTGTGTCTTGTGTTGTTAATCATCAAGCTTGCATTCATCATGATTTAGTTTGTTATCGCAGTAAGCAAACAGCAGATTCTAGCGATCTCGAACATGACACAGAAATCTTGAAACCTTGTAACTACCTTGCATTGGTAGATTGTGGCCGTGGGATATGGTTCTTAAGTACTTTTTTTATTGATGTTGAAAAGTTTACAATGCCCATCCTCGGATATCAAATCATCATTTCCCTTATGTAACGGCCCCCATATGGATTACCCCCCCTCCACCACCACCCACCAATGATCACCGCTCCTCACGCGTCATTGTATTTGGTTGAGTTTTAATGCAAACAATTGACAACCAGGAAGGCTATGTAGAACATAAAGCAAACAAGAATGGATGTTCATGAAGCGGATAACAAATAACGATACGGTTCCATATCTATAGGTGAATATCAGGAAAAAGCAATGATGCATCGTTTCAGACATGTCGCCAACTTGTATATATATATGCATGGGATCTTCGTGCATGGACCGTTTTCCTTGCCGATATACGTATTCCCTTAGTACCACCATCACCCTGCTTGGTGTGATTTCTAAATCCCAATGTCAAGTAAGTATTACTATAGCCGAATCAGCAAACATGTATACTCACCTTTCATGATGATATAGACCAAACAACGCAAGATCCACAACCACCACGTCAGCCTCCTACGGCACACACGTCCATGGATGCAACCAGGCATGGAACATCGTCACCTGAGTGGCAAGAAGATATGGCTATTGAAAAAATCGAGCCTGTTCCAGCATCTCAAGGCAATTGGTTCGTACGTAACAAGCTGAAAGCATCCCTCCTTGCTGGTGCTGTACTTGCTGTGTTGGCTATTGCTATTGCAGTCCCCATTTCAGCCTCCAATCAACCATCGTCATGGCGACAAGGACGACGTAACGACGGTGGCTATGGATATCCGAATATGCCACGTCCTTCCTCCAATAGTACTTCAAGTGGTGGTGGTGGTGGTAATGCTGATGATGATGCGCTGATGAAAAACTTTGATGATTCTGCTCAAGCGAATCCCCATGTCCCACCTCTCAAGGAAGCATTCAAGTATGGCGAGCAACCCATTCGTGGTGTGAATTTGGGTGGATGGTTGGTGATTGAACCATTTATTACACCTTCTCTTTTCGACCAATTTGATCCCAAGGATAATGTGGTGGATGAGTGGGGATTGTGCAGCAAACTGGGTCCCGAAAAAGCACGTGAACAACTTGAACACCATTACGAGACCTTTATTACCGAGGATGATTTCAGAAAGATGCGTGATATGGGTATGAATCATGTGCGCATTCCTACCGGTCATTGGGCTGTACAGCCTGTCGAAGGAGAGCCCTTCGTTCCCAAGCTTGCATGGAAGTACTTGTTACGGGGTATCCAATGGGCTCGCAAGTATGGTCTCCGCGTCATGGTCGAATTGCACACTGCACCAGGATCTCAAAATGGTTGGAATCACTCGGGTCGTTATGGACAAGTACGCTGGCTCAATGGCACCGATGGCGAGCACAATGCCGAACTCACTCTCCAAGTCGTCAAGAAAATGACTGAATTCTTTTCAAAGCCTGAATGGTCCCATGTCACTCCCGTATTTGGTGTCCTCAATGAACCCGCTATTTTCCGCCTTGAACGTGAACGTGTTGAACAATGGTATCATCAAAGCCATGATGTCATTCGCAATATCACAGGCAAGGATCAAGGTCCACTCCTTACATATCATGATGGCTTCCTTGGCATGAACGCTTGGAATGGTTTCTTCAAGGATCCAAGTTTCAATCGTGTTATCCTAGGTAAGATGAAAAAAAAACTTGCTCTATTTTACTATGTGAGCCATTTGATTGATCCATGTACATAGAAACGCATACCTACTTAATCTTTGATGATGGCTTGGTGTCGATGCCACGTGATAAGCAAGCTGCCTTCCCATGCCAAGCCTGGAACCGTGACATTGGCAAATCCATGGCTGAAAATGGTCCTACCATGGTCGGCGAGTTCTCGATGGCTACGAATGATTGCGGCAAGTATCTCAATGGTGTACGACTTGGTGCTCGTTACGAGGGTACGCTCACAGAAGGCAACAGCAAGATTGGAAAGCCTGTGTGTGATACTTGCACTTGCAAAGGCGTCGATGATTGGAAGAACTGGGATGATGATTACAAGAAATTCTTGCATGAATTCATCGAACGACAAATGGATGCCTTTGAAACAGGCTATGGCTGGTTCTTTTGGACTTACAAGACCGAGGAGCACATCAACCCCCATTGGGATTATCTTCTTGGATGGGAACAGGGCTGGATCCCCAAGGATGTCAATGAACGCACTTATTCATGCAAGGAAATCCCACCTAGCGAGGACTAGATACATAGATATACATGACAAGATAATATATTGGTATTGAACAATGATGGAATAAAACAAAGAAAACGTACATACTGAGGAGAGGTGTGTGTGTGTGGAATAGAGATATAGATATGAGACAATGAATGTGTGTGTGTGTGTGTGTGATATAATGGAAATGATATGTGGTGTGTAACGTTGATCAAATGAATGAATGAGAATATCGGCGGAGGTGTGTGCGGCCATTTCAATCATAAAAGTCGTTGTTGCCATTACGGCTTTCCTTGACAGGTCGAAAATCATCTTCGAGTAAATAATCATCATGATCCCCCATTTGGTATTGATGATGCCAACCACGGATGCCTTCGAGGTAGTTTTCATGTAGATTGGCTCTGTATTCATCCAACTTTTCCATGTTCTCGATTGCCAAATCACGACTTCTGCGTTGAATTTCTCGTCCACGCATCGACATTTTGTGTGCATGACGTAATGCTGCATCCAATAAATCGCCCGTCGCTGTTACCAGTTTGCCCATGACGACCCGAAGAACGTCGTTGTACCAAAAGGACATGAGAGGCATCGATTGGATAAGGCCTAAGTAGTCCCCGCTGACAAGGTTGGTTGATTTATTCACGTGAAATGTAATTTCCCATTTACCTTCCAATGTCCAACTATCCTCTTGACGATAAATCTTTAGCAAGCCGCTATCAGCCTCCGTCTCTCGAAAATGAAGCGTGGTAATGGCCGGCACTTGGAGCTGAATAAATGATGGAAACATGCTCGGTGATAGGTTTTGTGTGATATGCACCACCGCTGTACGGCTGTAGTAGTAGTAGTAAAACGCCAACGCAACAAGGGACATCAGTAAGTAAACATAGTGCACATGAATGTCTCACACACACACACATTCACTCTCAAACATACCCGTCAAACACTATATTGTTGATAGTGGGTGCCTTGCGATTCAGTGCCTGCCATACGGTATATACACTAATGGATCATCGATCAGGTTAGGTTCACTGTTCCTGGTGGTGGTCCTCTTGCCCACCCAAGCGATATCTTACTATTGGATATTATCAATGCCTTCAGTGGACATGATGGGTGATGTTAAGGTGGCATCTTCAAAATAGTAGTACTCCAATATGCGTCTCCAGCGGACCGTGCTGTATGAAAAGAGGTCTTCAATGATATCTATGACAGCAACAGCAGCATCTCTAGTGTCAATCAATCGTCGAGTTGACCCCCATGAGGCAGATTAGGAACTTACTCTTGATGAGAGCAGACGAGGATGTCTCAATTTGAGTGTCTGTATCTAGATCGGAAGCTGGCATTGTGTGTGGGTGTGGGTGTGTGTTGATGCTTGAAACGGACGTTCACGGAGAAAGGGAAAAGAGGTACAACGTAACAGAAGAATTAGGCGCGTGTTCATCATGCTGCTTGCAGACTCAGCTGCATTTGCCACGCCCATCATTGTTTCACACACTTGCAGGACTTGCATATTTGCACTACAAGACGATCGCCCTTTTTGTTTCGAAAGCGAGAAGCTGTCATCTTTTCTATATTCGAAAAGAAATCCTTTATACGACGACACTCAATCACTTATTGTAAATTGCTATCAATCAATCACATGCTATTATGTGCCCGATTCAATCACAATTAAATGCATACATAACCTACAACGTTTTATGGGAGGGTGTTGAGGATGAGCAATGTAAATGAGACCTCATATGGGTGGTAGCTTAAAGGATCAACGGCCAACATGATAAGAGTATCAATATTACTACCAAATTTATTAAGGTTGCTTCTTGTAATGGAATGAATTATTATACTTTAGGCTTTAACGTTGCATTTACTGCTGGAATGGAGACTCGGGATAAGGTGTTGGGTTTTGTTGTGGTTGCTGTGTTTGACCACCTTGTTGTTGACCAGTGCCAGAACCACCTTGTTGTGGTTGTTGGGATCCTTGACCACTACCAGAGCCACCACCTTGTTGTGGTTGCTGGGATCCTTGGCCATTACCAGAACCGCCACCTTGTTGTGGCTGTTGTGATCCTTGACCAGAGCCACCCTGTTGTTGTTGATTCATGCCAAGCACTATTGCAATCACATTTTAGTACCATTTTACTTACAAGTGCTACAACAAAGGACACATACCTTGATCAATAACATGAATGACGCCCGTTTGTGTCAAAATATTGGGTTGGATGACTTGAGAACCATTAACTAGAACACCCATTTTTCTTAATATGATCGTTTTTGATTGAGGACCTTTCCTATAATCATACCTGAAAATGCCGTTTGATTGATAGCTTGAAGCATAAGTGGCTGGCCTGCAACTGATTGCACTTCGAAACCTTGTTGCTGTTGACCTTGACCAGTGCCGCTACCACCTTGTTGACCTGGTTGTTGTTGACCTGGTTGCTGTTGACCTGGTTGCTGTTGACCTGGTTGCTGTTGGCCTGGTTGTTGTTGACCAGTACCATCGCCACCATTTTGACCTGGTTGTTGTTGACCTGGTTGCTGTTGACCTGGTTGTTGTTGACCTGGTTGCTGTTGACCAGGCTGTTGTTGATTTGGCTGTTGTTGACCTGGTTGTTGTTGATCAGGTTGTTGTTGTCTACGTTGTGGCTGCTGTTGATTGGGTTGTTGTTGACCAGTACCACTACCACCACTTTGACCTGGTTGTTGTTGATTTGGTTGTTGTTGGCCTGGTTGCTGTTGATTTGGTTGTTGTTGGCCTGGTTGTTGCTGACCTGGTTGTTGTTGACCAGTACCGCTACCACCATTTTGACCTGGTTGCTGTTGACCTGGTTGCTGTTGACCTGGTTGTTGTTGACCTGGTTGTTGTTGACCTGGTTGCTGTTGGCCTGGTTGCTGTTGGCCGGGTTGTTGTTGACCAGTACCGCTACCACCATTACCAGAGCCACCCATACCACCATTGCCGCTGCTGCTACCTGTAGTATTGGTCACGTTGGTGGAATAGATTACATCGCCTTGTACAATATGACCAGCAACCAATTGCGAGATAGTGTTGCTATCCATATTGTTCAAATTCACAGATTGCAAAGCTTGGTTGCTAGGTGCAAAGATGGTGACCTAAAACAATAGGCTGTTAATGACAAGGGAACATGTCATACTCATGATGGTATTACTTACATTAGGTGCATAATCAAGCTGTGATGCAAAGTTACCCGCATGTTGCACAAAAAGATCAAATTGGGAGATGCTGGAAACATTTTGGAGAGCTTCAGAAGACTTTGGAGGTGGAATCATGACTATAAAAAAGGATGCATTAGCAAAGATTGAAGTATGTCAATGTATGTAGAATAGTATACGTACTATCATCCACCACATGAATGACACCATTGGAAGCAACAATATCATACAATGTCACGTTGGCAAATTGAAGGCCGTTGCCAACAGTGTAATTGGTCATTTGCTGTTGCTGCTGTTGCTGGGCTTGCAAGATTTGACGTACAGCCATTCGTGAAGGGTACCATGAAAATCCATCATCGCTACCACCATCATCTTGCTGTTGCTGTTGCTGAGTAGGATAGCTGGGTTGATTTGTAGGGCTTTGCATGGGTTGAGAAGCTTGAGGTGATCCCATGCTCATGCCACCTGCACCACTTGGTTGGCTTGAAGGTTGTTGTTGCATCATAGAAGACGACATGGTTGGTTGCTGCATCATCGAAGACATTGTCATAGAACCACCACTACCTGCACCACCTTGCTGTTGGGATTGATTATTGGATCCAGTTTCGTTGCGCATGATCAAGAGAGGCAAAGGTTGACCATTCAATGCAAGGGTGTTGTTGGTCACCATGGTGGAAACAACCGTTGTATTTTCTTGAAGATCCTTCAAAAGATAGGTGCCATTCAACAAGTGATATTGGATGATGTCCTCAACAGTGTAATTAGCCAAAGGTCCTTGCATAAATGGATTCATTGATTCATTTCCACCACTGCTTGAAGATCCTGGTTGTTGTTGGCCTGGTTGCTGTTGGCCTGGTTGTTGTTGGCCTGGTTGCTGTTGGCCTGGTTGTTGTTGGCCTGGTTGTTGTTGACCTGGTTGTTGTTGACCAGGCTGTTGTTGACCAGGCTGTTGTTGACCAGTACCACCGCCACCATTTTGACCTGGTTGCTGTTGGCCAGGTTGCTGTTGGCCTGGTTGCTGTTGATTTGGTTGTTCTTGACCAGGCTGTTGTTGGCTTTGGGCAATATGGATGTCCTTGGTACCCAATTTAATCCATCTGCTGAAAGCCTCAATACTCCAAGGGTTGGCATCATCATCATAATAATCTTCTTGATCCAGCTCTTGTTCTTGTTGTTGTGGTTGCTGTGAAGATGGCATATTTGTAGGGGATGATGATCCACCACCACCACCACTACCGCTACCAGTGCCCCAAGGGTAATTTGAAGCCATAGGTGATTCGCCAAAAGAGCCACCCGAACCGCCACCAGAGCCACCAAAAGTACCACCCGATGAAGATGATGAGCTTTCCATCATACGTTCCCAAACTTGATCTGAAGGAACAAACAACGTATGATTGCCAGGCTGTGACAACAATTGCAAGATGGTGTTGTATTCAGGCTTGGATGTCAACAAGTCCACAAACTTGGTAGCAGGTGAGAGTTGGGTCGTGTTGAGGATTTCAAGAATGCTACTGCCCGTCAATTGAGCCGAAGCAGTGCTGGCACCAAGTGCCACAAGAGCTATCACTTTGGAAATGTGCATGGTGTGTGTGTGACAAAAAAAGTGAAAGCAATGCTTCATCCAAATCCTCGCTCTCTTGCAATTAATCTATAGAGCAGCGGAAGGGTTTCAGCTCTTTTTTGGGCATCATCCTCATCCTCATCGCCTTCATTGTTACCCATGAAACAATAACCCTGATCATTGATCTTGAAATTTTCTCCTGGGGTAACTTTTTGACAGGGATCAAGATACCCCTCCTCCTCCTTCATCCTCTTCCTCCGCTCATCAATGACATGGGAATTACAACATAACGTGCATATAGCATGGTGATCATGTGCAAAATCAAAGCCCCCCAAAGATGGCTGAAGACATGCATTGATATTCATACTGGGTACAACAATAGAACTAGCTACGACTATTACTACAATGAATGCGCTTCTTCCAGTAGTGAACCTATCCTATAAAGCCCACCGCCACGTTGCATGCTACTAGGATTCCTCTCCTTCGAGATCTCGATGTTTTGGTCTATTATCAGCGGTGTAACCCATGGATGCTTGTAAAGATGACCTCCTCAATTCTTCATTGGATCGTCGCCTATCAGCCGTTGCCATCTCACTAGCAGTCTACAGCGGTACCATCGTCATTACATATCCCGATTTCATTCATGCGTATATATACAACAACATACCATGGCAGCAAATTCCACAGGATCCACTTGCCCGCTCAACACCTGATCCTTTAGAGGATTTCGACTGTCTTTGAGGTTGAGAATATGTGATCGAATCGTCTCTTTATATGCTGAATCTACTTGGCAATCTTGTTGTTCGTATATGGCCTCCTCGATGGTTTTTGCAAGATCAGCGAGATCTAATAAAGGTTGTATGAATATTAATAAAAGACATAATAGACATGATTACCTTCTTGTCCTCCATTATCTTGCCCACTTGATAAAGCTTTATGGAGCAAATCTTGACCTATTTTTTTGATGTCAGCTTCCAAGCTAGTATAGTACAATACATATGGGTGTAGACTTACTTTTGCGTCGTGTTTCCATGGATGAAGAAAGAAAAGGTGGATCAATGGCGTCTTGAATGATAGCGCGGGTAAAAAAAGTGGATGTTGTTTCAAATAGTCAAGCAAACAAAGTAGTAGTAGTCGTCTTTCGGAAATGACAGATGGCCTTTAAAAGGGTGTGTGTGTGAGCGTCACAAGATCTCTCAGTGAGCTGCTGCTTTAATGCCCTCAGGCAACTCTACCAACCTGCTTGTTACTACTTTTGACTCCTCCATTCAATGTTGCAACGACTCTTTCGCTCCAAATCGTCGAGGGATTCTGAAGAGAATTACACACGTCTATTATTAGAACCAGAACCGTGAGTAGACACAACAATGATATGAAACAAGCAACCAACATGAGCAGCCCAGGTGGTCATTGAGTCCATTAGCTGATGGTCAAGTGCGTATTCTCCTCTGCCAGGATGCCGGTGATGCCAACAAGACCATTCTATACGATTCATGCCACGGATTAGCCCCATCGCCCATTGTCCCTGCCAAAAAGAGTAGCAGCAGTAGCAGCAATTCAATGAGAAACGCAGCTGGTATCGCTCGTTCGTGGAACGGCAACGACGAGTTTCATAATGGGCGTCGGTCCAATGCCCTTTTTGGATACGACCGTCGTACTGAATGTCGGCCATCAAGCATGCGCATGGTATCACCTTCTTTACCACTCAATGATCATCCTCTCTCATCATCATCATCACCTCATCATCGTCATCATCATCCTCGTCAAGTAAGGAAGCTATTATTATCATTCTATTTATATACATGTTAACCATGATCATCATCATCATCAGGTGAATCGTCGTTTGGATTTGATTGGAGATATGATCTTTGGCACTGCCCCTCTCGCCTACAAGGGAATGAACACCAAAGTGCATTACAAACGAGACAAGGATCAACAAATCGTGCTCTCCAAGTTATTCACGCTCAACACACAAGATTCGGATGCAATGCGTAGAGCGTCATTCTCATCCATCAACAGTGATTGGTCAACCACTTCTTCAGTTCATTATGCAGCTACAGCCCCTCCTACCACCATCACCGCCGATCCATATGCCAAACGCTCCGTATCCACCTTGTCCATGTCATTGGATGATAATGCCTCCGAGATATCAAGCGATGATGATAAGAGCCATTACTCTGGTTATTCTTTCTATCCTTCCACGTTTGGTCTACGTTCGAGTTCCAGAGAATCATTTCATAGCAAACGGTCACGACGATTCAGTCAAACGAGCATGGAAGATGGTATCTTTCGACCTATGCCTTTACCCAATGCTATGGCAGATCTATCCACAACACCCATTGGTGCACCATCAACATCAACAGCAACGCATGTCAATGGCGGCGGCGGCAGCGGCGGGGTATGTAATCATCATCCATCATTCATGCTACATTGTAGTAACAACATGTATTATACATAGACTATGCAACATGGTACCAAGACTGTAAAATATGCCGTCGCTCTGATCATTACGCTCGATGACAAGAACAAGAACTTGTTTGATTTCATCTTTTCGCATTTTTCCTTGATCGAGAATCATTTGCATCAGCTACAAGCATCCACGTTTCGTCTTTTGAACAACCATTTGCGTAACAATGATAGTCCGCAGCAGGTAAAGGTAAACACCACGAAATTGCAATGCGAGTTTAAGAAATGATTGACTCACCCATCTTGGTAGCCTCGGCGCTTGAAGAATGGGGCACTCTACCTTGAACCAGGGATATTTCAGCATGAACAAGCAATGATGGATGCGGTTATTCAATTCAAACGGGCGTTCTATGATCTTTATGGTACTCCTCGAATACAAGAACCTCTTTGGCTCAACATGTCAACGTTTCCACACCGAAGATCAGAGTATGGGCAAATGCTCTTTAAAGAATTGGCCTATCTCATTGGAGAGTACAATACTGAAAGCCGACACCATTTCATATCGACCCTCGTCACCGCTGTATTGACTTTTCACTTGTCTTGGGTACATACAGTGGTCCCGCCAGGCGATTTCAAGGTATATGTGTGTATATACATACACCTTCAGTAAAGTCGCTAACAGGAAGGCACATAAGAATATCAATTGTAGGCATGGCAATTATGATCCATTATGGGCCCAGTTGAGGTGAGAGTGGATGAGGAGGCATAAAAAAGTCAACAATGCATTAAGTTGGAATTGAATTACAGCGACTTGTATGGATTCGTTGGAAGTCCCGGTCGAATCACACGCACCATCGTGGTCGGCAAAAACGTCAGCCTCGTACGGCGTATCTTGTACATTTTGACCTATCTTATCCGGTGCAATGAAGTCTATGAGAACTTGGAGACACGTTCAGAATCGGATTCAGGCAACATTTTCAGTCATGAGCGAGAAATGGATAACACGTATGCCTCTCGACTTGAAGATAAGATTGTAAAGCAACTTGTTGGCTCAACGACGGATGTGGAATCGATTGCTATACCTCGTACGCAAGATGGTGGTGTTGGTGGTGGTGCCAGTACCGAATCACCTGAATCAATTGCAGATAATCGCAGCTCCACTTCTTTTGGTTCTTCGACCGCTCATCTTCATCATCATCATCAATGGTCTACAGCCAATGATCATCCTATCATGGAATCAAGAACAAGGCCACCAACAGCTCGATGGAGTAGTAGCAATAGTAGCAACGACGAGCCAGCACCCGTGGTATCCGCATCAGGCACCTGTTCCATTTCAATGCCAAAGTAAGCAAAAAGAAAAAGATAATAATAGCAAAGCTGATCATGTCATTACTGTTTAGATCATCCATTTATCGCATGATACCCGATATTACCCAAGTGCAAGAAGAAGGTGAAAGTACCACCGAGCGAGCAGATACCCTTTATGCAAAATCCTATGGACGATCCTTGATGGCTACCTTTTGTGAAGTTTACAAGCCTGATTTCGTATTGATGGGTGTACCCACGGATACCTTTGCTCATCAAGTGGAGGCTGATCTTAAAAACATGCTTCAACAATTTACATTGTCGGATGGTGTCACGGATGCGGCATGCCTAATCATTGATACGAACAAGTTGTAAGTTTGGCTTTTAAAGGAAAACATGCAATGGCGCTTACCTTTTGTAATAGCCAATGCCGTATTATGCAACAATCAGCAGCTGATCTCGATGCAACAACAACATCATCATCAGACAAGCAGTAAGACTTTTGAGGATCGAAACGAAAGAAGGGTTATTTACGAAAGATCATAGCACTTTGGCCAAAGAATGGCAGTTACTTTCTCACTCAAGTATGATCCATGAGTTATTGACGACTATCAAACAAAAGCATGGGACCGGTGCATCTGCAGATGAGGTTAGACTTTTGCTGCCCCCTCTAATCCCACGCTCATTAACTTTCTTTTATTTTATTCACGCAGCTTATCGATTTGTTTGAGGATGGATTACAAATGGTGTATCTAAAGAGCTTGTTCTTGCAAGAGAGTGTTACTGAATGGCTTGTCACTGCTGATGCTGATCCTATCAATGATTTGGGGAAGATCGTTGCTGATATTGGGTAAGGAAAGAAGAGAGGAGATGACGACATCAAAGGGCTGATTGTACCGGATAACTTAGAGTGAACACGGATGATATTCCTCTACTTGCCAATGTTTGTGGCACATACGATAACAAGATACCAAGGATTTTGCTTTCTGCAGATAGCTGAAAAGTTGTACAATTACATAAGCTTCCCCTTGCACAGCGTGTACATATTATGTAAAGTTCAAATCGTTCAACAATAACCTTGCTTGTAAACGTGGAGTGGATTGTATGGAGTCTCATGTCATGAAGCAGCAATATGGTGTATCCTAAACTAACAATATGAGCCAATGTTGCGTAACAACATGGGCTTGCTTACCAAACTGGTGGTCCAGTCTGCAAATTCCCGTTTCCCACAGAAAGAACAGGGCTCATTATGATCCAGAGGATGATGATGACGCACCTAGGAATAGTGTCAAGTATGCATCCATATGCATGTGCATTTATTTATACATGAGTATTACCAAGAGATGCAGAGCGCGCGGCTTTGGGAGAGAGACAATGCAAGGAGAAAGGGAATCCCTTCTTTTTCCAACAATAAGTGAGAAGCATAATAAATCTTGTTGCTGCTCGGAGCCTCATCGTTGTGAAACTCTTTCCCAGTTTGCCCGCCATCCGTTGCTACACACGACTGACAGCTCTCTTTCTCTCTTTCTCTCTTCTTGTTCTTTCACCCCACCCCCATCCCAGTCGCTCCTTTGAGTGTGAACCGATTTATTCCCCCATTGCATCTCTTTGAGAAACGACACTCGCCATTGAAAGGTAAAAGGGTCTTTCCTCTTGTTCCAATGCGAACCCAGACAGCCCATTAACGAGAGCTCTCTCTCTCTCTCTCTTTCTATTTTGCACAGCTTTCCTCTCTTCTTTTGTGTCGCTTTCATTCACAACTGCCATTACGTTCTCCCTTCTTTATCTCTCTTCCGGTTCAACATACGCGCTCGACATTGAAAAACACGCCGACGTTTATCCAATCGTACAACTTGTCGTCCTCATCATCATTCGCGTATTGCCTGCGCACAGACCATTTCGTTTGCAATGTTACCCGGTGCTTCTCGACACCATGGCAATACTACAGGAGCACGCAACAATAGCAACAAACCTAAACGACCCACGATACCAACAACAACATCATCCTCATCACATGCAAGTGGTCGACCTGTAGAAGATCCAACAACCTTTGGCCGTCAGGTGCCTTTCCACTGTCAACCATCACCACCTACATTGAGTGGATCCGTCTCTTCAACAACATTAAGCGGTGGTGGTGGTGGTGGTGGTGGTGGCAGTAGCAACAACAACAATACCAGAGGACATCATCGAAGTGCTTCAGGAAGTGATTATGATAGTGGAACCTCTTCATTGCATCATCATCATCATCATCCATGTAAGTGTTTGTGTATGTGTCTCTTTTCATCATGTTATTGATTTCCTTTTTAATGATTTAGCGTATGATTCCAATATTCCAACAAAGGACAAAAAGAAGACTTTATTTCGCTTTGGAAGAAAGAAAGGTATGTAGCCATTGTTTTATTTTGTTGGAGGAGGAGGAAAGGAAGGAGACATTGACTTTGTATTAGGTCCACCAACAACTCTATCACAATCACCCTCCACCACTACTTTGCATGGCAGCAGTACAGCTACTCCACGACATCGACATAAGCGATCCTATGACTTTGATTATCGACAACCCCATCCATTAGATAATACGTCCAACTTTGATGATCGATCCATTTATCACACTGTTCATGGCAGCATATCGTCTGGCGGCAGTAGTAATCCATTCTGTCATCGTAAATCACCATCGTATGGGTATCGGAAGGGCAAGGATCGTGAACGATCGGATGGCAGCGTTTCCAGTTTTACCAAAAGTACACGCTCTGACAGTGGATTCAAATCAAAGGCATGTGTCCCTCGCGCGTCGAAAGCAATAACCAAAGGCTAACATGGATTGCATTATAGGATAACTTTGACTGTACGTTGATAACAACAACAATGATACAACATGGGGGCTGATTGATTTATGAATAGTATACGTCGATCAAGATTTCGGGTCCATGGAAGGAATCATCAACCCAGAGCACTATTATCACATGCAATCACAGCATCCCACAAGCGGCCATCCACCCGTAAGTTATCTACCCCCCCCAGAAGGAGCGATGACGAAATATTGAATTATTTGAGTAGAACCAAGAGTCCTCCGAGTATTGGGCTCCACCTGATAGTTGGGGTGTTGTTCAACCACATGAAAACACAGCAAGGAAATCAGTGGATGATGATGCGGATGATGATACGCTCTCATTAGCTGAATCGACAAGATACGAATTGAGAAAGAGAAACGTAAGTAGGGAGGATGATGCATGTAAGGTTCCATCAAAACTTAACATGGGGAATATGGATAGTATTTCATTCGCATCTTTCGTATGGATGGCACTTTTGCGACATTGCAACTCCCTTTGACAGTGACGGCCGGCGAGATTGTTCAAAAGCTTGCAAGCAAATTTTTCATGCATGATCTCAGTAAGCTGAGTCTCGTGATTAAACGCCAGAAACTCGGTAAGTGATCGACTGTATTTATAGATGTGTGTCAGCTGACCAAGAGATCATAGAGCGTGTCCTTCAACCCCATGAACGGCCTATTCAGATTCAAAAGACGTTGCTTGAACAAATGGGATACACGGAGCAGGATCGGATCGAGGATGTGGGTCGAGAAGACAATTCATATCTTGTACGCTACATTTTCGGCCCCAATATGGATCAAATGATTCATGAAGCAGTGGACTATAATGAGAATCAACACAACATTGATCTCCAAGCACGCAATATCCAGACTATTCCCATCTCTCTGTACAAGTACGCTTCTCGTATCATCTCACTCGACTTATCAAAGAACGTGCATATGGATATTCCTGTGGATTTCATTCAAATGTGCCGCCATTTGAAGCAGCTATGGCTCGCCAATAATGAGTACATGGCTGTACCACCATCGATTCGCTATGTTCGTGGTTTGGAACATCTCAATGTTTCTGGCAATCGTTTACGTGACCTGGATCATGCTCACTTGGAAGAAATTACGGGGTTGAAAACGTTACGTGCCTTCAACAATCGACTTGAGACGCTTCCAACATCCTTCAAGACATTCAAGCATCTCACCATGCTTTTTATATCCAACAATGCATTTCAAACATTCCCACAAATCATTTGCGAGATCACCAGCCTTACGTATCTTGATATCAGTTTCAATCGCATTCAATCATTTCCCGAAGAGATCGGCAATTTGAAGAATTTGGTATGGCTCTTTGCCATCGCCAACCGTTTGACAGGCAGCCTTCCATCCAGCTTTGCTCGACTTGAAAATCTACAAGAGTTGGACATACGACAAAACCATATCACCTCTCTCGATGTATTGTCAAAGCTACCTAAGCTCGAGATTCTCTTTGTGGGATACAATGCCATCAGCATTGTGAGATCCGAGTTCAAGAACCTGCGTCAGCTAAAGATGATCAAGAACCATTTGACACAATTCAATTTGGCTGGTGAATCGAGTAGTCGACCTGCTGAAGGCCATGCCATGTCTGTTACGGGCATTCCACCCCCTATTGCTTGCAGCTATGAAGGATCCATGTTGACAAATCTCGATCTTTCCAGCTGTATGCTCACATCATTACCAGAAGATGTATTTCTCAGCACGACATTATTGGAAGAATTGATTCTCGACAATAATACGCTCAACTCGATCCCTTCCAGTATCGGCGCATTGAGACGATTGCTTCGACTTTCGGTGCAAAACAACTTTTTGGATTCGCTCCCTTCTGAGATATCAAGTCTACTTGAGCTCAAGACATTGCATGCACAAAACAACAACATGAAGGAATTACCCAAAGAAATATGGCTTTGTGCATCATTGCAGACGCTCAATTGTTCATCCAATCTATTGGAGACCTTCCCAGAGCCATTTTCAGTACCTGGTTCAGCATTGCAACTTCCCAACATGCCACCTCAAACAGCAGCAGCAGCAGCAGCAACCATAGCAGGTGCAGAGCGTGGTGCAGCTGATCCTATCACTTTACAAAGCCTAAAGCATTCAGGTCAAGGCACTGTGCCTGGTGCTGGTGATGCTACAGCAACTACTACAACAGGAAGAGGAGGAGGAGGAGCAGGACGCAGTGCTATTTTATCAAAGCATCGTCAACAACGAAGTATGGATGATTCTCAAAGTCCACAAACAAGCAATATGCAATCACCACCCAATTTCAATCCACCTTCATTCTTCGCCAGTCCTCGCAATCATCCACCACCTTTGTCTTTATCACTTCGAAAACTATTCCTTGGTGACAATCGACTCACGAATGATATTTGGTCACCCTTGATGCTATTCCTGGAATTGCGCACACTGAATTTATCCTTTAACGATTTGGATGAGATCCCACCTGAACACTTGTGCCATCAACACTTGTACGAGCTTTATCTTTCGGGAAATCATTTGACATCATTACCTGCCGACGATATTGAAAAGCTAAGCTACTTGCGTGTATTGGCGGTCAATGGCAACAAGCTCCAGACCCTTCCTGCCGAGATTGGGAAGTTGAGAAAGCTTCTTGTGCTGGATGTTGGTAACAATGTCCTAAAGTACAATATTGCCAATTGGCCTTATGATTGGAATTGGTAAGTTTGGGGGGGGGGAGAGCATCAAGCTATTGACAACATGTTGACACATTTCTTTTAGGAATTGGAATTTGAGCCTAAAATTCCTTAATCTATCAGGCAACAAACGATTGGAGATCAAAAAGACACATCCCGATGTACATAGCCCAAAGGAAAAGGACTTGGCGGATTTCAGTGCATTGACACGGTTACGCATGCTTGGATTGATGGATGTTACTATATTGGGCGTATCGATTCCCGAAGAATCATCTGATCGACGTGTACGTACGACACCTTCCGAAGTCAACAATATGGCGTATGGTGTAGCTGATTGGGTTGGATCCAATGAACATCTTGGTACTTGGGATTTGGTGATGCCACGTTTCCGAAACAGGGACGACGAATGCATCTTTGGTCTTTTTGATGGTCGCAAGAGTTCACGTACAGGCAGCAAATTGGCAAAGTATTTGAATGACAGCTTGACATCACATGTGGAAGCCGAACTTTCCAAGCTCAAACCCGATGATACGGTGGTCAGTGCGCTACGACGCTCGTTTTTGGCTATGGAAAAGGGCCTGGGCAATGAATTGATCGAGGACAAGGATACCGGTGCCTCGGCTGTTGTTTGCTACATTGCAGGCACCAAGTTGTTTGTAGCCAATGTGGGTGATGCCATGGCGGTGATTTCTCGCAACAATGGTCAAGCCTCTGAAATCACACACAAGCATATTGCGCTCAATCCTTCTGAAATTGCACGTATTCATCAAGCAGGCGGCTATGTTTCCAATACGGGCAAATTGAATGGTGAACATAGAGTCTCTCGTGGATTTGGCTACTTTGATATGATCCCTGTGATGAATGCCAATCCTTACGTGGCCACCATTGAATTGACAGAGAACGATGAATTTGTCATTATGGCCTCCAAAGGCCTTTGGGAACGCATGAATTATCAAACAGCCGTCGATGTCGCAAGGACTGAAAAGGATGATTTGATGGCTGCAGCTCAAAAGCTACGTGACTTTGCTATCACCTATGGTGCCGAAAAGGATCTCATGGTTATGATCATTGATGTTGGTGATTTATTTGATAAACGCGACACTCGATTACGATACGCTAGAGCACTCGGTCGTGGAGGTGCAGCTGCGGATGCAGCAGGTATGCTCTTGGATGATGTACCCCTTGGCCCTGGTGGTCTTATCCTTGGTAAAAACAAACGACGTGGTAAAGAAGAGAGTCCTGGTGATTCGGTAAGTCATTGTTTTCAACTTTTATTGCAATAGAAAGATAATCTAATCGCTTTTTTTATATCTAGACATTGGCACGTTTGGATAGAGAAGTACCACCACCCATCAATCAAGTTGCATTGGTGTTTACGGATATCAAGAGTTCAACAGCATTATGGGATACACAACCCGAGAACATGCGATCGGCTATCAAAATCCATGATGCAGTGATGAGACGTACATTACGCAGCGTGGGTGGCTATGAAGTCAAGACCGAAGGAGATGCATTTATGGTGTGTTTTCAAAACATCACATCAGCGTTGCTTTGGTGCTTTACAGTGCAGCTGCAACTTTTGGAGGCTGATTGGCCTGTGGGTATCTTGGCAAGTGAAGAAGGTCGTGAGATTGACAAGGATGGCGTCATGCTTTATCGTGGTCTTTCAGTGCGTATGGGTATCCATTGGGGTACACCTGTATTCGAACGCAATCCCATCACCAGCCGTATGGATTATTTTGGACCTGTTGTTAACAAGGCAAGCCGTATTTGTAATGCTGCGGATGGTGGCCAAATTTGTGTCTCGTCGGATGTGGTGGCAGCATTGAAACACCTATGTCCTACGATGCTTGATGAGAATGATTCAGCGGGTAGTGGCGGCGATAACAGCACTTCACCTACCAGCAATTACCTTGTGAATCGTGATATTCAGCAACTCAAACGACTTGGATTCAGGGTGATGGAATTAGGCATGCGTCGTCTCAAAGGTCTCGAAACACCCGAAATGCTCAGCTTTGTCTATCCCAAGCAATTGGCTGGTCGAATGATCTTTGATGAACCACAACAACAACAACAACAAGTTGCCAAAAGGACACCTTCATCCCCACGTCTTGCTGCTACAGCGGACACGTCAAGAACAACGTCTCCTCGATTGGAAGGTGATACATCTGTTGAACCATCCCGTGTGCCTTCTCCCGCCGAAGAAGTGGAGGATATTGGTGGCCGAACAGCTGTACAGAATTTGGAAGCTGAATTTTCTGGTTACAAGGCACCGGCAGCAGCAACTCGACCTGTGAATCGATCCATTGATCCAGTCATGGTGTGTTCATTATCCAATTTGGCCACGCGTTTGGAAAGTCTTACTACGGGCCATGTGATCAGTCGACCTCCCGTTATGGTGGACCTTTTACCCAACATGACATCGGCCACACGTGTTGCTTCCGAAACGGCTATCGAACGTATGGTGGAGAGTCATATCATGAACGAGGCAACCGATGATGAGTTGCTTTTATTGATGGAGAATTTTGTTACTCGAATCGAGGTAAGTTTTTATTCTTCCAAAAGTATCAACATAGGATGGTTACTAAACTTTTCTTTACAGAATGCAGTCTCGGCCTTGTATCTACAAAAGATGGGCCATTTTGCTCATGTCTTGGAAAAACTTGGTGAAGCCATCGACTTGGACCCATCTCATCTGCTACATGCACTACAAATGTATACCGACGTTACTGGACTTGCTGCTGATGCACATTCATCATCACCCTAACTTGTTTTTTATTTAATTCATATCTTCGTGTACAAACTTTTTTCCCACCATCCTCACCTTTTGTTATCCCCCATCATGGATTCCCATCTTATACACCCATTGTGCATTTACTCTCCTCACATACTACTACAAATCATTGCATTCACATCCGACCTATTGCTGCTACAACAGATAAATACAAGATAATTATTTGCACATGTTCTTTTGGTGCGCGATACAGAAAAAGAGATCGACTTTTATCAAATGGTGGTTGAACGACATTGCTAAATGAATAAGATACTACATAGAGTCAACGGGTATCCTTGGTTGCTGCCGTCATCAATATCCATGATTGCACGATAATTGCTGCCTTTGGTTTGAGTATTTCAACATCACCCATGAATGCCATCCAATCCAACATCATCCTCATCCGTATCCATGTGACATGATCCATCCTTCCTGCTGGCGACACTTCAAGTAGTAAGCAAAGCAACATTTCTCCTTGCACTTGATTGCATCCATTCATCCAATGTAGAGCTTGCAAATTCCAGTACGTATGTTGGTTGAAAAGAGTCACCATGTGATCGGTGCTGGTATTATGCTTCCTTTTCCATCTGGTTGCTGGTCAATCACTTGCTTGGTCGTTTTCCATCGCTTGTATTGGGGGCGTATGTACTTGATCGTAAATGGGTATGCCATCATCCAAACTAATCATCACACCGTACAGCATCAATCAATTCTATGCCCATATACCCCATCCCTTCCAGGCATCCATGGTCCGACATGATACATAGAGGAATCACTGAGGCAAAAACCTCGCCGATATCCCTACGATACCTTGATCGATATAGAATGCCGCCTCTCTACAATTATGTATTTATCAATATATAGTAGTACGTATCATAAGATCATAATGCTTACTCTTGTTGATGCTGGGTCAATGTATCGTGGGTATTTGATATTTCGCCAAACAGCTCTTTTGACCCATTCGATTGTGTCCATGTCGAAGTCATCATCATATCTTCGTCACCAGCGTCTTCATCGCAAAATGTATAAATCGTCAACAATCGCATCACCGATCTTGTTGATTGCATCATATCCAATATTGGCCGCCATACTCCCAATGTGTGAAATCTGCACCTTCACGAACCGGGAAATGCTCGTGTGACAACGATAGGTAATTTGATGCGTGTGCTTAACGCCCTCTCATTCGCGTTGTACTGGAGGGCAGAGCATGTATGGCGAATTGACCATTGGATAAGGCGATGAATTCTGTACCTCCACCAATACTCAAATAAGCAATATTTGGAGAATGGTGAAGGACACTCTGTACGAATGTTGTTGTCACCGGAATAAAAATGGCGCGTGATATCTTCAAATGAGAGAGTTTTGGTAACTTCCCCAGATGCATTCCTAAGTCGGTTTGGATGTCGCTGTCCTCAAGGCCTGTGATCTTTATCATCACCGTCAGATCGACTCGTGAATGGCTGCGTTCGGTCACGTAGTACAGTCATGTACTGTAGCCAAGCTTGAAAGAGATATGATGATAGAGATCATCAGAACTCTGTCGTCAAGCCAGCGACAACAAAACAATAAGCGACATCTTGCTTGTAATGGCGGGGTATATGATATCATATCTATTAAAGTATGATTGTCAGCATAAAAATGATCCTTTGAAGCGACTTTTACATACCTTGAATTGTGCCAACCGCTCGTACGATTTCATGATATTGTAAACATGTTGTCTAGATCCCTCTTTCTCATTTGCTGGTAAGCTGCATAAGGAGAGACGTACACATCATCGGCTAATAATCCCCCTTCGACGCTCTCCCCATTGTCTCAATAGGTCTATGCTGTTGTCATTGATCTTGTTTCTTGAGCACCAGTGCGCAACCTCTGGTGTCGATTTCTCATCGAAAAGCACCGTACACTGGTTTAAAAAGTGCTTGAATCTCGGTCACCGTAAGCGTTTCTTTGCACAAGTGAACGTTCCTCCAACTAGTCTTTCGCCGTAGGGAAGCCTTTATATCACCACCGTGCAGGCTGAATCAGAGCATGTCACCTAATCCAACCTTGCAGATGCATCTCAGGATGTATGTATCTACATCAAAAGATTATATAAGTATGTGCTTCATCAAGCGAGGTGATTAGGTTTTACCTTAATGACGGAGCCAAATATCACAATGACAACAGTGACAATGAAAGCAAGATAACAATGAAACGCTAAAGATTATCACAAACATTAGCAAATGGATTGCTCATAAAAAGGATTACCCACAACGATACTTACCAATGGCTTTTGAACGCGTCAGCAATGAAAGAGCGATATGATGAAAGAAAGAGATGGGGGGTGGGAGTAAAAAGGTGGGCGACAACATCCATCTTGTTTATATCTGCATGGTGGGCGCGGGTATTCCCGGGATCACAAACAAGGAGAGAAGAGTGACAAAATGTCTGTTGAAGAGCTGATAGGTAGCTGGAACCACCTTCACAAAGAGACTTGGTGTGATTGATTGTCCATGCATAAATCAGGATTTGATAAACGAGGTGGGCAACATCCATCATCCATTTCCAATTGCTGTGCTCAAATTCCACGAGATAAGGCGTTGGTCGAGAATGCTTGCGTGAAGAAAAGTCGATGGCGCTTTGATCAATAAACATCGCTCACAAGCGTAAATGTTCCCGGCTGTGCGGATGATAAAACAGCTCCTTCACCGTTGTAATGATCAGGCTCATAGTTGTTCCCATTCATCCTCTCAAAAGCAGAATTGAATCCTGTCTTCCCAATTCTCCAAAGGTATGCACCAGCGTATCACGAGAAGAACACCGGTAATGTCAAATGGCAAAAAGGTACAGGCTGGGAGTCAAAGTCAAGGAAGGATGAATACCCAAAGACGCACTACTTCATCAAGAACCTATTCAATAGTAGTATCATTCATTGTTAGCACACATACACAATGAACCGCTTTCCATTGAACTTGCCTTTTTCGTATGGATAAAGACCTTTGTTGTTGGGTTACTGGAAACAGAGAACCAAGTGTAGTGTCGTCGAGCCGAATGAAAAGCGAAATGAGTCAACGTCTTTGCGATCGGATCGTGCCATCTATACAAGTTAACACGTCAATGGAACAAGATCGCTGCTACATTGGGCTTCAAATGTACCTGTTATAGCAAGCGTGTGGCGGCATAGCAACGAACAAGAAGAGCGACGATATCACCATGGGGACCACACTTGCAGACACTCCCTGCCTATGAATAGTCAGCGCCATATCAATATCTCACAACCAGCAAGAGCATTACCTTGATGAGATGCCGTGAATCGGTGAAAAGGAGAGGGAGAAAGAGAAGCGCTTGTCTCAAGTCGTGGAGCTGCTGGTCCCCAAATTAACCCCCTCTGGCAAGATCACACTAAGCACATCCGCTCACCCACCCATCATCATCATGGTAGATAATATGACTTGTAAATAAATAGGATCATCATTACGTACATAAATAGATGGTATTTTCGTATGATTCAACAACAGCTACTGCCTTACTACCAGTCCCAAGCATCATTCTTTAATAGGGGAAGGATTCTTCATGCACTCTCCACCAATAGGATGGCTCTCCAAGTCCTGCTCTCTCGGCTTGTGTTACACAACCAGGCACTTCTGTAGCCTTCGCTCTAATATGAGTGAGGCGATTGGCAATGAACACACCTCTTTACATATAGCAACACGCATACAGAATATGTAAAATATAAAGGTGCCTGTATCTCTAAACTTTGCAATCAAACGTGGGGTCTGTAATAGAACAAAGCTGCTCGGCGGGGTCAAAGCGATCTTGTGTCAAAGTATGAAGTCGATCGTGGCCACTCCCAGATTCACCCAATGTCGCCACCAGCCAAAAAATATTTTCGTCGTCGTCGAAAAAAAATTTGAAGAGGTCGACCCGATTCCAATTTGGCTGGTGGCGACATTGGCCAAATCTGGGAATGGCCACGATGAACTTCATACTTTGACACAAGATCGCTTTGACCCCGCCGAGCAGCTTTGTTCTCATAAAGACCCCACGCTTCATTGTAAAGTTTTGAGATATGGATGTCTTTATGTTTTACATATGCTGTATGCGTGATGCTATATGAAAAGACGTCTTTGTTCATTGTCATCTAGCTAGAGCTAATACAGCCAAAGATGCAGAGGGACGTGTTTGTGTAATGCATATCATTGGGTTGAATTGCAAGGGACAATGTATAATACTTTATGGATTATCTAGGATAAGGCATGTATTGCCAGCTAACAGGCACTTCCACCCAACACCAACTTTAGTCTACTTTATCATTATGGAACAATGCTCCATCTCCAGACATTCATTTCCGTGATTCAATTATCTTGATCCGAGCTGATTTGGTTGAGCTACGGTCAAAGAGAGATTAATCAATCCATACATCAGCATACATTCGAATGTCTCAGCTATTTAATCCTTGTTCGACCGTAACTCAACCAAATCAGCTCGGATCAAGCTACTTGAATTATGGAAATGAATGTCTGGAGCAGGAGCATCATTCTCATGCATTGGATTCCGCAACAATGCTGATTGGAGAAAAGTGGCTGTTAGCTGCCCATATATGACCTGAAAATGAGGTATGCGTACCTGTCATGCATCGTCCCTGAAGTCCGGACTTTTTAACTCAGTTACACAAAGAGGTCCCTCTGCATCTTTTGCTCTGCCAAGGTCCACCTACTTGACAATGAACAAAGGCCACTCTTCATATAGCATCACGCTTACAAACATAAAGATGCCTGTATCTCCGAACCTTACAATGAAACGTGGGGTTTTTATTAGAGCAATGGGTTCGGCTTGGCCAACAGCACCTTGTGTGAAAGTTTCGCGTTCAATGCCGCAACTAGCCCAAAAAATATTTTTTGGTCGTCGTCGTCGAACAGGTTGACCCCCAGATCCAGTTTGGCTGGTAGCGACATTGCGAAATCTGGGATTGGCAAGCTTGAACGTGAAACTTTCACACAAGATGCTGTTGGCCA